TCAGACCAAATTGAGTGAATCCAAAGAATCTACTTGAGTTCTTTCACTGAATGCATATCTGAGACTGTTTATTTGTTGATTTATTTACCTGTATTTATTTTATTGCTTTATATGTTGCTTTCAATCTGGAGGTTCCCATATTTGTCCCTGCAATGGCTAAAATGATCCTGTGACTTTCTATAGCTCTAAGTGGACTTCAGATTGGGTTTTTTTCCTTCCTTCCTTCCTTCCTTCCTTCCTTCCTTCCTTCCTTCCTTCCTTCCTTCCTTCCTTCTTCTCATCCACCTTTATTTCTAGTTCAAGATCACATCAGCTCTTTTTTAACTGAATGGACTTTGCTTGAATAAAAAAATGTAAACAGATTTTTAAAGACCAGTTCATGTTAAAAAGAGCAGCTAACCTGATTTCCTATAACAGAGCACCTGTGGAAAAGACTGCACGTAGTCTGATCTTATGGCCATGACATGTGGACATCATGGCTTCCTTTCTTCTCCCTCCCTCCCTCCCTTCATTTTCCTTCCTTCCTTCTTCTTTCTTTCTTTCCTTCCTTCCTTCCTTCCTTCCTTCCTTCCTTCCTTTCATCTACCTTTTTCTTTTCCTTCTGTCTCTCAACACAACTATTATTTGTATATGTTCTTTTATTTCACCAAATAAGATAAAAATTGGGATTTGGGAAATCTCAGCAGTATTTGTCCTGATCTTCCTCTCCAGATTTCTTATTTCAACTTTTTTTATGGTAGGTTTTTTACTGCCACCAAGTGGTTTTACAATTTTTCTCCCTTTTTCAGCCAAAAATCATTTTCCTGCATATTACTAAATTACTAAGCACTTGTAGTTAATCTGAGTTGATTCAAAACAGGAAAGCACATATTTGTAAGTGCTTTGGATTCTATTCTTCCTTAAATTATCATAATCATACAACTGCAAGGTACTGAAGTTTTGTTATATGGTATTAGACCACAACTATTACCAACCACACATTGAAGCACTGCTATACATAGGATTGTGACTAAATAAACTATGAATACCTTCATCTAATTCTAACTGACAGAAGGACAAGCGTTTAAGATTTACTTATACATTTATTCAATTTATATAGCCGGCCATCTCATACCTATGATCCTGAGCAGCTAATGAAAAATAAAATTGGATTTTAATATATTCAGCTCAAGAAATAGACCAAAGGAAAACTGGTACCTAGTGGTAGAACCATACACTAGTTTTGGTAAATTACCCATAATTTTACAGACACTCACACACACAGTTTTAAACAAGAAAGCAAAGATGAACACAAACTAATATAAAGAAGAAAAAAGAAAAAGAAACTAAAAAAGCGAATAACTGAAATATATTTTTCAGTGATCTGTGCCTATTAACAGCGGCACTATAGTTACTATTTTTAATGAAGCTCCATGTTTGATGAGTTTTCCAATAACAGACCAAGGAGAATCCTGTTAGCCCAGTATTGATTCCCTCCTGTTACTGGAAGGCTGAAGTTTTTATTTTCTCCAAAATGCAAAAAAAGTGATTAGGGTTTGGTTCAAAAGCTGTTGGCAAAAAACTGAGTTGCTTTGCAAGAAAGAAGAGACTGCTGTCCTAAGTGCTGAAAAAGTCAGAAAATCCAAGTTTAATTATTTTAACCAACTTGAGAGAAAATTGAGAAATCTGATGATCATTTTAATCTACATGGAAGCAGGTTGCCATTTTAGCTTTTTACATGGCAGGTTTTCCAGATGTCAGCTAACAGCATTCTTTACCAAGAGCTGTGTGATCCATGATACCAGATCCTAAACCTCCACTATTTCATTTGAGCTGAATATATTTCTAAATTATTAAAAAAATATATGGGCAAAAGTTTTTAACTGCTTTGTTTTAGAACTAGCTGTTATAGTTTCCTGTTTGCTATTACTCAAGTTTTCTTTTGAAGCCTTCTCAAAAGGGTTCTTTGCCTTGAATACAATGTATACCACTTCAAAGTGAAAAGATCAAATTAAATTAAATTGTACAGATAAAATATAAGGGTCAGTCCCTCCTTGTTGCATAATCTGTTTGAGGGTTTTGTTTCAGAAGCACTTCAAGTTTCATTCTGAGCACTTTGAGTCTAAGGAACATGTTTTACACTCAATTATCATACCTTGATCATTTAGTTTGTAAAACAAGCTTGTACTTCAAAAAGTCTTACTATCAGGATTCAAAAGCTGCTGAAAATAATGGGAATTATTTATCAGTAACTTCAAAGAGAAACTTAACATATGAATAATTGGTTTAGTTTTCTTAAAAAAGAAACAGCTAGAGATAGGGAGGCATTTTTAGAAGCCACAGTTTTCAGCTTGAAGAACTGAGGGGAAAATTAATTTCATGAAATGATGCTCAAAGAAAATGCATTTGTAAAATGTATTTTTATAGAGAGAGAATTTACCAACACTATGTTATGTCCTGACAGAGTGCACTAGTGGGTAATATATAGCTCTAAAAGTCTAAAAAAAAGCACATGTTCTTAATAATGTAATATTTTTAAGAATATGAACAAATATATATAATGCAGCCTTCCTAAAAATCTTGCCAAACATTCAAGTCCAAACATTGTACTAGAACTTATGGAAATAGAGTATATGTTTGGGCTGTCTTGACGGGGAAGATTTTTAGGAAGACTGCATTACAAAGTAATTCCATAAAATATGTTCCTGTAACTTGAAATAACTCATCTGCTTTTTTCTTTCCCTCACATAGTTATAGTCTGATTTTTGTGTGTGTGTAAACAAAGGCATTTATTTAGACCCCAGCTCCTCCCTTAAAATGTAAGGTTTTTATTTATTGTTTTTAACATTTTAACATATTAAAGATTTATATGATATTTTAATTGCATGACTGTAAGCCGCCTACAATCTCCTTGGTGAGATGGGCAGCACAGAAGTCTAATAAACAAATAAAATGTATATCTTTGCATTTTTGTAACTATATATGAGACTGAGGTTCTCTGAGATATGTGGATTTTCTGGCCAAATAGAAATAGAATTGCTGTGTAATTTTAATAAACATGTGAAATGATGCAGTGCATATGCAAAGAGTTATAAATGAGTGTTTATGTTCTTAAGGCAGTAAAGTAAATGCATATTTGATGAAAAGACAACTGTGGTTTGCCTGTAAAGTTTTCTTATTTTTTTTTAAAAAAAAATAAAGCGGGAAGTATTTAAAATTGCTAAATATTTTATATTATAATGTATAAGATATGTGTAATAAACAGAGTGTGCTGTTGCAAAGATTTTAAGGTGATGTATCCTTTCTGATTGAATTGCCAAATGTTGCTTTGAAATTGGCTATGGAGTGATTAGTTAATATTGCCTAAGATAGTTAACCATATAGTTAACCATATTCTTCAGCGTGCCTGGCTGAGGAATTCTGGGAGTTGAAGTCCACAAGTCATAAAAGGCCAAGTTTGAAGGCCCCTGTCATAAACAATCCCACCACATACAGAGAATGTCAAATGAAAACAGTGAGAGACCGAAATGCAGTGAATGGGTTCAGCAATAATACATTATAGCATCATAAGCAAATCTAGACAGCATACTAAAAAGCAGAGACATCACCCTGCCAACAAAAGTGCGTATAGTCCAGGCCATGGTTTTCCCAGTTGCAATGTATGGCTGTGAAAGTTGGACCATAAGAAAGGCTGAGCGCCAAAGAATTGAGGCCTTTGAACTATGGTGCTGGAGAAGACTCCTGCGAGTCCCTTGGACTGCAAGACGTTCAAACCGGTCAGTCCTAGAAGAGATCAACCCCGACTGCTCTTTAGAAGGCCAGATCCTGAAGTTGAAACTCAAATACTTTGGCCACCTAATGAGAAGGAAGGACTCCCTGGAGAAAGGCCTAATGCTGGGAAAGATTGAGGGCAATAGAAGAAGGGGACGACGGAGAATGAGAGGGCTGGATGGAGTCACTGAAGCAGTAGGTGTGACCTTAATTGGACTCCAGAAAATGGTAGAGGACAGGAAGACCTGGAGGAATGTTGTCCATGGGGTCGCGATGGGTCGGACACGACTTCGCAATTAACAACAACAAGCATCATAAGGGTAAAGCAACAGATCAAAACTATTTTGGAGTTGAATGGCATCAAGCCAGAAATAAAATAATGACATAAAAATAAAGCATTATTATATATGAAAGGAATAAAGGAAAATATTTATAGCTCGGGATTGAAATGAGGGGTCCTTGGTACTTTCTGAACGTGTGTTTTCTTGCAGACATTTCTTTCCCCAACTAGGTAACATTATCAGTGCTAGTCCTATATATGCCCCATATGATAGTATAATATATGAAACATAGGATAATATGTTACAATAATGCTACAATGCAGTAATGTACTATAGCAATATAATGAATATGCTGCTGCATAATGATAGGATAATTAAGGAAATTAAAAGCTATTGTGTTATTACTGCATAAGATGATCCCAATTCCCTCCCCCCCAATTAGGTTTAAACTAAGAATAGAAGATATTAAGGGAGCTAAAAGTTTATGAAACACTATATAACATTTCCAATACAAGTGTGTTACTTTCAAGTCATCAAAAAAGTGGTATTGCCCCTTTAAGGAAAAAAAAAGTGAAGTTGCCCTTTTAAAAAAAGGGAGTAGGAGAATCAGTGCGAATAGCTCTCGCGAGATTACGCACCAATAATCCCACGAGAGGTGTTTTCTAGTGCAAGATGGCGTCCGCTGGAGTTGGGGCCTCAGCACCGGAGGATGGAGGCGACGGCGAGGCCACACCACCCAGTGTTCCGGAGCCGATGGCTGGGGAAGCTGCGGGGTCAGCTGAGCAGGGGACAGGGGACTCGGAGACCGGGTGAGGGCTGGCGATTATGGCGGGCAAAAAAGAGCGAAATTGGAATCTTCATTTCTATTGGCTAGGAGTCAAAAATAACCAGAGGGCACTCCTATTGGCCGGAGGTTTCGGATCCGCTTGTCATTGGTCGGAGTTTTGACTTTCCGCCCAATGAATTCCGTCCGGCTTCTTTCTCCCCGCCTGTCGAATCCCGGGCTTTGCAGGAAAGCTTTCAATGGCGGGATGTATCGAGCCTGTGCTCCTTCCAGATGTGGAGACTACAGTTCCCAGAATTCCTAGCCAGCTGCAGTTAGGCCGCCGTCTCGTTGAATTTAGGCCTTTTAAGTCTCGGCTGTTGGGTGGTGGCGACTCCCCAGATTCCCAGCCAGCCAAGACCATGCCTTTGAGGACATGCAGACCCAAGACCTCTGTAGAACAGGGGTTGGCTATAGTCAAGCAGCTGCATTCGCCTTTTGCTCCCCTCTGAACTCTCATCTCTATTAATTCCAGTCACCAGACATTTTGGTTTGCTTGCCTCTTGTGTTCGTTGAGCTGCAAACCATGATTTCCGACTAGATATGTTGCATGAGCAGGCATGCAGCATATTAAGTATTTAAACCATGGTTAAACAGATTATGGTGTAGCTTGTTAAATGACAGCAGCTTTGCTGTTTCCTATTCTGGAATCAGGTTTTGATATTTCTCCGGCATTATTTCTTTCTGCTTCTTATATTCCTCTTAAAATATGTGGCTGGTGCTGATTAGACCATAACTTAATTCCCATCCTATATTGTGCACCCACTTCTTATTTAGTGGCTACTTTGGTTGGTGACCATCCACAAATAGGATGGTAACAGAAATTCAGTTTCCTACCAACGTGCAAATTTATGACTCAATCCATGCATCTGACTACAAGAGTGAGTGTGAATGAGACTGCAGCTTGTCTTTGTCAGTCAGATGTTCACCTGTCACTAAATGAGGAATGATTGTAAAACAGGTTGATTCCAGCTCTCTTGTTAAAAAGTATGAGGTTATTAGTGATGGTGCGGGGACATCTTTCTGCTTAAAACCATTGAGAATTGCTTCTGAGCAATTCACTGAGCTAAAAGGAAAAAGTCTAGGATAAAAGACATTGCTTCTCTATTGGCAAATATCAGGTTAGATCTGTTGTAGTTACCTGACTTGAGAAGTGATATAGCCTTTTTAGTGTGGTTTTGATAGCTGTTTTGGATTATAGCTTTCTACTTGGTTAGACATGTAATCTGGTCCTTGGAGAATAGTTGAGAATAGATCCACTGGAGTACATCATAATCTATTCACGTTCTGAGAACCAAACTTAAAACAATCTTTCCAAAGCTAATCTGTATGACAAAATTATGATGGGGATATGATTATACGAATGGTTACTACATATGCTTTAGTGAGAAAAAAAGTGAGATATGATTAAGTAAAAACATGCATATTTGCCAACTAATAGTGTTGCAAATTGAAGTGTCTCTCCCACTGAGCCCTCCTTAACTGCTCGGCATAAATCTAGTGAATAGAATTGCTTGAGGTGACTCAGGCCTTCCTTTTTAGGAATCATTGAAAAAAAATTCTTTTAATGAAGCTATGCTTTGTACAGCTAGAAGATCTACATTTTCCTGAGTCAAGGAAATCTTTGTCAGAGCAGATTCAACCCTGGTATTTCTGGTTAATAGGCTAAGATGATGGATAAATATCGCCCACACCTTCCTGAAACAATATTTGCATAAAGGTAACAAAAAGCCACCAAGATCAGGATTGAAGGAATTGCATAAATGTCTGTATACTTTTTCCCAACAGATTTTTTAAATCCAATCAACTGGAACTGCAAATTAACAATGTTTACTTTTCAAACTGAAAATAAAAATGTGATCACTTCCAATTTCCATACATCTAGTAGAAAGATTTTTTTTAACACACATCAAATTAGCATCCTATAATTTTGTTTTGTTTTCAAGAAAAAGAAAAAGCTATATCTCTAGCTTTTTAACAATAACATTTTATTAAACTATTTGATTACTGCCTGTTGGTAATGGGGGGGAAGGGAGGTTGTTTGCTGTAAATATAAAAGTAAACAGCTGTTTGGAATATTGGGGTAGAACAAAAGCACATAAAACTCCAAGTTCAGTTTAAATTTAAAAATGCTCAGTGCCAGAATCAATAGATTCATTTTGTTAAACAATTAAAATTAATAAAACAAGTTCTAAACCTATAATAATGACTTTTACTGTCTTTCAGGGGTGATGCATCTCTAGCTGATGTCACTGCTACCCTGGAAACAGAATCATCCAGTGGAAAGGATGCCTTGGTGTGTAAACAAAACCTGTTCTGTAGATATAAAGCATGGTTCATGATTGATGTGGGTATGTTTAAAAAAATCTAATAGATGTATGCAAATCGGAAGTGATCGCAATTTTTTTTCAGTTTGAAAAGTAAATGAAGTGTTAATTTGCAATTCAAATTGATTGGATTTAAAAAATCTGTTGGGAAAAAATATATCGATATTTATGCAATTCTTTTCAATCCTCTAAATCAATTTGAAGGTACCTGATTGGATTCCTAAATCAACTTAGGAATTCAGTTTGAAGATATATTTTAATCAGATTGAATATTCAAATCAAAGCTCACATAACTATTCTAAATAAGGCCGACTTGACAAAAATGTAAAAATCAGAATCAAGTGTTGGTTTTGCAGCTGTATTTAGTACCACGATATACGTCCTGGATTGTAATAAAAAATGTGAAACGAGATAGCCTAAAGAAATCTCAGCCATGAAGCTGAGCAGGTGGGGATACAGTGGTTCACCTAGGGAGACAAACATTTCATGCTTACTGGGAGGAAAATATTTTAACTGATCTCGGTGGCTTTTTGTTACCTTTATGCAAATGTTATTGCAGGAAGGTGTGGGTGATGGTTCTGAAGTCATGGATAACCAGACTAGCTCTGTGGATGAGGATAATGGAAGACAACTTGGAGAGATTGAACTGCAATGTGGGATTTGCACCAAGTGGTTCACCGCAGAAACATTTGGGATTGATACCACGTATGTAGTAGTAGCATATTAATAGACTCTCTCTTGATCAGGGACAGAAGTTCAGTAGAGTAATCAAAACATTCTCTCCAATCTTTCCAAAAGAGGGCAGCATATGCTTATATCTGAAGCTGGTTTCAAATAATTGGTGGGTATTAGTTGAATTTGAAACCTCCCTTATTACATAAACAGGGCTTAGTTTCATTAACACTTTATTTAAATAATTATTTACAAAAACAAAAGCCAGATTGTTCACTTTATTTTGTTGTTTAGCAATAGACTATTGGCAATTACTGTATGTAAAAAACAATTACTGTATATAAAAAAATAACAATAGACTATTGGCAATTACTGTTTATAATATAAAAAATAATAAGAATAAAAAATGGTTCCCTATTACATTGCAAGAGATATTTAGTAGAAGAGAAATGATAATACCCGAGTTTTTCAGGTAGCGTTCTTTAATTGCAAGAGCCAACATCAAATGGCTTATGAGCCAGGCTTTCAAAACTTTTTCCAGTTCTTAAACTCTGCCACAAAATATTGGAAGGCTATTTTAAAATGTCAGTTCTGTGATTCAGTTGAATATGCTTAGACTTCATTGTGACTGCTTTGTGATTCTCATGTGCCTGAATTTAGATATCATCCTAAACCATAATCCAATTTGTAAGGCTTTGGCTTAGTGTAAGTCAGATAGTGGTGGATTATTTAATAAATTGTGGTTATGCAGAACATGATGTAACACAATATTATAGTTTTTAAATACAGACACACTTCTCGCTAATAAGCTGTTTCTGGCTGAAGACCTTCCTTTCCTATCTCTGCTGTATTAAGAACACTAAGACCTGTGTATATTAATCAAAGCAGTTGTGCTGTGTAAATTGTAATGCTTAATTGAGGGGTCCCCAATCCCTGGGCCATGGCCCACTACCAGGCCTTGAGTTGTTTGCAAATGGTGGGCTTGTTGCCACTTGTGGAACCATCCCCCCCCCCTCCACAAAGCCGGAATCCCTGGCTTAATTCATTTGGTTTTGACTATGCTTAGCCATTTTAGAACATCCAAGTATTTGCGGGATGAGAATTTACATATTATCCTTTACATTTCCATGAAAGTTTGAGGCTGCTTATTTGCAGCTGTTTCTCTGAAAAGTTTGACAGCCTTGGCTAAAGCTGAGTGGAGAAATGCTGTTTTGCTGGCTCATTGTGAACAAATAATCCTAAAGCTGTAAACATCTATTGAGTTAATCAGCAAAATGATAGGACATTTAATCTTTACAAAAAGAAACCCAAGGGGTTTTTATGAGCTGTCATCTACAGGCCAGTTCTTAGTCCAGTACACATAAAATAAACAGACTGATGTCATGGGTTATACTCTACCTATTTCATGATTTGAAACCATTCTAATCCATCTGTATAGAGCACCTCAGGCAAAACTAGAGCTAAGCAAGGATTGACTTCAGATGTCCCAATAAAGTGAAACCCTGAAAAATCCCTTGTGTCATTTGGTAGTTGGATTTATGATGTTAATAAGGGTGTTTCTCACTGACTCCAAATATGATGGTTGACTTGGAGGCTTTATGTTCAGAGATCTTGACTTTGATGTTCAGATTACAAAAAGGACCCGAACAAACTTATCTGTTTTTGTGCTAATTGTCTCTGTGTATGTCTATTGATGAGGGAGAGAAGCAGTCAGGTGTTAAATTACTAAAGGAGTCAGGTTGTGTGTTTACAGTTTTCCTCTATTATTTGAGAACAGTGGCGTTTGGGATGTATTTAAGCATTTAGTGGGTGAGTTGGCTTTTATTTCCATGTACGTCTTCAGGTTTTTTTTTTAATTAATATTGCCTCCAGGTTTATGCACGAGGCATGGGTGAGTAGGCAAAAGTCTTGCAATATTTTTTTTTGATAAATGGCTTAATCTGCCCAAGTGTTACTTTACTAAGTGTACATTTTTCTTCCATCTGATTTATTGAGAACAACCACTGAATTGTTGTTTCAGATCCTGCCTTCCTTTTATGACTAACTACAGTTTCCATTGCAACATTTGCCATCACAGTGGGAATACATACTTCTTAAGAAAACAAGCAAGTAAGCTGGTAGAAGAATGTTTCTATACCTGTTTTTTTTCCCCGCATTCACTTTTGTTTTTAAGTTATAAACTTCAAGAGATGGAATTATCTGCAGCACTCTTAATCCTTTTATCTCAGGAGTTATTAAGCCATGCACGCTGTATAAAATACCTGAAATTGGCAATATTGCAGCTGAAATTGGCAATATTGCAGAGGCTTCATAGATGCAGAGGAAGCAAAGTCCAGCTTTGTTGGGTCTGTGTTCAAGCTCTGACTGGCCTATTCCCTTCCCTGGCTTTATTGGTTATTCATTTTGGAAAATATTAAGATTTGCAGGCAGTCCTTGCTTAACAACAGTAATTGGGACTGGAGTCAGTTCTGCAGTCCCCATCATTAAATTAATCACCATTGGTTATTAAATGAGGACCACACGTGACTATATCTTATGACATCCTACTAGCATCCACTTTCACTTTACTGTTGGAAGCTGGCAGGAAAGGTCACAAACTGGTCTTGTTTCTGCAGGACTCTGCAGTGGTCAGAAATGCACATGCTGGTTGCTGGGCGTGCGGGTTGTGGATTGTGATAATTTGACTGTAGGGGCACTGTAACGGCCAGCCCTTTGAGGACCAATCATAAGTAGCATTTGTTCAGTTATTACCTGGGGACCACCTATATCACCAAAACCCAAAGGAACATAAAGATTATCGAATTTATCTGATTCAAGATTGTAGCTCTCATGTTAGCTCTATACACAGTCCCAAGATACACAGTTTCATCTCTTTCTCCTTTGCCCATTATTAAACCAATGTTGAAATTTCCTCCATAACATTTTTTTTCACTCACACCTCTCTTAACTCATGATGTTTATTTCAGACCATAAGAGTGTTATTGAAGAAGCTGGTCTCCTTTCTGTGTCTCTTTTCTTAAAGATTTAAAAGAAATGTGTCTTAGTGCCTTGGCAAATCTGACTTGGCAATCGAGGACGCAAGACGAACACCCCAAAACCATGTTCTCAAAAGACAAGGTACGGATCCGTTGTTTCTGCTCTGATCTTGGACCTCTAGAAATCACAGAGGACAATTTTGCTAGCGGTGGTTGAAAGAAACCTACCAGAAATCTCCTATTTATGTGATTAAATATTGCTTTAGTGTTAAAAAATATTTATCTGCTGCTTACCATGGTTGGGCGTCATTCAAAGCCATTTAATAGAATAACTAGTGCAATTTAAAAATATATCCATGGAGCCAATGCAGGAAGTAGTAAGGTCGTTTCTGAGATGAACAAAAGTTTTTTTTTTTTCCTAAAAGTTTGCAAGAGCTAAAATTCTCAGAACCGACTTCAAGAGCACTTTCCTGGTATAGAGCACAGAGAGAAGCCTGATTTGGTAGCAAGGATTCTTGGGATGGTTTAAACTTTTTGCCCTCTGAGAATTGAGTCCGTTGTGCTTTCACACGAATGAGAATAAGCTTTGTACATTTTGTTGAATGTTGAGAATCATTTCAATGCTCCTGAGGAGAGGCCATTTGATCAGCCGTGCTCTCTCATGCCACACATCTCCTCATACAGAAAACTTAAAATTTTCTTCTTGGCAGGAATGTATGTTAGAAAAGCATTCAGTCACATATCCTGCTGTTGATTCAAAATGTGTGTGTGCGTGTGTATGAAAGAATGTGTGATGTAATGGTTAGGAATAAGGAATAATACTTCTCAAAGTAACCTTATTCAAAGGGCTCTAATGAAGAAAAAGATAGAAGGAAGAATGAGAGTCCATTTCTAGGGAAGATGGGTGGCATAAAAAAATTAATATATTAGTTGAATTGTGCTCTGTGAGGAAAGGCAGAGTATACATCAATTAAATCTTGGTGAAATATGTACCTTCTATGTATTTGTCACCCACTCAGAATTCCAGATTATCTCCATGAGTTAAGGAAACTGCCTTTAGCTCTGTCTTAATTGTACCTTGTCTTTTGGGCGGCAAAGCAAAATGATCTTTTAGATCTGTGCATCCATAATAAACTTTACTGTCAATTTAACAGAATAATGTGGAGTGTTGTAGTCCAATTTCCCACTCATCCAGGAAACCCTACACCATTTCAGACAAATGGTTGTTCAATCTCTTCCTAAAAACCTCCAGTGTTGGATCACCCACAACTTCTGCAAATTTCTCCTGAGTTCTAGGTTGGTTCTCTCCTTGATAGGTTTCCATCCGTTGCTTCTTGTCCTGCCTTCAGGTACTTTGGAGAATAGGTTGACCCCCTCTTTTTTCTGGCAGCCCCTTAGATATTGGAACACTGCTATACTATTAGCTCTATTCCTTCCTGTTAAACTAGGCATACCCAGTTCCTGCAATCATTCTTCATATGTTTTAGCTTTCAGTTTGCTTCAGTGCATAAAGCTTAACCCTGTTTATAAATCTCTTATAATAAAAAGTCTAGCTATATCGTAGGTCAGACATGTAAAACACAAGGATGCGGCCCGCGAAGTGGTTTCATGTGGCCTGCGAAGCAATCCTGGAAACAGTGAGGGAACGGGCCCCCTCTGCCTTGGCCCTGGCCCAGGCCAGCCAGGAGCTAATGTACAATTTTATGGTGGCCATCTATGCTGAAATGCATTCAGTCTTAGCTCCATAAGCCTCCCCCCCTGCATGGCCTGAGAGGAACAGCGAGGTTCCTCCAGTGGACCATGCCTTGGCGCTTGCCCTGGTCCCACCCCCTTATGCCAGGGACCCTCAGATCTATCCCACTCCTGCCCAGGCCCCCACAGGCACCCTTGATGCGAACGATGCCACGCCCACCCAGCAGGCCACACCCACTCCATCCACGCCCACCCAGTAGGCCGCATCCACCCTGGCTATACCCACCCACCCCCCTGAGGGCAACCACAATGCTGATGCGGCCCTCAATGAAATTGAGTTTGACGCCCCTGTCGTAGGTGATTGGTTAAACTTGGTAAATTGCCTTGGCTGTGAACTTCCCTGTCATTATTATATTTGATTTTTTTCCCAACAGGATATTATACCCTTTATTGATAAGTACTGGGAATGTATGACAACAAGGCAAAGACCAGGAAAAATGACTTGGCCAAACAATATTGTAAAAACAATGGTAAGTCAAGATGAGCAACGCTGCCATTTTTCTTACTGATCAAATTTGATTACAAATTGAGAGAAAAGCATTGGTGAGTAGACGAGTTAATCCGTTTTGTTTTGTAGTTCTCACTGAACTACAGAAGCTTATATTATTCAATTTTCGACCCTATGACTAGCATTTGATCTTCTCTGAATAAGCAGTTTGAATTGTTTGAATCGATCTTGTTTGAATGCTTCATTCTAGTGTAAAGAAAGAGATGTGTTTTTGGTGAAAGAGCATCCGGATCCAGGTAGCAAAGATCCGGAAGAAGATTACCCCAAATTTGGACTCTTAGACCAGGTATGTCGGTGATACAGAACATCTTCCAGCATGCTGGCAAAATTTCATGGCAGGGTAAATATCAATCATACCAAGTAAGACTTTCAATTTGGACTCTTTCTGAGTGATGGAAGGTTCTAGGAAGTTGGGAAAGTTCCAGTTGGACAAATATAACCCAGAAGATTACAGTTTTGGGGGGAAAAGAGAAAAGTAGCCATTTGAGCAGAAGCAACACCTTTGTTGCTTGCTCCTGGGGAGGAAAGCTATGGCAAATCTAGACAGCATACTAAAAATCAGAGACATCACCCTGCCAACAAAAGTACGTATAGTCAAGGCCATGGTTTTCCCAGTTGCAATGTATGGCTGTGAAAGTTGGACCATAAGAAAGGCTGAGCGCAAAAGAATTGAGGCCTTTGAACTCTTGTGCTGGAGAAGACTCCTGCGAGTCCCTTGGACTGCAAGGCGTTCAAACCAGTCAGTCTTAAAAGAGATCAACCCCGGCTGCTCTTTAGAAGGCCAGATCCTGAAGTTGAAACTCAAATACTTTGGCCACCTAATGAGAAGGAAGGACTCCCTGGAGAAGAGCCTAATGCTGAGAAAGATGGAGGGCAAGAGAAGAATGGGATGGCAGAGAATGAGGTGGCTGAATGGAGTCACTGAAGCTATAGGCGTGAGCTTAAATGGACTCCAGAAGAGGGTAGAGGACAGGAAGGCCTGGAGGAAGGTTGTCCATGGGGTCGCGATGGGTCAGACACGACTTCGCAACTGACAACAACACTTTTGACTGGTAGGGAATTGGACACTAGTCTGGCTTCTCCTGCCAAAATGTCTTTCTCTGAAACCTGGGGTAAGGCAAGCTCACATAGGCTATTTCTTTTCTTCGGGCCAAAGGTTAACCTCTCAAACTGTTGCTGGAAAATTATTTGTCGTTGTTCAGTGATTGGCTCACTAGCAGGATGCTAGTTTTTTGGAATGATTGAAATTGTTTGCACCTAAGAACAGACCATTTTTGTCTGCTGTAGAATTTACTGGGGGGAAATTCCATCACATAGTGGCATTCGTTTCTGAGAGAACAGGAACTCTGAGATATGGGGTTTGTTGGTAGCTTTCAAATCTTAGCTAATTAAACAGTTGGGAATTGGAAAAGCGACTGAATTTTTTTGTTTGCTTGTTTAAAGAAATATCCTTTGCTTTCTTTTTAGGACCTTGCTAATATTGGTCCTGCATATGATAACCAAAAACAGAGCAACACTGTAGCTACTCCCGGAAGTCTAAATGGTAAGTTTGTTTCATATTTTTTTTCCTGAGGTGAGGAAACATGAATTTAAAATTTTCAATCCTCAGACTCTGTAGTTGAACATATTTTCTTTATAAATCCAGATATAATTAAGTTTACATCCACTGTTTATTTTTGTTTTTTGTTTAGGTTTTTTTTTTTTTTGGTTCTTTTTTGTGTGTTCTAGCAGTAAACAATTAAATAAATGGTTAAATTTAGATTGCAGTCTTATGCCCGATAGCTTGAAACTTCCAGTGTATTAAATGGGATAAGCTCCCAGTTAAGTATTCATAAGAATACATCTTTATTGAATTAATTTTAGATTAGAAGCTATGTTAAAGAATTCTTTCCGTATTTTGTTTACATGAAAAGGCATACCATATGTGTACATGGGCCTAAATCTGTGTTATTTATTGTAAGAAACTCTGTGGATTCGTTTTCAGAATTGGAAAATGTAATTTGGCTAATAACACCCCCCCCAAATAAATTATTATTAACAACAACAACAATATAATAAAAACTAGAAAAGAAGTCTGGCAAATTTAAAAATGCAATTTTAAGTTGAAAAAAATATTCCAGTATTTCATTCAAGCTTGTTACTACAGATATTTTTAAAGCATGAATGTGTGGTTGTGCATCTAACTTACTCTCGCTAACTAACTCTATGGAGGTTCTCATTCGTGCAGGTCCTGGTTGTCCCAAAGGTGCTTTTATTCTAAAGGCAACTGGGCTTTCAGATTTTTCTTTAAGACTTTTGGTTTCTCCTCCAAGAACCTTCTTCAGTTCTTGGATGAGAAGCGAAATGTCTGAAAGAAAAATCGGAAAGTCCAGTTGTCGTCCAAACAAAAGCACCTTTGCGAACAGCCCTGTATCCAGAACTCATCTGGAAGTGTGTTTGTGCTTCTAAAGATCCTCTGTTGATTTAAGTGGGACTTGCACAAGAACCTCAAACTTCACCTAACCCCAATCTAAGGGTAATGCAAATAAAGGAGGCTCAATAAAAATCGATTTCTCTTTAATTATTATTGGATTCAGTTGCCATTGCAGATAAGTCCCAGGCAGGGGATAAAAAGGCTGGCTGAGAAATAAAATCTTTCATGGTATCGCTGGAGATTTCATGCTTCCTCAGCAGCTAGAATAAAGACCCCCCAGCACCCTGGAACTGAAGGAGCCTGGTTGTTCCATCTCTCCTCTGCTTAGCCTGTTTTCGTGCGGGCAGTAAGAGCAGGTTAATCCCATTCTCCATTTCTGAGATGGAATCCAAAGAGAAAAGAAACAGAGAATTTCTCAGCCTTTTAAGGAGTTATTAAAGGAATACCCAAGGACTTTGGTTTCTGAATAGACACACAAGGCATTATTGTTTAATTTCCATTTCATGCTAGTGGTGTTTTGTTTTCATGCCATAACTTTCATGTTACAACAATGTGGTGCAACTTCTGTTCTTACAGGTGGAGCCTCTTTGGGAGGTGAATATTTACTTTTCAGCTTCCTAAAACTTAAGTATTGTGTGAAAAGCCTTCTCTCTCCTTTCCTCCCCCCCTCCCCCGTTTTTGTTTCGTTTGGCCAAATTGTCGTAGAAACTAAGTATAATTAATTAATCCCAAGCCTCTCGCATTAACTTGTAAGCGGAACATTTTTAAAAAAATTTATATGAAGCATTTACAGTGGTTAAAAGCCATATTCTCCATTTCATTGATTACACAAAAACTTTGAATTTTTGATCCAATTTAATTGATTGATTTGGTTTCTATGGAAGAGGTTTGGATGCAAGTATGTAGATGTGTAACCTCGCTTCTTCCTGTTTAAAACCTTTCTTGAGCTTTTTGTGTGGCATTAAGCTTGGGTAAGATAAATGTTGGTTTTTATCTTGAGCTAAGGGTAATCCTCGATTTATGGCTAATCACGTAGCAACTGTTTGAAATTATAACAGACCTCCTCCAAGAAGGTACTCCTGTCTTAGTCATAATATTTGGATGATAAAATTCAGTGTCCTCATGTTACCCAGATGTCAGTAGTAAACAGTTCGAGTGTTTATAGTCTGCCGAAGCCCCAGATCAGTTGTTCCATGCTGAAGTTGAAAAGGTTGCTTAAGCCAGTCTGGAAATAGTCCAACTTCATCTGATAAAGAATTTGTTGCCTGGATTTAGGTAGGAAGCCAATGCTCCCGAGATGCAAAGAGAGAGGAGCCATTTATTTATTTATTAAAAAAATAAGCATACCTACCTTGCAATAACAAAAATAAAAATCTGTACAAATAGTCTTCAACTTACAACAGTTTGTTGAGTGACTGTTCGAAGGCCCTGAAAAAAAGTCGATCGTTTTTTCTCACCCCTAGCAACCGTTGCAATAGCTGCATGATCACGAGATCAAAATTGAGACACTGGTTCACATTTATGACGGTTGCAGTGTCCCGGGGCCACGGGATCCCCTTTTCTGACTTTCTGACAAACAGAGTCAATGGGAGGGCCAGATTCAGTTAACCAAACGTGTTGCTAATTTAACAACTGCAGCGGTTCCTTTGACAACTCTGAGGAGAAAGTTTGTAAAATGGGGCAAAATTCACTGATCAACTGTTGCTTAGCAGCAGAAATTTTGGGCCAAGTTGTAGCCATAAGTCGAGGACTATCTGTATTTCAAATTAACTGGTGGTAGTGCAGAAGACGGTACTCCCTTTAAAGGCTGTGTTCGTAAACCACTGGAAATCTGATTTCATGCCTATTACTTTTGATTTCATGCTTATTACTTGCTCTATGCTACTATTGGAAGGCAGCTCTCTGTAGTCCACCAGCACGCTTGTCTCTAGTTGACGAGAAGCCAGGAATCCAGAGCCTGAACAGATCTACCTCTGCTACTCACTAGCTGCACACATCTTTTTACATTCACATCAGTCCTGAATTACTGTTCCTGCTCACATTTGAGTTACACGTTACAGTGGACCCTGCTGTTCAAAATAGCTTTCAGATCCAATAGGTCTGAAGTTTAGATTCTCAGTATTTTCCCAGATTCATTTATTGATGATATATAGACGCATGGGTGCACATATTTAGGAAGCAAGTATGTGGCTAAACTGGAGAGAGAGAGAGAGAGAGAGAGTCACATGGGCAACACAGTAATGTTAATGAATGATGATAAATCAGTTGCCTATTTTGCAGAAAAATCTTGTGCTTTGGTTTTCCTATCTTCTAGACTTTGAGTGGATGGATGCTTGAGCTGGGCTAGCAGCTGTGTGACTAAATGTCTTCTAAGTCTAATTAAGTCTCAGTTAATTATGGTATGGTATGGTTATCTGATTTACTGTCAGACCAGTGACAAACATGATGGTGCTGCTTGTGTCTCGCTGAAAATACTTTTGATTCCCAAGTTAGGACAGGCCAGGAAGGGAACCAAACACACACTGGGTTCAGAGATACTCAAGGGGATTAGGGCCAGCTCCCCAATCATATCAGTAGCTGACACACGTTTGTGGTGTTTCTCTTCCCAAGGGGGTCTTGTGCCAGGAACCAGTGGGAAAGGAAGGGGGGCCAAACGCAAACAGCAAGAGGGAGGAACTACAGGAACAGCCAAGAAAACGCGGAGGTAAGTCCTAAGAATTTGGTGGATAAGGAAAAGGTGGAAAAGGAGAATAATTCATATCCTTCTGTGTGCAGGTAAGTCCTGACTTGCAACCATTTGTTTAGTGGCTGTTCAGAGTTACAAGAGCGCTGAAAAAAAGCCGTCTTGCGACCATATTCCACATTTATGACCATTGGCAGCCTCCCTTGGGTCATGTGATCAAAGTTCAGTGGCAGCTGGATCATAATTATGGCTGCAGGGTCCCTGGATCATGTGGTCACCTTTGGTGGTGTTCTGACAAACAAAGTCGCTTAACAACTATGGCAAGAAAGGTGGTAACATGGGACAAAACTGAGCAACAAAAATTTTGGGCTCCATTGGGGTTGGAAGTTGAGGATTACCTATATCAGTGATGACGAACCTTTTAGAGACCGAGTGCCCAAAAACCGGCCCAGCCCCGCTCTGCCCACCCGCAGGGCCACTCACCACAGATCGCCCAGGCAGCCTTGCAGTGCCATGGTGGCCACGCCCTCCACCCATACCCCGCATCTGCACATGATGGGGCGCGAGGGCAGGGTCTTGCCCCTGCTGTCCGGCTGCCATGTGTTTGGCTGCGCTGCTCCGCGTGGGGGAGCCTGGGGGAGCCTCTCCGGGCAGGGTGTTGGTGAGGACGGGGTTGCGGGGGGAAGCGGGGCTGGGGCAACGGCACGCGTCCCCACAGAGAGGGCTCCGAGTGCCACCTCTGGCACGCCTCCCATAGGTTCGCCACCACTGACCTATATTGTTATGCATTTATTGCCTTTCTGCATAGTGTTTCTACCACGGGGGAATCACTTAGCGCAGGTTTTTCAAACTTGGCAACTTTCAGGTGTGCAGACGTAAACTTGCCCAGTTTGAAAACCACTGAGTTAGCTCGCAGTCCAGAATATCAATGTACACTTTCCTTGACTCATTTGTAAACTGTGTTGATGTGGAGAAAAGATGACCATAGAAATGAAAGAGCAGGCATCTGAGGGACTTTCCAGCAGGCGTGTACCTGTCTGAGCAGAAGGTTTAGCAAGAGGAGGTTTTCTTACAGCTGCTGTCAGAGACCTGTTTAGGCTGTCTGTCTGCCACTCCTCACATGGGTTGGCAGCAGACTAAGGCAAGCGCTGCCTTGTGAGTTTTGATCAGCCCTTCCATTTCAAGGGAAAATATTGAGACTCTCCTCCTCTTGATCTGTACTACTTCGTTGCTGCTGTATCGTGTTTTTATTATTTCTGCTTTATCGTAGATCAGGGGTAGGCCACCTTGGCCCTTTTATGACTCATGGATTTCAACTCCCAGAATTCCTGAGCCAGCATGGGGGCACTATGGCTCCTTCATGACTCGTGGACTTCAACTCCCAGAATTCCTGAGCCAGCCATGCTGAGGGGAAAGGGAGGGGTTTCCAAGCTGACCCATGCTGGCTCAGGAATTCTGGGAGTTGAAGTCCATGAGTCATAAAAGAGCCGAGGTTGCCTACCCCTGCCTTAGATACTTGGCCACATTGTGGTACACCTAGAAGGGAAGGAATAAATTAAAATTACGATGGTGAACAAGACTGATGAATCGAAAGGATCTATTCCTCTCTCTTTCATTGCTCGGAAGGCTGAGAGAGATCTGCCCCTGACTGATGCCTTTTGCTTCCACAGTGATCCTTTGTTCTCTGCTCAGCGTCTTCCACCCCATGGCTATCCGCTGGAGCACCCTTTTAATAAGGATGGGTACCGTTACATTTTGGCGGAGCCGGACCCCCATGCTCCTGACCCAGAGAAGTTGGAGCTAGATTGCTGGGCGGGAAAGCCTATCCCTGGAGATCTCTACAGAGCCTGCCTCTACGAACGGGTCCTCCTAGCTCTGCATGACCGAGGTACCAAGCCGCTCGATCTCACTGGACATTCCCCGCACTCGGGGAACTAAGAAGCCGTTAACTATGCAAAACTAGATTCTTAAAAGCGAGGCTGTTTTGAAAAAAAAAGGAAAGGAAAGCCAGCCCTTTGAAAGTTGTGTCACAGATTTTGGCAATGTGATCTTGGGATTTCAGTAAAAAGAGTAGGCAGATCACAGAGCTCTACCCCCAAGGGAGCGTAAGATAAGATGATCTTATATGTGAAATTGTATGGAAAAGTCATGGGGAAAGAAAAGGAAAAACAGCAAATGGATCATCACAGGAATTCAGGAAAGTACCATATTTTCCGGCGTATAAGATGACCCCCAACTTTGGCGCCGAGTCGCATGCCTAGAAAGTCATCTTATACGTCGGAAACTACCGTTATTTCCGGCGTATAAGACGACTCGGCGTGTAAGACGACCCCCAACTTCGGCACCGATTTCAATGCTTTCGAAAGTCGTCTTATATGCCAGAAAGTACGGTATGTATGTTTGGAGATGGTATTTTAAAATCGCAAAGCAATGTATAATTAAAAAATACCTTGGAGTGATGGCTGTAATTAATGGATATGTTTGTACTTAAAAAAAATATCCATAGTTTAATTCCTGGCATTTCCAGGGAATAATAATAATAACAACAATAACAACAACAACAACAACAACTTTGGTATCTTGAAGAGTAGCAGAGTTCTAGAGAGCCATTGCAATGGCAGGAAGATCAGTCTGGAAATTTCCTCCAAATAAAATAATCCAGTACATTTTGTTTTGCCTCGTGTAGGATAGATTGCAAAAATATGCATTTCTTCTTTATATCGGAACATTTTCTGACTGATGCCATTGACTTTCTAAGAATCATCCCTTGGAACAAAAGGAGACTGCCAGAGTAGTCTAATGCGTCGTATTTGGAGTCAGGATTTGTCAGCGATGGCTAATCAGCTAATTGGCCAACTGAAAAGATCAGTGTGATAAAAATAAGAACTAGAAGTTCCCATCGTACGTTGTTGGCTGCCAATCAAAATACACTGTGGTGTATTAAACAAATTGGGCCAGGAATGTGTGATAACAGCAGAGAGGCGAGCGGTGATACTTTGAGACTTTCTGTTTCTGGGGTTTGCTTCATTTCTTCCTGAATTCACTCACACAGTGGTTTATCTTTTTTTTTTTTGCTTTCTCCCACCCCTTGCTGCAGCTCCTCAGTTGAAGATCTCAGATGACAGGCTGACAGTCATTGGGGAGAAAGGCTACTCGATGGTACGAGCCTCCCATGGGGTGCGAAAGGGAGCTTGGTATTTTGAAATATCCGTGGATGAGATGCCACCTGATACGGCTGCGAGACTTGGGTGGTCTCAGCCTTTAGGTAAGCCTGCTGCTCCTCCTTTCATTAGTTTGCGACCTGTCCCTTTCTTCCATTGAGGACCTCATGGTAGGTTGCAGGCATTGGGCAAAGGGGCTTTGTCACAGGCCCTTTCTCCTTATCCATAGAACATAGAATCATTTCACAGTGGCCTAGAGGTAGAGTTCTCACCTCACAATCAGGAGGCTGTGAGTTTGATCCTAGTTAGCGGCAGATATTTCTCTGGGCACTATGAAATTGTCTGCTGCGAACACCGCAGAGGTGTCAGGAAGGGCATCCAGCCAGTAAATGCTCAGCTCCTTTCAGTTGCCCCGACTCTACCCCGATGCAAGGGATTACATAGAACAATGATGGCGAACCTTTTAGAGACTGAGTGCCCCAAAACTGGCCCCGCCCCAGCTCCACCCCCTGCCCCGCCCCCACCCCTCCTGTCCGCAGGGCCACTCACCGCCTCCAGGGCCTGCTGCAGATCACCCAGGCAGCCCAGCAGCGCCATGGCGGTCACACCCTCTGCCCGTGCCCTGCAGCATCAACTGCGCGATGGGGCGTGAGGGCAGAGTCTTGTCTACGCTGCCTGGCTGCCATGTCCTTGGCTGTGCTGCTCCGCGTGGGCCACGCTCGGGGGCGACTCTCCTCCAGGGGGGCTGCTGGTGAGGAGGGGGTTACAGGGTAGGCAAGGCTGGGGCAATGGCACGTGTGCCCACAGAGAGGTCTCCGAGTGCCGCCTCTGGCACCTGTGCCATAGGTTTGCCACCACAGACATAGAACATAGAATCATAGGGCTGGAAAGATCTCAGAAGTTTTCTAGTCCAACTCCCTGCTCGAGACCTTATACCAGGGGTAGGCAACCTTGGCTCTTTTATGACTCGTGGACTCCAACTCCCAGAATTCCTGAGGCAGCATGGCTCAGCTTGGAAACCTCTCCCTTTTCCCTCAGCATGGCTGGCTCAGGAATTCCAGGAGTTGAAGTCCACGAGTCATAAAAGAGCCAAGGTTGCCTACCCTTGCCTTATACCATCCCAATCAAATGGTTGTCCAGTCTGTTTTTGAAAATCTCCAGTGATGGAGCACTCACAGCTCCCAGGAGACAAGTTTGTTCCATTGATTAATTGTTCTCACTGTCAGAAAATTCCCCCTTATTTCTAAGTTGGATCTCTCTTTAACAGGCTTCCCCCCCCCTCCCCTCCATTACTTCTTGTCCTGCCCTCAGATGCTTCGGAAAACAAGCCGACCCCCTCTTCTCTATGACAGCCCCTCAAGACAGTCCCCCCTTCCTAATCCTTCACCTACCCACCCCCAGATAACATTTTGAAGTATCGAGTAAACAAATGCAATCAGGTATTTGACAAACACAACGTTTGGTTTTCTACAGGAAACCTTCAAGCTCCCCTGGGCTACGACAAATTCAGTTACTCCTGGCGTAGCAAGAAAGGGACCAAGTTCCACCAGTCCATCGGCAAACACTACTCATCCGGTTACGGCCAGGGGGATGTGCTCGGTTTTTATATCAGCCTTCCTGAAGACACAGAAACAGCCAAATCCCTGCCAGATACCTACAAAGACAAGGTGGGTCTTCTAATTCAGCCTCGTTTTAATAGAGGTGGCTGGGCGTTTTCCGTAGGATGCCATAAGGACTCTGGAATTCCTCACTGGAATTCTAGAATAAACTGGGAAACTAACAGGGCAGCATGTCTTAGGATTGTAAGTTATATAAGAGAACTGGCATAGGTACTTTAAGTATGTGTAACTTAAGAAGCCTGTGTACCTAGGCAGCTAAGTATTTATTTAATTTATATCCCACCTTTGTTATTCCCAAGGTGGCAAACCTATCTAAACTGCCTTCCTCTTAGTGTCCAGATGACAGCCATTCTGAGGTGACTTGGCCCGCGAAGAGAGTGCCTGGCCCAAGGTCACCCAGCCAGCGTTCATGCCTAAGGCAGGCCTAGAACTCACAGTCTCCTGGTTTCTAGTTTGGTGCCTTAATCACTAGACCAGTGGTTCTCAACCTGTGGGTCGGGACCCCATTTGGGGTCGAACGACCATTTCACGGGGGCCGCCAAACAATGCAGTCCGCCATTTTTTCCCCCCTTTTCCTTAGCTGTGCTACTCCCTTTTATTCTATTGGCTTTTGAAAGCCAATAGAGCAGACTCTCTTGAATAGAGTCTAATTCTATTGGCTTTCAAAAGCCAACAGGAATTGTCCAGGCTGTCTCTGCCCTGCTGAGCCCGCCAATAGTCCCATTCTGCAAACGGTGCTGCACCAGTTGAGTAGTCCTCGACTTACGACCGGTTGAGTAGTCCTCGACTTACGACCGGTTGGGGGGTCGCGGCATTAAAAAGGTTGAGAACCACTGCACTAGACCAAGAAGTGGGTTTCTTCATGCCTGGTGCAGGAATCAAAACTTGGCCATCCCTGACAAATATCTTCTTGGATATGGAGCTCTCTCTTCAGTCTGCAACAAACACTGCAAAAAAAGAGAGGTTTTATATTGTTTTCATTAATCTAGGAAGGATTGATCAGAAGACTGCATTGTAAATAAATAGCAAGCAGGAATGGAACCAAGGGCTGCCGGTTTTGTGGTTTTGTTTAAAATATATTTCTATCTTGACTTTTCAGGATGCAGATCTTTGCAGTGTACCTTAAAGTACAGCTCATATTTGCAGCCCTTGATATTTGATAGTTGCCCATGTTCTTTTCTTTTGCCCACTGCAATCCGTGAAGGTTTTTACTCTTGCTGACGGTGGTGGCTTTGGTTTACGGACAGCAAGGAACAAATCCCTTGCTGAATTGTTGAATTAATCAGTTGAAGTCGCATTTGTGTCCGATAATCGGCAGTTGCGTTTCTGTCTCACCATTGTTTTACAAATGAATTTCTGGCTTTGATGTCTTCTCCCCTGTGCCCTCCTTAGGCTTTGATCAAGTTCAAAAGCTACTTGTACTTTGAAGAGAAGGACTTTGTGGATAAAGCTGAAAAAGGTTTGAAGCAAGCTCTGGGAAGCCAGGTAAGTTGGCCTTTAGCAGCCGAAATTGGGCTGCTAAAAAGAATTGTATGTCATAGGATTGGAAGAGGCCTTTTGCAGCTTTGGGTCTAATACACTGCCTTGTTGCAGAAATTCAAAATAACCCCCCTCACATACACACACACACACACACCAAAAAAGGAAAAAGAAAAAAAGGTGCTCTGGGTCATTCAGTGAGATCTCATTTGGAGACCATACTAAAATAGGAGAGAGAAATTGGAGCTGTTCAGAAATGACTAAGCTGCAAATCCTGAGAGTTCCAGCTAGTGTGGAGGAATATGGGAAGGCCAGTGATCTATCAGGAGAACTGCACATTCCTCCTTTCTGCCTTAAATCACAGTGCAAATTTATGAAAGGCATCTGTAAAAAGCCTGTATCAGAGTCAAGTTGCGGCTGGATGGAGTCTCCCCATAAGATTTTTGTTTTGTCCCTCTGTTCAAGACCATGGCGAAGAGATTGTATATTTTCACTCAGATATCCTCAACAAGGGCTGTTATTAGACTAAAAAAATGGTAATTTCTGTGGACAGCCTGTCAAGAGCTTTTCCCCTTAGAAATGCTGTTTGAAAATATACTGTTCAAAACTTTGCTTGGGTGTTTTATATGATGTGTAATTTAGTTTTGAAACGTTTGTGGGTTTTCTTTTCTCCTCTGGCCCTCCCCCCCTCCCTGTGTCTATTACAAGAGCTTAAATGTTTCTCTGATTATTTTAAATGAACTTTGGGAAAGCTGAGGATCCGGAATAGTACTTCAGCCGCAGAAAGAGCTTTTGTCAGCTGCATTTTGGAGATGCCATAAAGTTGCCCGTTGCACCTCTCTAGTCTTGGCAAACTCTTAAGAAAGTTTTCTTAAGAATTCTAGTCTAAGCAAACTCCTAAGAAAAGTTTTCTTAAGAACACCAAAAATGGTGTTTCCATTTTTATAGAATGCAAAGAGTCAAATCTTGTGGTTCATTTATCGCTTGGATGCTGTGCAGAAGCTCTCCTTTGCATTTTTCAGGAGACCACAGGGTGTAACTCAAAGGGCCTATATGCTGTGTGCCATTATAGCACAACAAGTGGAAGAAAGGGCATTTTGCAGGTCAAACTGAAATCTCCCCAAGATTATAGTCACGCTCTGCTCTTTGTGGTGATAAATGCTTGTCGTCTTTTTAGATAATCTTCTATAAGAACGGCACCAGTCAAGGAGTTGCATACAAAGACGTTTTTGAAGGTGTTTATTTCCCTGCAGTATCTCTGTACAAAGGCTGCACGGTATGTAGAAGCTGTGGGGCACAGCTCTTTCCAATGTGGGGGCTTTGGGGCTTTGATATGCTGGGTGAAGGCTTGACTTTGAAAGCAGGCTCATCCTAGCCCAAGGATTGTGGGTCAGTGACACATCTGTTGATGCCAGATTGTGCCTGCCCCCAACCTCCCCAGTTCCTATCTGCTTGCAGAGGGTTAGTCGATGGGAGGTCATCTCCTCTGCCTGCTCATCATGGGACTGAAAAGACCACAATAGCCCAATTTGAATTAAGCATGGGAGCAAAGGGTGAGCGCATTGGGAGAAATACTTGCCTAAGTCAGCCTTGCATTTATCAACAACAGCCCAGGAGCCGTCTGAGGTCGAGAGAGCTCAGACTGGCATGTAGACTAAGGGGAGAAAAATAGATAACAGTTTCTCCTCTGCAAATTTATCTGGCTAATAGGAGAAAGAAAGGGGGAAGGGAATTTCTTTTCGGCATGTGCAGAAATGCACATTTCTGGAGGAAGGCTGTTAATACGATTTGTCACCAGAAACCTTTTTACAGCTAGTCCTTGACGTTGTTGTTGTTAGTTGCGAAGTCGTGTCCGACCCATCGCAACCCCAATGGACAATGTTCCTCCAGGTCTCCCTGTCCTCTACCATCTTGTAAGTCCTTGACTTACAACAGTTCATTTAGTCAGCATTCTAAATTACAACAGCACTGGAAAAAGTGACTTATGACCATTTGCCCCACAATTGTGACCTTTGCGGCACCCCCCCCCCCATGGTTATGTGATTTACCTTAGGATGCTTGATAACTGGTTCACGTTTACGACGGTCGCAGCGTCCCAGGTCATGTGATTCCCCCCCCCCTTTTGCGACCTTCCTGACGATCAAAGTCAATGGGAAAGCCAGGTTCACTTAGTAATTTAATTACTAATTTAATAAATGCAGTGATTCACTTAGCAAATGTGGCCCAAAAAACTTGTAAAATGGAGCAAAACTTCCTTAACAAATGTCTCACTTAACAACATAAATTTTGGGCTCAGTTGTGGTCATATGTCAAGGACTGCCTGCAATAGTTAAGAAAAAAAGCTTACATTTTATTAGGCTGATAACTGAAAAGAGAGTTTGCTTGCAACAAACAGAAATAGGAGTGTCTGACTTTTATACCATTTTTTATAGTTGTGGAAAAATTTGCAGCACAGTAACTTTTTTTCTGTAATTCTTTACAAAAAAAAAATCCCTGTAAAGCTACATGTAGATCTCCTCACCCCCCCTTCTTTTTTTTTAAACTTGATCCTTTTAAAAAGAAATTGTTTTATTTGGGGTAAAATTGTCCCTCAGTCTTTTCCATTATAATTTTCCAGCTGCATTTTTTTTCTCCCAATAACACCCGTTGAAATATTGCAGGCACAGGAGGCAGTACTGAGCAATGCAATAATTGTAAATAAGCAAAAATAAATCTTTCCTCTTCCATAGGTTTCTATCAACTTTGGACCCTATTTCAAATATCCGCCAAGAGATATTAGTTATCGCCCGGTAAGCAAGCCCATGATCAGAATGATGTGTGACTTTTGATGTAATCCAAGGTTTTATATGCAAGTAATCCGTAACATTTTCCATGTAAATGAAAGCCTCACTTTCATTGGGCCAAATTAATTCTGTTTCTAGTAGGAATAACACATGCACATTGCCCCCTGTATAAAATTATACAGATAAAGAAATAAGTTTGCCAATCTAGTTATGCAATGACCATGTATAGCTCCTGAAGGTTGTGTTCAGTTGGCTAGGCATTTATCCTGACAGCAAGAATTCCTCTCTTTTTTTAAAAAAAAGAAAATGCTAAAAATTCACACCAATTGCTAAATTGTCTGGCTGCCTATTGTCTCACTCACAGCATTCAGACATGCTGTTTTAGCCTTGGACAAAAATAGCTGTGGATATGATTTGATTTCCAATTTAAAGGAAGAACAAGCCCTATTCCACTCTATGACTGTTTTTTTCTCGAGCTGTAATTGACAGTAAAAAGACATTCTCCCTCTTCACATACTTAATTTGTAAGCTAATGCATAAGCTTGAAATGTAATCAAACACCCTTCCGTATTCCTTTTGTTATTTCAAGAACAGGCCAAATGAGACTTCTGTACTAAAATTCTCTGTATTTTGCAACCAGAAATTGTTAAGTTAAACCATTTCTGCTGATAGTAAGTTAGGCACTAAAAGCATCGCTAAGCAATGTAGCAATTCCATCAACTTAGAGGGCACAATCTAATAGGCACAATCCATGTTCTTCTAGCTCTTTTTCTGCAGAGATGAAAAATCACTTTGTTTTTTAAAAGGAAATTTAGATATGTAGGGCTATGCAGGAGCTATCAGATTAGAATCAGCTTTGCAAAAGGCCCTGCAATATATTGCCGATGTGTTATGATTACTGAGTGCACAACTCTTTCAAAATGCCTTTGTCCTTCCACCAGGAAATGGGTTATAAAGGAGCCAGGGTGGCATAGTGGTTAGAATGTAGTATTGCAGGCTAACTCTGCTCACTGCCAGCAGTTCGATGCTGACTGGCTCAGGGTTGACTCAGCTTTCCAACCTTGCGAGGTTGGTCAAATGAGGACTCAGATTGTTGGGGGCCATATTGCTGACATTGTAAACCTCCCAGAGAGTGCTGTAAAGGGCCATGAAGCGGTATATAAGTCAAAGTGCTATTGCTATTAACAGGGTCCCCGCTCTCTCATCCTTTGAAATCATGTCAAGAATTGCACTGATTGGCTGACTCTTAATATTCTGTTGCAGAATGTTATTCGTCTATTATTTAAAGTGCGCAGATGCAAACTAAATTTTAATTGCTTCGTACGTACTAAATCAAAGCAACTCACCCTTTCTTCTCCTCTTCTGCAGGTCAGTGACATGGGCTGGGTCGCCGTAGTAGAACACACGCTGGCAGACGTCCTGTATCACGTGGAAACAGAAGTGGACGGGAGACGTAGTCCACCTTGGGAGCCTTAAAAGACGCGGTGTATTTATTTTTTATTTTTTACAAAAAGAAAAAAAAATAACACGCTTGGTGGTGGCAGAGCGGGAAAAGTAATAAATGTCTCTTTTTTAAGTTTCTAGATTTGTGCAGCTCTTCGGTCTTCCTTTTCATTATTATTATTTTTTAAAATTTTTCCTCCTACAGGCAGAGCAAGCAGTAAAGTCAGTGAGAAATAAAGAGTTTCTTCAAGATAAGCAGAAAATATACTTCTTTCCAAAATGACTCCTAAGAGAAAATGGAGCTTTCTCCCCCACCCCCACAAAAGGTAAAATTGACCTTTTCCAGGTCAAGATCTAGGGATATCCTGCACTGCGGTTGATAACAGAAAGATGCAAACTCTACTGTTATCTTTTTCACCTCTGTCTTTGAAATGCATTAAGGGGAAAAAGTAGGTACGAAAACTAAATAACAGAGAAGTTAAGGAATGATCAATTTAGTCTGTTTTCCATTAAGCAAAAAGAAGGACTACAGTTGACTTTTTAGCAGTATTCCAATATTTGAGGGGTTGGCACAAAGAAGAAGCACCAGAGGGCAGGACAAGAAACAATAGATGGAAACTAATCAAGGAGAGAAGCAGTGTGGAATTAAGGAGAAACTTCCCAACAGTGAGGACAATTAACCAGTAAAACAGCTTGTCTTCAGAAATTGTGGGTGCTCCATCACTGGAGGCTTTTAAAAAGAGACTAGACAGCCACTTGTGTGGAATGGTATAGGGTCTCCTAGAAGACCTCTAAGGTCCCTCTAGCTCTGTTTTGCATGTATGTATGTAAGACAACAATGTCTTGATGGGACAAACCCCGATACATTTATTACTGCACATTTTTTTTTATATCACAGTGCATTGGTAATTTTTAGTTTCAGTTTTAGTAAAGAAACAAAACAAAAAACGACTAAGTTAAAAGCAAATAGATTGAAAAAAAAAAGAATAAAAATATGGGACTGCATTCACCCATAGAGAAAGGTAATTTGGGGGAGGGGAAAAATATTGCTAATTTAGCTAATAAATTGTGGACAGTTTTGATTATTTTTCTTGGCAGGGTTTTTAAAGTTCTTTAATTGGGTTAAATTTTTCAACCAAAGCAGTTTTCTACACTTGAAATTGAGAGCATATTTACAAATATGTATTTTACTTTTCCTGTGTTTTGCAAGAACAAACCTGGCAGCTAGCAACAGGGGGTTGAATTAATCTTTTAATTGCCCCTGTTTGGGGTTTGGAAATGACAATAACGCCTATCCAAAAGGTTTATTGTGAGAGCTTGTGGACTGATTTGTTTCAAATTTCAAAAACGTAGAGATAATTGAACACACCAGATTGAACACACCCACACCAGGGTGGGTGGATAGGCAGGCAGGCAGGCAGGCAGGCATAATTTTATTAAACTTAATATAAAATACAAATGAAAATAATGAACAGGGAAATGGTTAAAGGGAAAAAGGAAGAAAAAAGATGTAGTGGGAAAGAAAAAAAGTGATTTCCAGTAAGTTATATAGTAGAGTTATAATCTCTGCTTTTTACTTCTGTATAGTTAGTGAGTACAAACTATAACAACAATCTATTTGGATCATCAAAATCCAAAGTCAAAAGTTTCATTTTCTTCTCTTTTGAACAGGAAGCCTAGAAGCAGTTTCCAAGTGAAGACAGAGCTAGATATATTTTTCTCCTTAAATCAAATAGTTAACTTCGCCATCTTTGCCATTTCTATCACTTTTTTTTCTATTCCCTTTGGTTTTTAAAGTGAAATTTAAGCAGATAGTGCTCTTTTGAACAAAGCACACCACAACATACTTTATTTTTTTAATTTTTTATTCATACAGCGTAAATTCACGAAATTATAACCACAGAGCGGCTGCTTTGTTAGATCTAAAGCACTAATTTAATTTGTATATACCTTTGTGTTGTTCAGATCACAGAAAGTACTTTTTCACGTATGTTAAAATGCATACAGGTGGTCCACAACTTACAACAGTTCATTTAGTGACCGTTTAAAGTTACAGCGCTGAAAAAAGTGACTTGTCACATCCCCGTGGTCACATAGTCAAAATTCAGACACTTGGCCACTGACTCGTACTTACGACGGTTGCAGCGTCCCGGGGTCACGTTGATCCCCTTTTGCGACCTTCTGACAAGCAAAGTCAATGGGGAAGCTAGATTCACTTAACAGCTGCGTTACTAACTTAACAGCTGCAACGATCCACGTAACAACCGTGGCAAGAACGGTCGTAAAATGGGGCAAAGCACCCTTAATACATGTCTCAGTTAGCAACAGAAATTTTGGGGCTCAATTGCGGTCGTAAGTCGAGGACTCCCTGGAACTATGTGTTAGTACGCCAGATTCTCCACACATCTCAGACTAGGTTGGTTGGTAGATTGAAGTAATGGAAGCTATGAATCGGAAACATTTCGCAAATCTTAATTAGAATAAATAATTAAATAAAACGCCTTTGCAAACGAGAGGGAGGGAAAATAAATATTGACAGACTGGATTTTGTAGATGGCTGTGGGAAAGTCTTCCTGGTTTGAATTAACCTTGCTAGTGACCCCTGAGGTAAATGAAGTGACATGAGACACGCCTTCTTAACACTTCAAACACAGGTTTTTGACCATTTAACTAACATTTATCCTTTTCTTCTCTCCAACAAGGCGAGTAAAGACCAATCTCTGATGTAAATGTTTGTTATGGGGACAGATTTGCCATTGGTGATAATTTGGCGAGGAGAGGGGCAACATATGGAGGGAATTAGAATAAAGTCATTATTTGGTCTGCTACAGATGCTGAATTAGATTTGGAATGGTTGGTAATAAACGATAGCACAATTATGGTTTTCTAATAACACCCCCTCTGCCCAAAAATCCCCCAAGCAAAATCCTATTTGCTATTGAAATAGTGCAGAACAGACTTTTTTTTTTTTCCAGATTCGTTGCAAGCAGAGACTTAAGCTTCTGCAATACATTACAAGGGCAGAATAAGCGGAGTTCCGTAGCAAGTAAACAGCAGTGTTGCAAATCCTTGAAACTGACTTTGTTTTCTATTGTGAAATTTTGGAGGGCATAATTGTTACATGGCTTTTAAAACTTAAGCTACCATCAGCTCTGATGTTTATTATTATCAGACAAGGACTATCTGCCAGTTTTGGTTGATCTGGGGGGAAAAACAAGTAACTTTTCACCCTTCCCTTTAGACTAAAGCTCAGACAAAATTGAGTAGCATGTTTGAAAAGCCTAGGACGGAATTGGCATCAAGAGTTAACAACAGTGTGCATGTATTCCAGTGTTTTTTCAAACTCCATGCAGTCTGACAAATTCTGGGAATCGAAGTCCACATAGCCTAAAGTTGCCAAGTTTAAAAAATACTGGTCTATCTTACTTGCCAAGGATGGGTGAATTATCTTCATGCTAATCTTTGGAACTTCCCATTTTATCCGTCTTCAAAGAAGAAAATAGGAAAAGGTGGGAAACAATATCTGATTGATTTCTTGGCCCTTCAAAGGGCAGCAAACAAATCAGGCAGAAGATGGAAGGGATGGGAAAGATCTACTCTCCAACAATAATTAGGCAGTGACCATAATTTAATACTATGCATAGTTTCTCTTCCCACGGCACACTTAAACTGAATTCATGAAGACTTAATGTTCTGTGAAAATATGAAAAGAACATTAGTTGACCAGATCAACTAATGGAGTTAGATTTAAAGTCAGCTTAAATAAAGCCAATATTGCAGAATTCAATTAACTCCACTTAAGTGTACAGTATCATAGGAACTAGTGACCCTTGAATTAATCTTTACCTTGTCCTAGATTTAGGAGCCATTCCATAGTAGTCAAAAATAGAAAAAAGAGACAGGTTGGGCTCCTGTCAGATCTTCCATTGGTAGTGATATCCTGGCATGGAAATAGGAAGTTGCAAATGATGGGGGAGGATATGACAGCTGCCTCTGTAGCAGCTTTGGGGGGGGGGGGTTGTAAAAAAACGGCTGCCAAGCTGGGATGAGTCAAGATATTAAGAGAAGGTGATGGCCAGCATCTTTTAACTAAGGCATCACTCTGGACATGATACTTTTCCCTATAAAAGTATTTTGGAACAGCCTTACTGCAAGTCAGACTGTCTGCCTAGTTACTTGTTGGCATAATTCTCCAAATCCTGCAAAGCTTTCTCATCTCTTGGTTCCTGTCAGTTGCTTAAAATGAAGAGGTTACAGATCAAACCTGGCATGTAGCCAAGATAGATTAACCCACTCCAAGCACACTGCATAATAAACCCGGCATAGAGAGTCCGTGCAGTATGGTCCAGGTGGAACAGTAATCTGTTCATCAAAGATGCTGGCTTTTTCCTCTTTTAGTCTTAAACTCTAGTTGTGTCCTATTGTAGCCTATCACTTAGCCAGGGGTGTCAAACTTAGCCAGGGGTGTCAAACACAGGCAGGATGCGTCATGTCGAAACCGCACTCACCCCATTGCTGGCAGTGAGGAAAAAGTCACGACACGTTGCGACACATCACGAGACTTTGCGAGTTTGACACCCCTGACTTAAGACTCAGGCAGCCTTCTCAGTATAGTTTACCTTGCGTTATGCATTTCAGAATTTAGAAGACGCAACTCCTTGCCCATCAAGCAATAGCTAGCCTTTTGAGTCCCAGCAAACTGCCACCATTGATATCACTTGGTATCACCTTCAGCGCCTGCTACCTGAGGCGGGTATCTTATTCTGCCAGAGCCCTGAACACAAACTTTGTGCACCTCTTTCTAAGGAAAGGCTCTTAAACCTAAGGATGTAACATAAACAGGAGAGAAGAGTGAAGTTCAAGAGTGGTGTTCATCAATTCTCTGGGATACAGTCTTCAGTCAGTGATTCGTTAGTGGGCTGAAGTCAGACCATCATTCAGGAAAAATTTGCCAGGAGGGAAAATTTTAGTATCTGAGGGCTTGCGCAGATGTAGATTTGGTCAAACGATTCCGGAGGTGGTTAGCAAAATCCATTTGGGTTTGAGAAAGAACTTGGTTGATTAGTGTCTTTGGAAGCCATCCCTGGAATTAAAAAAAAAGGGGGGGGGGGATGTTAAACCAGGTTGCTCTGCAGTTAGAAATAGACTCAAGCTCCATGTCAAGAAAAAGAAACTTAGTAGTTCAACAGCTTCTGTAGAGCTACAATTTGGGGAGTGAACCTATAAATTTCATAACTTTATTAAGCCTGCATTAAGGACTTTTGTGTTTCTGGCCTGAAATTTGTCATTGACTTAACAATTCGTTTAGTGACCGTTCAAAGCTACAACGGCACTGGAAAATGTGATTTACGACTATCTTTCACAGTTACGACCTCTGCAGTGTCCCATGATCACGTGATCAAAATTCAGATGCTTGGCAGCTGGTTCGTGCTTACGACCGTTGTGGTGTCCCAAAGTCACTTCATTCCCTTCTGCACCCTTCTGACAAGCAAAGTCAATGGGGAAGCCAGAGTCACTTAACCAGGTTACTAACTTATCAGTTGCAGGGATTCACTTCACAACTGAGGCAATAAAAGATAAAAGGGACCAAAACTCACTTAACAAATGTTTCACTTAACAACAGAAATTTGGGGCTCAGTTGTCGTAAGTTGAGGACTACCTGTACTAATAAGTTTTAGCTATGAAAATAGAAGGGGAGTTTATTTCTTATCCAATTCTCCATGCAGATATTTAATCAAATTGTGAATCCATATATCTTTGTACTTGGTGATTCTCTTGTTAGTGGAGATGTTGACATTGTTCACAGTTGCAAATAAGAACAAACTTTTGGCACTTTTTTTTTCCCCAAGGGAAGAATTTTTTATTTTTTTTAAAAAATCAAAAGTATAATATTTACACAAAAGGAAAACTCATCTCCTCCTATTCCCAATAACTCATTTTAAAATGGGACAGTTGCAGATAGAGGGCTTTATATATAATCTTCCTTATTCCTTTTAATGATGATGGGGGGGGGGGAGAGGGAACTACCATCCGTTCAGGATTAACTTTCTTGTAGACAATACAAATATCCCCATTTAAGCTGTGCACTGCTGTAACACCACAAGCCATTGTAAGATGGCATGGAAGTGTTTTTGTAAAAGTAATGGGTCACCACGATTCAACCTGGTTTGTCCTATATCTTTACCTTTAAATCAATGCTGAGAAGCCAGGTTAACTTGGTTTGTGAGGGATTTCCTAGAACTGGATGAAGAACCATGCATGTGGGACCATTTTCCGCTCTGCGGAAAAGAAAGAAAACAAGTTACCCAAGAACGACAAGGAATAACCCCGCCACAGTTCAATTCTTTCTTTGCTTACACTCAACAGACAGAATCTTGCCAGACTAAACTCTTACTACTACCATCCTAATAGATATATACCCAGAGAGATTCTAGGGAGTGGCTATTCTAACTCTCTTCCTTTGTCTTTGATCCAGCTCTGGTCTGTGTTGCCTCTTGTTTTGGCTCCCACCTCCTCCTCTGAATGTTCTCCCTCCACATCACCTCTCCTTCCATTGATACCATCAATATGTTATAGCATATTTTAGCACATCAGCTGAAGAGAAGACATCTCATTAGTAACCATATTGTTACTAAGTTTGAGTCTTCGTAATAGGATGGCCTTTCTTACCCTGATGCTCTCTAGATGTCCTGTATTTTTTCAGGATTGCTGAGGAGGATTCTGATACAAGGACCTAGAGTTGGGGATCTGTTCTGTAACTGAACTATGTAGCTTAGTAAAGGCAAGGGGTACCTGATAACTCCTTTTTGTTCTGGCATGGCGGTGTAGGTGGTTGACATGCCTGCTAAGAGGCATGTAGAACCACGCCGTTTGGAACACCGGACGCTGACAAAGTCTCGTGGACCAATTACGTTGCCAGGAGTTGGCGCTGAGGTCTCATGAGTGATCACGGTATCTTTGCCAATCTTCTGGAGAATCTATGAAAAGATGGCTATTTTAATAACAGCAACAACAACATTACATTTGCCTATCCCAAGTCCTTGGGAAGGACTTAAGTGGATAAAAATGCCGAATCTAATCTGAACATCTGGCTGATTGTGCAACGGACCATTAAAAAAGACAAAGCGAAATTTTTATGGAGAAAGAAAGTTGGTGCATTTCAAAAATATAGAATGATTTCAGCTTTGGGTAACAGGTTAAAGAGTCAACGCCACGGAAGAGGCAATAAATGTATACTTTCATCTGTAGAGAAGGAGACACTACAAGCAAGTTTCTCTTGCCTACATTTGGGAGCTGTTTGTTTGCGTACCCCAAAACTAACTCAGAAACGGGGGCATCTCTGACTACACACAATCAAAATAGTGGAGGAACCTTTCCCACAAAATAGTGAGAGATAGAACACATCGAAAGAGTGTAGAGTAACTAATGTTCAGCTCAACCCATAGCTGTTGGCAAATTTTATTTTTGCACTTTCCCTTGCTCATGTTACAAGTAGAACTTATTGTACATCAGGGTTTTGAACTTGAGATTCTCCAGATGTTGCTGAACTACAGTCTCCTGCCACTACAATCCAAGCCTCTGTGGTCAAGAATGAAAGATGCCCAGAATTATGGGGAACGGAATCTCCCAATCCCCACTGAATATTCTCCAGCAATTTAACTCTGGGTATCATTTTTCTTTATTACTATTCTCTCTGAAGAATAATTTTGCTTCTAAAAGTTTTGAAAGGGCCACGTGCTTAATAATCCTTGCAATTTTTCTTCCTTTCCAAAAAGGGTCTCTACCTGCAGAAGCCTTACCTTGATTTCTTTAACATTCGGATTCCAGTCTCCCATCTGTTCCATCTTTTCCACTAACTCCTCATAGACACAATCTAGGGGTTGATCAACTACTACTTCAAGCTGGAAAACCTTCCCTACGTCAGGCAACACTTTGCTCAAGACTTTGTCACCATTGCCCTGTAGGAATAAACAATTTAATTGGTAGGTATTAATGGGATACACAGGCATCCCTAGCTTACTACTATTATAGGCTGTACACAGGGTCATCCTTGAAGCCCCAAGTTCCTCTGGCTCAGCTAAGAGACCTAATTAAGTTGTACTTAACAGATTTCTGTTGCTGCTCATAATGCTACAGCCAGCCATTTCTTACTCCGTTTCAACATTTCTACTTTACAGCAACCTAAAATTTGTCACTATCTCTTAATCATAGTCTCCTCTTGGAGAACTGTTAAGCGTACCATCACCGCCTCAGTTTTCCAGCCGCTTTTATCGCCAAGAATATTCAGAGACTTCTGGATAGCTTCCTCTCCTTGCTTGATGTAGGATATCTCCATGTCACTGAAAGGGTTCTCCTCCAGCCTCGAACCTGCACAATTGAATTAGATTTTAAGAAATAGAAATCAAAGAAATCACAATCTTCTGTCATCACTGCCAGCACACTCAAAACAGGGAGGTGCTTTCTGGAAAGAAAAAAAGGCAATTCTATTCTACTTGCCTAGAAGAGAACTCCTTCTGTGTACATTGTTGATCCACTGGGTAGGGCCAAGCCTGGAAAATGCAACTTTCTTCAGTTCCTGGACAATGGCTACGGCTGCTTGCCTCTTCAAACCTAAGAGGAAGAAGTCCCAGCATTTGTCAACGCTGCTAATATTGAATATTCTTGCTTTGACAATATATGCAGAACTGTCTGGTATTTTTAGAGTTAAATCAGGTGACAGTGAGAGGGGAGGCGAATATAAGGAAAGCCCTATAAGGAAAGCCCGGGGGAAAAAGAAACAGAAGTAAATCTTTGCCCTCCAAGTTAATTGGAAGATGTGAATCACGACCCCAAAATGGACGAAGGGAAATGCCTGGAATGTTATGTGCAAAGGAAGGGAAATTCAGATCTTAGCATTTCCACCATGCCGTGCTGACATCTCTGTAACACTAATAAAGGCTTTTTAGGTTAAAAAAATGCCTGAAGGTTCTTTGAAGTGTTTCGTTAACCAGACACATGGCAGCATTATTGGGGGGTGGGGGAAGGAATTCTCCACTGAATTCTTCACCCCCTTCCGGAGTCTACAAAAAAACAAAAACAAAAAAAACCATCCTGGTATCCTGTAAATGTGTTGAGATTACAACACTTACCCTCCCCAGCCAGTACAGCTTCAGGGATGGGCAATGTGTGCTGTTGGTTGCACGTCTGTAGAGGGCAACCACAAAAAGCTTTGATTTTGAATATGGAGGAATTTATTCCTGCACTGAAGAGCAGAAGATTCTGTGCCTCTACTTGCAGAAAATCCATCGGCTTCTTCCTGCTTCCAAGAAAGGCTGTTTGCACTTTAAACTAATCGTCTGCACATTTATTTGGATAAAAGTTCATCAGTAACTTGATATTCATTCTTCTGCTTGTTTGTTTGTTTATTTTGAAATAGTAATACAGTATAAGGAGAAGTCCATACAATTTTTCTGTCTTCTGTGTTTGCAGAAGGTTTAAATTGGTTATTAAATTAGTCTTCAGCATGGTAGGATTGTTGTTCAATGCACAACTAAACAGGCTTAGTTCCATAACGGGCCATAAAAGTTTCCCACCTCTGATCGAGATAATATACAGCTGAGTACATAATGGTTAACACCGAAAAGAAAATGAATGCACCATGGTTAGGAAGAGGCACTTGAGTTGCTGAAAAAGGCATGGAAGAGTATGTTCAGATGAAACAGCCCCCTGCTGAAGCTTAGCAGATTTGGTCAGTGCCCAGATAGGAGTCTGCTTTGAAATCCTTCATTGATGTCATCCTGAGATTCAGGATGGATGAAAGGTGGAATATAAACATTCCAGATGAATACCGTATATGCCGGCGTACAAGGTGACCCGGCGTATAAGACGACCCCCGTCTTTATTGCCGAGCTGCATTCCTAGAACGTCGTCTTATACGCCGGAAACTACCAGTATTTCCGGCGTATAAGACGACTCGGCGTATAAGACGACCCCTGTCTTTGGCGCTGATTTTAGCGCTCGCGGAAGTTGCCTTATACGCCGGCATATACGGTACATCAACAAACACAGTTGCCTTAAGTACAGCATTTCTCATTCCTGTTTTTGAGCCATTCTTTGGCTCCTGGTAGTTCTTATGTGCCATATTTGACCAATTGTAGGGAAAGAAGGAAGGCATTTTTCTAAAATACAAATCAGCGGTAATTGCAAGACTAGCTAGAGGCTTAGAAGGAGATAGAGTTGGTTTTTCACCGTCCTCAATAGTCCTACAATATTTTCCCTTCCAAGCTGCTGATAGCCTCAGAAGGAGAGACTGCTTCTTGGCACTACCGTTGACATAAGTGGCAGTCCTCAGCACCTGACTTTGGAAAAGCCTTGCCATACTAATCACTAAATCCACTGATAGCGAAAGCAGAACTGGTCTCTCAGTGGTTGTTGTAAGGGCGGAGGAAAAAGAAAGAAATAAAACGTTTCACTGCCAATGCACAAATTTTAGGGTATTAATAGGCGGGAAGTGTTTGCCCTCAACAACATCACGCAAGGTAGAAAGTAACAGCTGACACTTTTCTCCACTAGAAAACCTGTTTCTGAATAATGCAGAACCACTATAGTCGTGTGCATCTGAGGGGCTATTGTAAGTAAAGGTGCTGACTTAGTGGCAACATGGTCTGAATTGGCAAAATATTTTTCTGTTACTCAATTTACACATAGCCTTGTTGCAGTTCACCTTGTGTCCAAAACATAACACCTGGACTATGATAAATTGGCAGCCAGAAGAATGCAAACAGTATTCCCCATCATATTCATTCTCTCTTATTTTCTCTCCTTGCACTCCAGTTCACCTCCACTCCAGCTGGATCCTAACAATCTCCCAAACTAATTTGAAAAGGGAAATACTTTATGCTCTTGCTTACAGCATGTTTCTGTCTGTGCTACTGCTTGATAGAACAATGCACAAAGGTAATCCCAGGAACTAACAGATTAGCATTTCAACTCCGCCAGGAAATCTTTGCAGGCTGCAGGAACCCATGCTGCCCATCTGGGAAAAAAAAAACTAGCCTTCCATCAACTTTCCATCTTTGAATTTTATCTATTAGCTGGGCACAAACACCTATCGATTTGGCTTGATCTGTACTGATTTCCAAAGCAAAAAAGAGTATGGGTGCTTCATTATGGCTCAGGAATAAAGCATTAGTTTTGGTTGGAGAAAAGATCGGGATCAATCATCTCAGCCTAAGTGTCTTCCAAAGAGCTATTAAACTTGAACTGTCCGCCTGAACCATTCCAAAAAACCTATCCTGAATTTGGCTACTCTGACTTCAACCACAGCCTCAAATATTGTCTCTAGTCTTCTCTTGCCATTCAAGAGTTACGTGATGCCTCCTTACCTGTCATGTTGTGCAAGTGTCTGTAGGAAATGCCGGCGCAAAGCTTGAATGTTGCTGGCAGCATCACGAGAGTCTTTCAAAGTCTCAAAGGAGTCCCCGATTTGGATTGCTACTCCTTGTGTCTTTGAGCTCCGGGAGTATGGTTGTCACTGGAGGCTCTGCTGGTCTCCACCCTTAAATACAGCTGATGAACGATACTATTTTGTCAGCTGTGAGATAAGGAAAGACATCACTTACAGTAAGCTGGCTGACACCAAGGCCAATCTCGTCCTCTCTCGAGTTGGGGGGGGGGAGGTAGGGACAAGTGGCAGGCATTGAAATTGCAAGGAAAGCTCCACCCAAGGAAAGGTTCCACAATCCCCAAAGGGTTTTAAGCCAGCTTATCTTCTTTTGAAGATTGCCAGATGTTTTCCAGCCAGGTTGTGCTTCAAATCAGTCCTACCAACCAAAGCTTTTTCTTTTTTCAGCAAAAATCCACTTTGGGTGCTTCTATGAAGGTGTAACAGGTTGAGGAATGGAGTATAGTGATCGGTAACTAATTCAGGACCAGAGTAAACAGAGGCAACGAATTAAATTCCTGTGCCAGATGCAGTTCACTATCTAGAGGTGTCAGTCCAGTTAAAATTCAGATTAGGTAAATTGCAAGAGTCCTTCCATTAAAAAAATAGGATGATTCTGTTATTCCATGTATCGATGTGTTTTTGTTATTTAAAAACAGTATACCCCAAGTTTATAAAGTGATCCAGGACAAATAAAACATTGTCAGAAAAATAAGTATAACCGTGATGAAAAAAAATGTAATAAGAATGGAGAGACACATCAAAGAGCTGGCAGGACCTTGAAGATCATTATGTTCCATTCCTTGCTCAGTGTAAGATTTGCAGAAAAAATTAAAAAGAACCAAACAGAGGCCATTAATGATTAAAAAGCAGGAATGAAAAATCCGAGAACACGCTGAAATTGAACAGCAATTAGCCCTAAGCATCTAGAGGCCTTCGACGGAGACCAATGTATAAATGTCTCAAATCCTTATCATTATTTACAGAACAGAAACACAACCCGAATACAATGCTGATGCAACAGAGAATTATTCTGTGCCATCTCTCAAATATCTGGAATGTTTTTGATCAGTTTCCCTTAGTCATTAGATGTGGCTTTCAGGAGAAAATCAGCATTATTGAAAAACCTTTCTGTGACACAATTTAAAAGGGCAGCCTTCTTAAAAAATAAATAACAGAACACCTTAGTGGGATGAAACTTTGTGTTTATAATGCACTTCCTGATTTACTCTGTATCATCTGCTACGATGATCATCTGCTCATATGATAAGAGGACAGGAATGATTAAGGTAAGATCCTTCACTTTTCTATTACTGTTCTATGAGTTACTCTGCCACAGAAGCAGGCAGTTCCTATCAGGCCTTAGAAGATACTGTACCAAATGCTAAGGAGACTCAGTCCTGCTTAAAATCTCAGACCAAAACAAAACAAAACAAGATATTCCAGAAGAAGTCAGTCAGTGGGAAATTATAGCCAGTTTTATGACTATCATCCAGGACTGAACTCAATTTAAGGGAGCCTTTTACTTTATTCTATTTAAAATCATCAAGTAAACTTATAGTTTCATCAATTCGTAGGAAGAAGACAAAGGCAAATCATTTCTGCAAGAAAACTGCATGGACTTGTTGTCATGTCAAGACTGATTCAAGTCTTCAAAGAATCAAGACGGACTCAAAGGCACAAATATTTTAATCCTTCTCATCCCTAGTGCCCCCTGGCTGGACACCAGAAAGGATGACCCCGGGATGACCATGACAGATCTGAAGGAGGTGGTGCAAGATGGAGGGATATGGAGAGTGCTGATCCATATAGTGGTCAAGGGTCAGACACAACTGAACAGCTGACAAAGATGATGACGTAGAGCAGGGGTCTTCAAACTTGGCTCTTTTATGACTTGTGGACTTCAACTCCCAGAATTCTTCAGCCAGCATGCCTGACATAGAGCACTGTTTAAGAGGTTGGATTGAGACCAGGAAGTCAAATTCAAGAGTTTCTTGACCATGACCTGATAAGACCAGTCCCTAGCTTCATCTGAGCTACTTTATAGAGATTACTCCTGGGAAGATAAATGAGAGAAACTCCAGTGACACCATTTTGAGTTTTCAAGAGAAAAGACAACACGTACACATGATTAAAAAAAAAAATACTGACAAAGTTTAAAAAAAAATAACACCATGGCTATGACTCTTTCATGAGGCTTTGTGGAAAGTACTCTAACTGTATCACCACTGAATTCTAGTTGTGTGCCTAATACAAATGAATTGGAAGAAAAGTCTCTTGGAGATGATATATTGCAAACTTTCTCTCTGGATGGTATGTCCAGTTCTGTGATGGCTTTGTTTTAGTTCCCTCTTAAACCTCTGTAGGCAAAGAGGGCAGTGTGGTAAATGTGTCATGCACATTGCATCACTTTATTATACTGTTCCTGGTTTTGTTTAGGTAAATATGGCACTGGGGCAATTGTGCAATCTGTATTTTTTGTAATGTTTGTCTATAGTTGCGTTGTGTCCTTTTTCTAACACGCTGGTCTTCAGGGATGGCCAAACCATGATGGCTTTCAATGATAATGGAGACAATAATTGCGGGGCAGCTAAGCCAGGAGGTGTTGACTCCAGGTCTTAAGGAATAGACTATTCTGTCAGAATTATATTAAACATTTAGAAATGGTCCTTCAAAACAATACATGTTTGAGTTCAATATGTATCTCCCTTGTGAAGAGTTTAAATGCCAATGCTGTAAGTCTTTCCCCTCCCAAACCACAAAGTAGTTAAAATGCTTTAGCCTAGCTTGTTTAGTAACTTGGTCTGTATTGTTAGCTATGATTCAGACTGCCTTGCAAACCCCAGAATATTTGGTTAAATGGCGAAGAAGTATGGTGGGTGCAGGGAGACACACTCCTTCTTTGACAGTAAAGAAGGGAAGGGAATGCTATTGATGGGACAGAAGAGATAATCACATTTTCCCAAAGTGTGGATATCGGATAAAATATGATTTCCCAGCAAGGAGAGCCTGTCTGGATCTCCTTGACCTTCATTTTATTTAAGTGAAAATAAAACGCATAGACATTACAAAATCCAGAGAGACGTTAAATTACGAAAAACCCATATTAAGTCTGAGAGGCAGAGTGTTTCAAATGCAGATGGTGTGACTTGCCCTGCAGCATACCTTGACCTTGTTTAGGCAGGGGATAACTTCCATGAAAAATGTTAGAAGATGGTCCACAAAGTGGTGGGAGAGGAACGGAGGGTGCAGGTGTTGAAGCAAGTATGGATTTTAGAGGGATTCCTTCCTAAATGAAAGAAGAAACACCAGCCATCTCTGAAAACTCTTCATCTCTTCTATCTGTGAAACCAGCTGCATTATCGTTCTCAAAGGGGGGGGGGGATGCCGTGCAGGAGATGATAACAGTCAAGGATAAGCTGACATTTCCTAGTGAGTTACAACTGTAGGGATGCTCTTTCCCAAAAGCCAGTCGATCGGCAGTTACTTCCTTTGACGTCAGCTTGCGTGCTCTTTTGCTGGAGTGCTGACCTTCCAGGTTACTGTTGCAAGAAGGCAAGAAAAGGGGGATTTCTGTTGAAGGCTGACAGCTTTGCTTTTTCTACAAGGCAGAATCTGGGCCCAGGAGCAAAGCCATCATCGAGTGGTTAAAGATCCATCCTAGGCATTTTCCTGGCTATTTCCGTCCATGTTATATGTACTTATTAATGAATGGGAGTGCTGCTTTTTCTGATATAAATCTCCTCCTCCTCCTCCTTGCACCCAGCATGTATTCCAGCACACACCATCTGTAGTAAAGGAAATATAGATAAATTTCCATTGCTTGCTTATGTCAAAGATACTTTGATGTAAAATTTAGTTTCACTATAGAGCAGTGGTTCTCAACCTTTTTAATGCCGCGACCCCCAACCGGTCGTAAGTCGAGGACTACTCAACCGGTCATAAGTCGAGGACTAGTCAACTGGTGCAGCACCGTTTGCAGAATGGGACTTTTGGCGGGCTCAGCAGGGCAGAGACAGCCTGGACAATTCCTGTTGGCTTTTGAAAGCCAATAGAATTAGACTCTATTCAAGAGAGTCTGCTCTATTGGCTTTCAAAAGCCAATAGAATAAAAGGGAGTAGCACAGCCAAGGAAAAGGGGGAAAAAAATGGCAGACTGCGTTGTTTGGCGACCCCCGTGAAATGGTCGTTCGACCCCAAATGGGGTCCCGACCCACAGGTTGAGAACCACAGCTATAGAGCTTGTTGTCATCAGATCTGGGGAAGGCATCCGTTTCTAGGCTGATCCAATCACAGAACCAAGAACTGGATTCAGTAAGCCGTTGTTCTATCAGGCTGGACTCTTCTGATGTCCGATTCTGGGGTGGAGATAAATGCGGAGCAAGTCAACCATATAGTTGATTTTAATTTATTTGAAAATAATTGTCATAGCAGAGATAAGGGGGTCTTAAAGTTCATTTCATCTAGTATGCCTTGTTCATACATAAAACCCACTGTTTTTTCTTCCCTTGTAAATAACCTTACAGCATCTACTTAAAAAAAAAACCTACAGAAATTAAAAATTCTTTTAGGGCATTTTCTTTCTCCTCTAGGTAATGGAGAACATGTAATCACAGCCAGATGCCTATTCAATGTTTTAGACTGTAACACCCATTATCCTCAACGTTGGCCAAACTAATTGAGTTTTAGTCCCATATTCACTGAAAGATCCAGGCTGTCAAGTGTTTATTTGTGGGCTCAGGAAATACTTAGTTCAGTGCCAGGAACTTTGGAACTTTACTGAAAAGTGTAAAGGATACCCACCTACCCCCATAGAAACTGTTATTCAGCTCAAATCAGGATTTCACATGGTCAAATTAATCTTTTTCTTTTAATTGAAGGAAACAAAATGAATCAGTTCAAGAACATTCTCAATGGTTATGTCAGCATTTTGGGTTTCCTTTGTATATTCCTGGTTATTGAGTCATTGACTTCAGCGTGGCCAAAAATAGAAAAAGAAATAAATAAATCAACATAAAATATAATGAAACTTCAAAGGGCCCAAGGACAGAGCAATATTTTATTCTTGCACTGTGTCTCAAAACAGAGAAAGCAGTGGAGGGAGGGAGGGAGGGAGGGAGGGAGGGAGGAAGGAAGGAAGGAAGGAAGGAAGGAGGAAGGAAGGAAGGAAAGAAGGAATGCATGCTGTAAGCCCCTTATATCCAGGGAATGAAGGAAAGAGCCCTGGATGCTACACTCACATGTTTGAGCTGGGCCATTTAATACATCATTACTCAGCACCAATTATTGCTTTCTTGGATCCTTTCTTTTGATATGCTCTTCCTTTTGACTCAGGGAGTTAATCATTTTCAAACTTGCACTGTTAGTCAATAAAAGACAAGTCCTTGATGTGTAACCAATGGAATTTTCCCATATGAAATTGTTAAATGTCTATAATGGTTATGATATCATTTGTTGCAATGTACTTGGGTAACAAATGTTTTGAGATGAGATTGATATGAGTGGACTGGGTAGAATATGCTACTGCAACAAAGAAACATTTGTCCTGTTCCCATCTTGCTTTTTTGATGTGAGGACAGCTTATAAATTAATTTTAATCATTAGAACAATCATGAGCATCAGACACAAGATTAATTTATTTGACTGTGTTGATTGGGAAAAAAGTCTGATTTGCCACTAATTTGGAATTTCTTGATTCAGGAATGTACATCTGTTTATATATATAGATTTGAAAAAGAGAATGCCTTGATTACAGAGTTGGCTACAAAGGATTTGTCTTGTACAAAGGCTCGGTCTGTTAGGGAAAGCAATAAAAAAAATCAAAAGTAAGTTTTAAAATGGATTTTTGAAAGAGGACTTTAATGAGGTTTTTCATGTTAAAAGAAAGGGCAGGCTATCATGCTACCTTCCCAGCAGAGAAAGTAAAATGAATAGTTTTATACAGCTTCAAAAATCTGTTCCCAGCTTTATTTGTCTACTTTAAAAGATGTAAAAATCTTTCTATAGTTCAGTTTGACTCTAATGCCAGGCAGGGTGCAGAAAAAAGTATTTCTCTTCACTTCTTCTCTGAGCCTTGTTAAACTGGAGATGCAGGAAATTTCCCCTGCAATCTTCTGCCATCTTCTACAACCAGTGCATGGACTAATCGATGCCATTCTTCCTTTGCACCTTTCTCAAAATCGAGTCTGCCTGGTGAATGATGCTCTCCACTTTAATTTTGAGCATCCTGGCTTCTTCACTGCCTAAAACCATTTAACCAGCTTCTCCTGCCTTTTGCAGCCTTCTGCACCAAGGACACCATATCAAAAGCAAACCTCATTTTCTTAATATCCTGCCAGGTCTTTAAGGGAGTCAGAAAAAGAAAAGAGCTAGAATTTGTTCAGGTAGGTGGACGGAGATCAAACATTGGAGCCGGCTGATAAAAAGTCATTCCATTCCATCAGCTATAGAAGCAAATTGCAAGGACAGCTGCTGGAGCTTCTTGTACTATCAGTTTGATAGCAAGATCTGTTAAGATGAACTCAAAGCTTTTGGCAGGAGTGAGAGAATGTACAATTCCAGCTGTGCAGATGTGGAAAGATGCAAATGTTGTTCAAGGCTTGGGCATTCCTTGACCCATCATGCATATAATCAGGAATGGACCAAGGCCATAAAAGGCCTCTAGAGCTTGCAAGTTGCAATGGATCCCCTACTAACTCGGAACTTAATATTTGTAGTATTCTCTTGTGTGCAACAAAGAACTTTAAAGCCATAGCTATACATTATGATTAGATTTACACATCACATGATAACATGGTTATTTAATCATGGTTTATTGAATGAGCTACAGTGTCAGGGTTCCCACTTGTTGCTAAGCCATAATGGGATTTGGAAAACGTTCATCCAATAGATTGTGTGAATCTAATTTTAAAGACCAGGAAGCAACAGAATATTTAACTCACACATTCTTACTGAGTATAGTTCTAAACAAGTTCCAAAAGAAAGCAACAATAATTACCAAAAGCTGAAACCAGCTAAAATAATGGAAGATGGCAACACATACTTAGTACGTGATTTTAAAATGCAGAGGGAAACAGAATAAACCCCAGCTTGGATCAGAACATTCATAATGCTAATGGCAGAGATTGTTCTAAAGTTGCTCTCTTCCATCTCAGGGCCCTTGAGATGCTTTGAATGTCATAATCCCCAACTAGCATGCTTACAATGGACTGTGGGATTTGAAACTCAAAATGTCTGAATGGCACCAGAACGAACAAGGTTAATTTACTCTTTGTATGTAATAACATGTGAAGGAAGAACCTCCCTTGTAGAACGGAAGATGTACAATGGAAAAGATGATCTAAGAAGATCATCCATATATTAAACACTGAATATTCCAGTATCTCCTGTCTTGCTTTTCTTTGGCTGAGGACATGTTGCTTGATGTGTCTTGTGCTATAGTTCTTATAGATTTTCTTCTCAAATTCCCTCAGTAGCCCTCTAGGTTTAAGTCCTCTAGGCAAGAAGCATAAAACTGTGTGTGTTTTTTTTTAAAAAAAACAACTAAATGCTGTATCTGAAAGATGGAAAATTTTGATCTGGCCTGCAGGAATCTGATCAGACTTTCTAGCATTTGATAGTTTCCCTCTCTTGTTTTATAGTGTCTGTGGATTTCTCTTGAACAGTTGGGGAAAGGAGGGAAGGACAGAGAAGTCTTCTGTTTGGCCAAGGATGTGGGGCTGCCTGAAGAGTGGAAGAGAAAGAAGGGAACAGAATGGATCAGATTCATGAATTGGATAACATAAATTGCTGAAATGAGTTTAGAAGAATTACAAATTATAGCTGAGACAAGTTGGGGCAAGCACTTTCCCCTCCGAACATCCCCTGGAGTTCAAATTGATGGCAGCTAAATAACTTTCTTGGCAAATGAGATGAGTCTAACTACTATACATCCCATTTAATAGCTGATTTTTTTTCTGATTTCAGCTAGATCCAGAGAAAGTAATGCTTTATTAGAGTCATTAACCAGTGAAAGAAAACTATGAGACAGCAAATAAACATTAAAATTCCAAAACTGTAAAACTGGCTTGTTGAAGATACAACGTATTTTCCAAATAGTCAAACCAAACATAGCTGCCTTAACAAGTAGGAAATTAAATTACTCTAGTTCAGTGGTTCTCAACCTGTGGGTCGGGACCCCATTTGGGGTCGAACGACCATTTCACGGGGGTCGCCAAACAACACAGTCCGCCCTTTTTTTTCCCTTTTCCTTAGCTGTGCTACTCCCTTTTATTCTATTGGCTTTTGAAAGCCAATAGAATAGACTCTCTTGAATAGAGTCTAATTCTGTTGGCTTTCAAAAACCAATAGGAATTGTCCAGGCTGTCTCTGCCCTGCTGAGCCCGCCAAAAGTCCCATTCTGCAAACGGTGCTGCACCAGTTGAGTAGTCCTTGACTTACAACCGGTTGGGGGTCGCAGCATTAAAAAGGTTGAGAACCACTGCTCTAGTTGGAGAGTAACTATTGTAAATAAAATGGATCTGGTGACCAGGAAATCTGACTAGATGGGGAATTAATAAATGCAGCTGGGCATCTTTATGAGAAGAGCAATATAACAAATGTGAGTTAATGTCTCAAGAACTCTCCCCCACCATTATTTCTACCTGCCCAGCCTGATCCATCAGGAGTGTCAACTAGTAGGGCCCAAGAGAAGACCTTTTTCTGCCCTGGTATCTATCCTGGGGAACATCATTCCATCTTAGATTAAGCTAACCTTGCTGACCTTGCACAAGGCCTGAAAAAATTGGTTTTCTGCCCAGTGTGATAAAGCCTATCTCTTGGGTTTGTTGTGCTGGACATCTATATGAAAGAACTAAATCAATATAAAATCCTTCACAGAAGTAAAGTAGGCACCCTCAAAACCAGCTTTTGGGAGGACAGGAAGGAAGGAAGGAAGGAAGGAAGGAAGGAAGGAAGGAAGGAAGGAAGGAAGGAAGGAAGGAAGGAAGGAAGAGGGAAGGTGTCGCTGGTGACTAAGGATTATGGGAGCTGTGGCTCCTTGCCTAGAAAACATGAGGTTGACAAAAACTATGCAAGGGCCTCAGCATATTGTGCTCGCTGTACCAATGACCTTCAAAGCCATCATAACAGCACTGAAGGAAAATTTAGCATGTCCCAATGGACCGGGCGGGTCATTCGCCTTGACTGAGCAGTCCAAGGCTGTGTTAATTTAATAAACCAACAAATAAATAAAACTGTGATCAAGCAACAACAGCCCCCCCCCCCGCTTTACAGCCACACCTATATCCATAAAGCTTCCTTGTTTACAAAGAAGTAAACTGTATAAGAGTTGAATGGGAAGCAGCACAACTCTGGATGAACTTGCTTGGGAATAGACGCGTTTCTTCTGTCCTTTTGTGACCATAACTCATTTATATAATTTAATGATCTATATAGTTTCATGTATATTGTTTTAATAAATAGAGCTAAAGCATAGCTTTATTTTTGTATATCTTTTATTGTTATGTTTACATCTGCTGCAGATCGCCTAGGCAGCCCAGCAGCATCAACTGCATGATGGAATGTGAGAACAGAGTGTGGCTGCCATATGCTGTCTATGCTGCCTGGCTGCCATGTCCTTGGCTGCGCTGCTCCGTGTGGGCCACACTCAGGGGCGACTCTCCTTCAGGGGGGCTGCTGGAGAGGAGGGGGTCACGGGGGAGGCAAGGCTGAGGCAACGGCACGTGTGCTCACAGAGAGGGCTCCAAGGGCTGCCTCTGGCACCCGTGCCACAGGTTCGCCACCACTGACCTATACCCTCACTTCTTTGTAGGTTTATGTTTTATTTTAAAACTTTATAATTTATTTGATCTTATTTTAATGATTCTTCCACTATTTTAAAAAAACTTTTGCAAATGAAGATGAGGGTGATTCAAAAATCCTTCCATGTTTTTTTTTTTTTTGCCATTTAAGCAGGCTGGACAACAGGAACCAATAAATCTTGGCCTACTAGACAATTTGGCCTTGGCTGAAGATCTGCCTACTATTAAGAAGAAATGCTTGACCAAAACATTGGGAAATCCGAAAGCAAGATAAGTCATTTTGGGGTCCTTGAGCAGACACGGCTGGGTTGTGGAAGGCTGGTTTATCAATAAAATGTGGAACTCTCATTCCAAAATAGGTTGACTAGCCACTTCCATGCTAATTGCATGCATACATACATACTCATGTATTCATGAAATAAAAAGATAAAAATCCAAACAGTGAAAATTTTAAAAAGGTCTCCATCTGGCACCAGTGAGAATATAAAGGAGGCATCTGAGAAGAACATTCTACCAACTGACTCTGCTGCTCTGTCAGTCCTTTGGTCCTTCCTCTCACCTCAGACTATGAATTTAGTGAAAGAAGAATTCAGATAAAGGTCTTTGGATATGCAAAGATATCCAGTCTGATCCTGGAACCCAAAACATGCAGAGCATTTCAGATTTGTGGCAAAGGGACTCCAAGGACAGGACTTTCTCTTCACCCAGGAGAAGACACTCTGGCCCACAGGAATCCCTGCTGGAAACCTTGGGATTGCTGCTGCAGATAAAATATCCCAAAGACACATTTCTTTCAAGATTGCAGAAATGTAGGTCGCTCCAGGCCATGGTCTTAAAGGAGCTATTTCCCCGAGTTCCTTCAAACATTTCATAGTTATTTCAATCTGTATTACATAGCAGCTCATTATACCGCACCAGTCTATGACTGTGTTGAATCTACAATATCTATTTGTATCTCCTTGTGTATATCTTTCACCCCAAGTCTCTGAAACTCTAAAGAAATCAATGTCATTAAAAGAGACCATCACCTTTAGATCACTTTGACCGTCAATGACTTCACATAGACAAATCAACAAATTCTTAATGTGGTTTGCCATGGCTTTTTTTCAAGATTATTTTTTTGTTGTTGTTCCCAGTAGAGTCTACACTGATATTCCTTGGAGGTGTCTCATCCCATTATTCATTATTCCTGACCCGGTTTGACTCCAAGCTGAGATAAACTCAGCCAAATGCTGCCATCTGCCGTTCCAGTCTTCATACAGGTCCAATCAAAGAAGGCACTGAAATAATTAACTGTATGCTAATTTTTATTTTCATTTATCTGTTCAACAGCCAAGATAAATTTATTTTTCTAAAGTAGCAAAATTTTGCTATATTATGCAATATCTTGGCCCACCAAGGGTTGCCAATAGTTATTGTTGTTGGGGGGTTAACTTTGCTTTTTCCATTCTTTCTCCATGTTGTTAGGAGTTAATTTTGCTTTCTCCATTCTGTTGAGCATACTTATATTGGTCAATAACGTTTCTGTTTATCTAAAAAAAATAATACATTTTCTTCATTATATCTGTCTCAGGATAGAACATCTTCCCTGCCCAATGAGATCAAAGTAAAGTGAATGAGGATCCTTCAAAAGGCTTTTCCATAATTAAGCCAGAATATAAGTTGCACACAGCTTACCTGTGAGTATCTACTCATCAGCTTAAAAAGCTGGTCCTTGACATTTCTGCTTGAAGTGAATTTTATTAAATTCAATGCCATTAGTTCCATACATAGAATAATAAACTAGTTACACATGTTTTATATCTCCTTTCTTTTCTTCGGATAAGGCAATCTTTGGAAACATTTGTTCCTGTAGAATCTTTAGATAAACATGCTTATAGGTACTCATTTAAATGGCCAACTAACTTCAGTGAACTTATTCCTTAGCTCATTAACCTTGAATTTCTTAAACAGAATTGAACTCAGGCAGAAAGAGACAGTGAAGACAGCTGTTGCAACTTTGCCACAGTTTCTGAAAAAGAACCTTCCCCTTTTCTGATCCATTATTCTAATTTCCTGAATTTATTTCTAAGATGTAAGCAAGTACATCAGGAAAAAAAAATACTTTTTTTGCTTCACCTTGCATATTTTAGAACTTTATCAAGGCTAAGTTCACTCATCTATCTTGACTCTGCTCCTAGCCTTAAAGTAAATATTAAATTCTTGAGGTCCTTTAGGGAATGCCCTAAACTGCAGATAATTAGCTATCTTTTATCATTTTTACTACTGTCAGGCTGGCCTTGTCCTTAAATCACAGTAGCAGTGGTAACAGTGGTTAATTTTAGGCTGTATTCTTTTTTTAAACATTTTATTAGTTTTCTGAGTTTACAGTTCGTAAGTGCTTAGTAAACAACATGTTGTCTGGGTCCATTTGTTTTACATAACAACACATATTAAATTCCTAGTCTCTACCCCGTTTTTCTAGCCATTGATAAAATACATCCCATACTTGAAAATATTCTGTGTCTTCCTTTTCTCTAATCTTCAGTGGAACCTCCAAGAGACATATAGGGATGGTTTTCTCCTGTTTGGAGTCTCATCAAACATATAACTTCATACACAAGAACACAATAGAGCAGCTATACATCTCTCCAGTTTGAAAGCTTAAGAAAGAAAGATAGACTTATACTCCATTCTAAAGACAGACTGTATATATTTTTTTCCCTGAAACAGTACAGAGGACAATACTGTATACTGTCTTCTCAAGTTCAGTAGCCCGTGAGTTCAATCCCTATTAGAAGAATTCAGTCTCATAAACAGATCTGGAACTATGTACATCTGATAAATCTTAAGCAGGTTGAAACCAGGGATGTACTCTGCCTCCTAGTGATCCATATACAGTAAGTAAAAATCTTATGCTTCTCAGTAACCAGATACTATACAGAACTTCCACTGGCTGCTGCATATATCGATGTTATAAAAAAACAAAAGCATGTTTAACCTTCAGAACATTAGGGTTTTAAGTAATGAATATGGGTATTACTTCATTACCATCCCTTTTTAAGTGTATGTGTCAGTCATGTTTGACTCCTGGTAACTGCTTGGGCAATTCTTTCAGTTTTCTTGGCAAGATTTGTCAGTATCTTCATGACCCAAAATTACCTAGCTGGTTTTCAAGGTTAAGGCAGGACTAGAATTCACTCCCCGACTGCTCTTTAGAAGGCCAGATCCTGAAGTTGAAACTCAAATACTTTGGCCACCTAATGAGAAGGAAGGACTCACTGAAGAAGAGCCTAATGCTGGGAAAGATTGAGGGCAATAGAAGAAGGGGACGACAGAGAAAGAGGTGGCTGGATGGAGTCACTGAAGCAGTAGGCGTGAACTTAAATGGACTCCAGAAGATGGTAGAGGACAGGAAGACCTGGAGGAACGTTGTTCATGGGGTCGCGACGGGTCGGACACGACTTCGCAATTAACAACAACAACAACAAAGAACTCACTCGAACTCCTGGTGATTGGCCCAAAGTCACACAATCATCTTTCATGCTTAAGGCAGGACTAGAACTCACCATCTCCCAGTCTTTAGTCTGGTGCCTTAACCACTAGATCAAACTGGCTTTCTTGGGTAAATTCAGAGAATGCAACTCTTTTTGGTGGAGATTTGGTGTATATGTTTATTCAGTGCAGATTACACACAGCCCTGGGAATAAGTAACAAGAAAAAAACAGCAACCGTAGTACATATATACTGTATGAAATTTTAAAATTGGGAAGAGAAGAAATCCCAGTTGACTGACCGAGATAATTTTCCCCCCTCTCCGCTCTGGTTTCCTTAGACTGGAATAGGGACTTTATATTAGAATAAGCTTTGATTCCTTTCTCTCCTCCCACCTCCCTCCATATACCCAATAATAATAATAATAATAACAATAATAAAAAATACCCCCAATGCATCAGGGGCACTTTTCCAAACATGGCTTGGCTTGCAGCTTTTTTCAAGTTTAAAAATGTACATCCAAACATTCAACATACAAATATTTACAAATGTACAAAATAAAAACCCGAGAGGTCAGCCCAAATGCTGCAGGATCAGAAATGAACAGTGTAAAAAAAGGAGAAAGAAATAAAAAGCCAGCGTTAAACCAACTCCAACAACCCTGATGTACAAAGAAAAGGCAGATACAAAAAAGTCTAAGGGTCTGAAGTCAAAAGGGTCACTAGACCCACAAATATTTCCTCCTTTTGTGCTTCCCAGACTGAGAAGGCAATAATTCCTTAATATTCTGCTTACAGTCCTTTCACGTTTTTTCCTATTTGGTTCACTTGGATGAACCAATCTATGTGATCCTCACATAGATGAGGATCACCCATCACACTAGGCCATTGTACAGCCACAGCTTATTAAATAAGCTACACCTGGCTGCAAACACAGCTTACAGTAAAACTCCAAACCAGCCAGCCGTTTTATGGCTTGGCGTGATGTGCGAATCACAATTTCAGAAAATAAGATTTTATTCTCTCTTTCTGATTTTGGCAGAAAGTTGTATTTTGTTTCACCCATTCCTTGTCTGTAGCTACGTGTACATGAGAAAGAGGTCTACAATAAAGTATGTGATGGGGATTGACCTAAGGGATTTTTAGGCAGAAGGCTCACAATATGTGACCATTTTTGTTCAGGTACAGCCCAGCAGCAGCTGACCTATTTTAGACCAAACCTGTAGTTGATTTAATAGACTGAATTAACATTAAATGATATAAACACTGTTCATTGGATGACCTATGATCTATAGAATCATTTCCCTTTCTATTAGTTAAATTTTTGGAAGAATACTAGGAGTCAATATGTCAAGAGATTCTACTATTTCGATTAGCAGGATCTCCAAAATCTTGTGCAATGCGTAAGATTGGCATTAATCCTGAGATAGCCTTTCCTTCTACTAGAGCAGTGGTTCTCAACCTGTGGGTCGGGACCCCATTTGGGGTCGAACGACCATTTCACGGGGGTCGCCAAACAACGCAGTCTGCCATTTTTTCCCCTTTTCCTTAGCTGTGCTACTCCCTTTTATTCTATTGGCTTTTGAAAGCCAATAGAATAGACTCTCTTGAATAGAGTCTAATTCTATTGGCTTTCAAAAGCCAATAGGAATTGTCCAGGCTGTCTCTGCCCTGCTGAGCCTGCCAAAAGTCCCATTCTGCAAACGGTGCTGCACCAGTTGAGTAGTCCTCGACTTACGACCGGTTGAGTAGTCCTCGACTTATGACCGGTTGGGGGTCGCGGCATTAAAAAGGTTGAGAACCACTGTACAAGAGGGCAGCGGGCAACCTACAGGTAGTCCTCTACTTACATCCATTTGGCAACTGTTCAAAGGTAAAACAAGCACTGAAAAAAGTAACCTACAACTGATCCGACTAAGAAGAGTTGCAACATCCCTACAATCATCTGATCAAAATTCAAGCGTTTGGCAACCGGCATGTATTTATGACAGCTGTAGCATCCTGGGGTCACGGGGGTCACCACTTGGGACCTTCCCAGCCAACTTCCAAGGACTAAACTCCAGGGGAAGCCGGATTGGCTTAAGAACTGTGGCAAAGAATGTTGTACAATTGGGCATGACTCATTCAAGAACCACTTTGCTAAGCAATGGAAGATTGAGGACTACTTGTCCAAAGCCATTTGGGCAATAGAATCTTATCCACCTCTTTAAGAAGGGGAGCAGGCATGGATGAGATCATTATTAGAGTATCATGTCTGCCTGAAGATGCTGGATTTGGACTGGCCTTCCTTCATGTGGAAAAGCTATATGCATGTCTTTTAGTATGAGCACCACGCACCCTGCCTCAAGTATACTGTCAACACATGGCAGAGAGGATAAGCTATTTAATCAGAGCAGAAAGAAAGATCAACGATATCTAATCTAGCCTCTCCCATTATGGTAGACCTTCCTGCTTTAGACTGCTGATAAAGGCTCAACAGTTAATTGGTTACCCCTTGGGGTATTCCATTGTACCTTTTCCCCAAATACTTGCCCAATCTGGCATGGAACCTGCCCATAGATCTTTACAACAACCTGAGCAATTTTCTGCCTGATCTGTTAATATTAGAGCAGAGGTTCTTTCTAGAACCTCTGTTCTTGATTTCGTCAAAGCAATCCAAATCCATTTATTCTTAGAAAAGTAGGGTCCACATCTTCTGCTTGGAACTTCTTTGGATTGGTTCACACAATCCTCCTAAGAAACCAACCCAATCTTTTTCAGGAGGCAGCTACGGATCCATCAGCCCACATATGAAATTTGCTCAGGGGAGGGAGGCACCGCTTAATTTCTGGAGCTGAATTATATATTAAGAAAAAGAAATGGAGGGAGAGTCGGCTTTTGCACAAAAATGGAAGGTGGAAAGAAAGCTTGGTCCTGTTTGCTGCTGTGTGTTTTCTCTAGGCAAAGCCACCCACCCACCTGTGCGGTTCCGTCTCTTTGCAATCATCTGTTGCTTGACCTTTTAGAGAAATGGCATTAGACAGGCACCTGGAAAAAAAGCAAGCAACTTGGGGGGGGGGGGCAGATGTAGCACTTATGTTTTTGGAAGGGCCCTAGTGGGCAGAGGACGGATGCAAAGTGGGTGTGTGGGCCCTATGCCAGGATTTTATGCCTATTTATTTTTTGTACTAACATAAGACTGTTTTGTTTAAAACAAGAGCTCATTCTACAGATTTAGTTAGGGGCAACTGAAGTTAGAGAAGGCACTGAGATTCCAAAAAAGTAAAAGTAAAGGAGTGGAAAAATGCCAATAGCTCAGGAAGTTCAGTTGTTTACCTTGGGCATTAAGAGAAGTCTTTATTTCCTTGATCACGATCCATATCTGTGCAGTTTTTAAACAATCGCGTCCAGAGACAAAGACTGCAATTTCTTCCTAGTTCTACTATGTTTACCATACAGTTTAATAAAAGCCAGGCATCCATCCAAAATATCAGCAGGGTGACATTTGCACAGGAGGAAGGCCCCAAGCTCTCCCCTATCTCTCTAGCCTCAAAGAGCCTCTGGTCTTCCTTAAAGAGTTGAGCCTCCAGAAATCAAACTTTCTAGATGGGGCTTGCCAAAACTTGGGATTTAATGAACAGATGAGCTTCATTCTTTGGGCCAAGCTGCTCAGTGGGGCTCAGCTTGTCAAGGGTGGGCCCGAATTTTCACACCTGCCGCTGGAGGACCAGAGGGCAATTCCTATGCTGAAGTCTGACTGCTGAGAAACCAGCTTGCAGAGTTTCCCTGATATTTCACCCAGAAAGTCCTTCCTATTCCAAGGACATCTCTGCCTATTTAAAAAAGAAAGTACCAGACTGAGAGCAAGTCTTTCCCTCAGCAGGTCATGCAACAGCCAAGTGATAAGATAAGACAGAAGGAATTCTGAGTAAAAATAGACCTATCTCCCCCCGACCTTAGCAACATGTGATGGCCTTGGCAGATTTAGAGCCAACCCCTTGCAAATTACTTTGGAAGGGAGAGCCTCAGAATTTGGGAAGCTCCCTGTGGTTATCTTAGAACGGATGCATTGTTTTGGTCTCAGCCTGAGCCACAGAAAAGAGCCACAGTGAAAGAGCATCACACAGTGGCAACTTGAAGAGAAAGCAGCAACTTTGCCCACAGATCCAGTATCCTATCCTTTAGAGCAGGGGTCTTCAAACTTGGCAACTTTAAGATTCGTGGACTTCAACTCCAAGAATTCCTCAGCCAGCCAGAGCTGGGAGTTGAAGTCCACGAGTCTTAACGTTGCCAAGTTTGAAGACCCCCTGCTTCAGAGCTTCCTATGATCATAAATACAAATGGCACAATTTTAAAAGAAGTGAAGATGGGAAACAGAGTCAAACTGGAGCGCTAAAGTAGGTATATTATAAGCTAAAGAAAATCTAGCCCTATTTAGAAGTAGAAAACCTATAGTTGTTAAAAATGACAATTTCCAGCAGGGCCACCTAGGAAGGGCTAAAGTAAGAGATGCTGAGAATTGTGCTTCGCCAGCCTCTGGAGAGCTAAAGGTACCTGAACTTCCACGCTGTTTTTCAACACAGGGACCTGTTTCCGGCTTTGGGTTTGGAGAAACGTGGGAACAAGGTTCCCTATAGTGAGTCTTCTACTTCCTCTCCTCTGTTGTCTTTTCCCCTTCTCTTGCTTCTTTTCTAAGTCCAGAGAGAAAGGCTCTCCCCATTCATTTCTCTCTACATCATCCTTTCTATCATTTTCAAAGAAAAGAAGCAACGGGGATTTCCAATTATTTAGCAATAGCAGCAACCAAATGACCCTTTTTCCCTGAAATGAAGCACATTAGGGCAGGGGTCCCCAACCCCTGGTCGGTGAACCGGCATCGGGCTGTGACGTGCCAGAAACAGGGCCACAGTCATCTCCCCACAGAACCAGTCCCTGGTGCCCAAAAAGTTGGGGGCCACTGCATGAGGGTAATCAAAATCGGCCTTTTGAAGACAGCACTGTGACCTCAAATTCCATTTCTTTTCTGAAAATACCCTTCCTTTTTGCTAAGCTTTTGGCTCCAATTGGTTGGTTTCATTGACTTTTGTATCAGTCCTGCCCCAGCCTAGAGGAAAAATTAAAATAGACCCAATGCACTTGAGTCTTGTACTTGGGGTAGAGGACTTTCTTTGAAAGCAGAAATCCAGAATATTACAGTTTAAAACTTTAACCCAATCTTTATTCTGCTTTTCTACTTGCAGAGAAGTTTTATTTTCTAACGCAGAGGAGTGTTTTAAAAGACAATTGTCCACCTGCAGCCTGGTCTTTCCATTATCATCCCATTTGGATGTTGATCTTTTGGGAACCAATCAGATGAAATCATCTGGTTCCATCGTACTTGCGCATATGATCGCAGTCAGGCTAGACCCTGCATCTGCTTTCGTTCATCAGGATCCAACTAGGCAGGGTGAGAAAAAGGAAAGGTCATGTGAGGATGGGGGAAATACAAAGGCATAAAGGAAAAGAAATAAAATAAACAAGTAGACAGGCCTATGGAAACAATTGTAATAAAAGCTAAAATATGTAGGATTTTAAAAATACATCTTCAACACTGCAGGTTGAGGTCAAAGCCAGGGTTTGGGAACACTGAAAGACTTTCTGCAGGCTGAGATATCATCCATCTCTCTGTCTTTTCCTATATTGAGTGCCTCTAAAGCAGCGTTCTGCACCTGGGGATTTCCACGCTTCCTGGATTCCAGTTGACCCTGCCCAACCATCTGGTCTAAAGGCTGTATTGCTAAGGGATGACAGGTGCTGGGCAGTCCAGCGCAGGCTAGAGGATGATCAGCCAAGAAAGAATGTCCTAAAAGAAAGACAATCAATTGTTCTTCAACTTTCTTTGTCTTCTTTGTCTTTCCAATGGCCCCAGGCTCTAGAACTGATGGTGAGGGTGGGAGAGATCCTTGGAAAAAAACCCTGAATGAACTCCAAGGAGTTAGAAGTTCCATACACATCCACACACAAACCAACACACATTTATCCGTGAGTCTCTGGAAATGCCAATGCGAGAGTGGGGAGTCTTTCTTATCATCCCCATTGCAACTGTGTCCAAGCTGTGTGTTTTCTTATTCTCTCCAGTTGAAGGCTCCAGCCCTCACCTCTGCCATCTCCAGATATCATTGGTGGTTCTTTCTGTTTTTAAATCCTTCCTTCTCGGGTACCTCTCCCCAGTTGATCTCCCAGGAAAGCTGGGTCAGGAGGTGATGAGACAAACAGAACGGGGAGAGCCGTCGATGCTCCCTGTGCAGTCAAAGTACAGAAAGATGAAGGAAGACCCTGTCAACGAGTAGCAGCCAAGGTTCTGAACAAGAAGAGTCTCCGTGTCCCCAATCCACATCAGCACCAGGAGGGGGCAAAGGTCTTCTGGCCCATTGGAAGGCTGTGGTCCTTCAGTTCCCAGCAGTCACAGAGCCTGGCCCAAGACGGGGACTCCCACGTGTCAGCCTAAGGCAATCCTGAGAAGGCAAAGGAGGAGGCCTAGTTCCAGAGGTCAGGAGGGGGCCTGTGCCATGGACCAAGCTGGCGAGGGGGCTGCCGACAAGTTGGAATGTACACTGGTGCTGATGGTGAAGTCACTTGGCTATCGGGAAAAATGAAGAGAGGGAAAAAGGTGAGTGTGGAGAGGAAAAGTCTGCTATTTAGCATGACTAACAGGCAAGCTCTCTCTCATTGTTTGTTCTTGGAGAGGCCAGCAATAAAACCCAAGGCTTTATCTGTGCCATGCAGTTGCTCAACCACAGAGCTACGGATCTGCCACCATTCTTCAAGCAGAAGAATCCAAAGACTTAAGGAACCCAAGAAGCTGCTTAATTCAGTTTTGGGCCACTGTTCCAGAATTCCCCCACCACAACAACTTCTGGACATGTACGGACTTCAACTTCAAGGATTCCCCATCCAGCCTGCAATTGCTGAGGATTGATGGAGTTACGGCATAAATCTGGAAGATGCCCTGGTTGGAAAACAATGATTTAGACAGTGTTTCTCAACCTTGACAATTTTAAGGCATGTGGACCAACTCCCAGAATGCCACAGCCAGCAATGCTGGCTGTGGAATTCTGGGAGTTGAAGTCCACATGCCTTAAAATTGCCAAGGTTGAGAAGCACTGATTTAGACTAATATTGACCAGGCTGACTGGCAACAGCTTTCCACAGTTTCAGGAAAGATAGAACCCCAGAGATCTAACTTGGAAACTCCTGCAGTGCTTTATCATTGAGCCACATAACATTCCTCCAGTCTCCTGTCTCCAGCAGAGGTCCTATATTCCAGGCTTCTCCAATCTGAGTGATTTCCAAATGTGGGACTTCATTGCCCAGAATTCTTCAGCCAGCATGGCCATTGCTGAGAGTTCCAGGAATTGAGGTCCCCACATCTGGTGGGTGGCCAGTTTGGAGAAGACCCATATGCGTGTTTACCTGGAAGTATATCCATTCAAAAATAAACTTCTGACACACAAAGTGCATAAAGAATATCTTGAAGCTGAAGGTACAACACTGCTGCATTGCTTACTCAGGTTAAGTCGTACTGAAGAACATTAAGTATGGGGTTGGCAGCTGCAAGGATATATAGCAAAAAAAGGGGGGGGAACAAGATTGGATCTTACGTTACGCCGGAAGAGCCGTTGCAGGAGGGTACGCTTGGGTGGGTCAGGGAGTTGCTTCCAGTCCAGATCCGGGGATCGGGTGCCATTTGGTCCAAAGATGTTGAGATCCTTAAAGCATTCTGTCTCAATCATCTAGATAAAAAAAAGAAGTTACGTTGGTAAGAACGGTGGGGAAACAAGAGTGCTATATAATAAAATCCTTAAAACAGCTGGACAGCATGGACATTTGGGACAACTGACTCCCAGCTCTAGTGCCTCCTTAGATCAAGAGGCTTTGCCAATGATCTTCTCTTAGTTTAGAGGTGGTGTTCAACTACTATACCTCAGTCTCTTCCCTGATTTGCACAGAGTCCCTCCACGAGGGAGATGGGCAGTTTTTAAATTTGATCGATAAATAAATATTTGCAAATGTCCATTCCTTACCTCGTTCTGCCAGGGGATTGGGACACAACCGGTGGCAAATTTGGCATAGAAGTCATTGTCGGTTTGGTCTAAGTTGACGCCCTTCACAGTGGAGAATTGTTCAATGTCCAGTACGTCCTTACAGTACACAGCCCGAGGCTAAGGGAAAGACAAGGATTCCAGTAAGTTTGTCATCTCTAGGACCTACATATCCAGATGTGCAAGTCATGTGCAAGAAGAGACGGATCTATTCCCTTTGAAAGCCAAAGGAAGGACTGGGACTAAGAAGCTGAAATTAAAAGACAGACGATTCAGAATGACCATTAAGAATAGTTTCCTGAAGATAATAATAAATAAGCCATGGCAGAATAATAGTGGAGGATTCTCCTTTAAAAGGGGTGGGGGAGGGGGGGCTGGAGGGCCACATGTTGGGGATGGTTTTATAAATTCATGACCTCAACTGTGAGTTGAACCAGAAAACTATAAGGTCCCTTCTAGCTCAGTTCATGATGCTAAATCTAACTAAAAATGCCTACAGTGGATACTGAGGAATCCTATAAGATAATTTCTATTCTTTTATTTAGTTTATTTGGGACAGATTTGGAATTGTAGGGGGGAGGAGCTGGTGAGGATGATGGATAAAATATGTGGACACCAATACTATGTCAAAAAGCAGAAGAAATCTGACATGATCAGGGTGAGGAAGAGGGATATGATATTACCCTTTCAAGATCTGAAGGATTCCCATAAAGATGATAGCAAAGAGGAGATCTCCATTACTGGAGAGAAAAAGAAGACAACTAAAAGCCTGAAGTATCACAGATTTGACAGGTCATGGTCCAAAGTTACAAGAAACTTCCTGCCTCCTTTTCATTTTGAAGCAAACTAGAATTTGCTACATTTGGGGCACCAAACTGTGAATCCACAATTGTCAAAAACCAGGGGATTCTCCTTTGCTGAAGCAGGAAACTCAGAAACAACCTAAAATAGATTTAACCTTAATTTAGAAGAAAAAAAAATCTCAATACAGAATAACAACAGCAACAACAACTGGAGAAAGAGGAAAGCTTTGGCACTGGCTTAACGCCTCACCCCTGCAGATAATATACGGTATTTGCTCATTTATTTGTCTATCTGTCTCCTTGACTGCTCTTTAGAAGGCCAGATCCTGAAATGGAAACTCAAGTACTTTGGCCACCTAATGAGAAGGAAGGACTCCCTGGAGAAGAGCCTGATGCTGGGAAAGATGGAGGGCAAGAGAAGAAGGGGATGACAGAGGATGAGGTGGCTGGATGGAGTCACTGAAGCAATAGGCGTAAGCTTAAATGGACTCCAGAAGATGGTAGAGGACAGGAAGGCCTGAAGGGACATTGTCCATGGGGTCGCGATGGGTCGGACATGACTTCGCAACTAACAACAACTCCTTGAGTTCCTCCCTCTTATTTGTAAGAACTTACATCTGGCACAAAGGAGGGCTTCATAATGCCAGCTTCCAGTCGCTTGAAATTGATTGTCCTGAAGAATGGGTGCTGCCTCACCTGGACGGCCCCCTCACCTTTGCTTCCAAGCCGCTGTTTGGCGTCTTTAGTTAGGAGCTGAAGAGGGGAGGGGGAGAAAAAAAAGAACTTCTTGTAAGTAAAGCCTGTGACAATGCTGAACTCAGAACTTTGTAAAGCAGACTTTGTAAACCAAGCCCAAGTTGGCTGTTTCTGCCATGGAACGTAAACCAAGTTGGTTCTCAAACCCACTTGAGTCCAAAATATTTGGTCCTGTAAATACAACTTCTTATAATGAAAAGAAAGTGTCCGTGCAGAAGAAAAAGGACCCATCCACTTTATCAGTCTTTTTTTTTAAAAAAAAATATATGATCAATGTCAACTTGATTTTAAAAATTGAACCAATAGAAATGAAATAATGGGGACTCCATTAAGGTCTAAACATGCATTACAACAATAGCATGTCATGGCTGTGATCAGAAGCACCCCTTGCTGCTTCTCTTAATGTAAAATAATTATTTATACTATTGCTTTTGAAAACCCCTGCAAAGTGGGAATCTGGTATGCTTATGTGAGTAACATTTGGGACTGCTTGACTAAATACACTCTATCCAACCGAGCCCAACCATACACACTTGTGCACCTGTATATACACACATGGACACAAGTTATTTATGCCCAGTTAAGCAGCTTTGCCTGGCCGATCTTGGCTGATCACAAAACTCTTAGCTGGTCCTTACTTGACAGACCAAGCAGAATTCAACTGAGAAGCTGAAACAATATCCCAGCAGAAGACAATGGCAAACTACTTTTTGATAGTGCCAAAACGGGTTCATGTAGTCACCCAGAGGTGATCTCAGCTCCAGGGATGTAGGATTCTCCATCTGATACTACAGACTCATGGCAAAGATTCCTGCTTATTTTCTGACTTTCTCTTCTTTGTCATCTTTCTCTCATCACTCACCGACTTGCAGATGGCTTTGGCATCTTCAGAGAACTTGTCTGAATACTGTTCGTGGTCTTCCTGAACCCGCTTTTCCACCTCTTCTCTCTTCACCCGTTCCTTGCGGGCCCGGAATGGTGACTGGCCCTCAATCATCTCATAGATGAGGCAGCCAAGCCCCCACCAGTCTGGGCTGAAGGAGTAGCGCTCATTGTTAATTACTTCAGGAGCTGGGGAGAGGAGGAGAAAGGTGGAGAGAGCACAGAGACAATAATTTCACGTAAAGCACTTGATCAGGTGGCAAATTATGAGAAAGAATCTTCTCTAATTTGCTTCTTATAAGGGGAAGGAATTAAATGTGTTGCTTTTTTAGGAGTGACTGGTTGCAAAAGTGATACAGGATTTGACCTGGTTAGTTCCTGAATGAGAGAATGTCTAGGTTTGTAGTCTTAATTGGAAAGCTTAAAAAAAGGCAGTAACAAACCATTTCTGGATTGATAAGATTTTGTTGGACTCTTCCCCTTATTTTACTTATAAATGGCCTATACATGCATAACAACAGAACCAGCAATAATAATACAGGCAGTCCTTGATATACAACCATATGTTTAGCAACCATTCAAGTAGCACTAGCAATAGCACTTAGACTTATATACAGCTTCACTTAGACTTATATACCGCTTTATAGCCCTCTCTAAGCAGTTTACAGAGTCAGCCTATTGTCCCCAGCAATCTGAGTCCTCATTTTACCGACCTCGGAAGGATGGAAGGCTGAGTCAACCTTGAGCTGGTCAGGATCGAACGCCTGGACTGAGCCGTGAGCCTGCAATACCACATTCTAACCACTGTGCCATCTTGGCTCAAAGTTACAACAGCACTGAAAAAAGTGACTTGCAGCTGGTCCTCACACATACAACTGTTGTAGCATCCCCACAAGTCACGTGATCAAAATTTGGGCACTTGGCAACCTTTCCAGCCAGCTTCTGACAAAGTCAATGGGGGGGAACCTGGATTTGTTTAACGACCACAAGATTCACTTAAAAACTGCACTGACTTGCTTAACAACCATGGAAAAAAAGTTTGTAAAATCGGGCATGACTGATTTAATAGCTGCCTTACTTAGCAACAGAAATTCTGGCCCCAATTGTGGCTGCAAGTCAAGGACCAACTTGCAGTGATAGAAATTTGATTTTCAGTCTAAAATAGCTCCTCTGCCCCTGTTTTAAAGTACCATGTCCTCTCAGCCTGTGTGGTTGGACAGACCCCAAAAGAAGGTCCACGGATTGAGCCAGCTTTCTCCTTGAGTCAGCAGTATAACAAGACCTGGAGCAATTCTCCAACACATACCCATATAGCCCACAGTTCCTACACGGCCACGGATGGTGTCACCTTCGGGGATCTTAATGGCCAGCCCCAGATCTGAGATCCGTATATGCCCTAGATAGAAGAAGGGAGAAGGGGATCATAGAGGATATGAAATTACGATGGGGATCCTGTGATCTTTCATGATGGATACAGCTCTGAGAAAGGCAGAAGTGGCCGAAATTCTAATCTTCACAAAAATGTGTCTGCGTTGTTGTAGAGGCACTAAAGTTCAACAAGAATAGAATAGAATAGAATAGAATATAGAATGGAAAATAGAATAGAATAGAATAGAATAGAATAGAATAGAATAGAATAGAATAGAATAGAATAGAATAGAATAGTTGAAAGGGACCTTGGAGATCTCCTAATCCAACCCCCTACTCAGGCAGGAAACCCTATGCCATTTCAGACAAATGGTTGTACAATCTCTGCTTAAAAACCTCCAGTGTTGGAGCATTCACAACTTCTGGAGGTAAGTGGTTCCACTGGTTAATTGTTCTAAATGTCAAGAAATTTCTCCTTAGTTCTAGGTTGCTTCTCTCCTTGATCAATTTCTATCCGTTACTTCTTGTCTTGCCTACAGGTGCTTTTGAGAAGAGCTTGACTCCCTCTTCTTTGTGGCAGCCCCTGAGATATTGGAAGACTGCTATCATGTCCCCCCCCCCTCGTCCTTCTTTTCATTAAAGATTATTCAAATGAAGGAAGATCTGTGACCTCTGACATTTGTAGATAAAAGTGATTCTGAAAGTCTATAACAGGAACAATTCAAACATGTGACCTGTGGCACTCACCATCATCATCCAGGAGACTGTTCTCTGGCTTCAGGTCCCTGCAGGGGAGATAGACACACAATCCAGGATAAGAACCAGGTAACCAGTTTGAAAATCAGTTTGGTCTAGCAGTTAAGGCACCAGCCTAGAAACTGGGAGATTGTGAGTTCAAATCCAGCCTTAGTCATGAACAACAGCCAGATAACTTTGGGCCAATCACTAGGAGACCCTGTGTCCTAGTCCCCCCCCCCCCGAGGCACGAAAGCCAGGTGGATGATCTTGGGCCAGTCGCCCTCTCTCAGCCCAATTCACATCAAAGAGTTGTGGGAAAAACAGGAGGAAAAAGGAACATTAAATATGTTCTCCACCTTGTTAAAAAAAATAACAAAGGCAGGATACAAATAAAAATAAAGAAATTAACTGGGAAGGGGGCTTCCAGAACACTTGAAGCTTACAAACATAACAGACGGTTTGATTTTTGTCTAGGCACCTTCCAGTAAAATTACTTCCAAATATACCTCTCTCTCATCTTTCAAAGCCCAGAGGACTAGCTTCTAACTGGGACAGTCCTTTTCCTTTTTCAGTTGTTTTTAATAGCCTTCCTTGGGACATTTCCTGGTGGTTTGCTCGCTTCGTGGTAACGTTTATCTCGAAAAAAGCTTTCCTCAGACTAGTGTTCTTTTAGAGGTGTTTGATTACAACGCCTTCAACTCTCCTGCAAGTATGGTCATGTTGATTCAAACTTCACTTAAGCTAGAGTGCGGTTAGTCTGATGCCGTATTGCTGAATAAACATGGTTAAGAAACCATGGCATAATACAATGGCTAAATCCATGAAAGGAATGTTTGCACATGTACAGACAGGTAGCTGCCAAGAATCATCCACATGTCCTTTTCCCTTTTCTTCCCTTTACACGACTAGAAAAGAACCCAGAATTTACAACACCACTTGTCTGGTTGGCTACTATGTGCAAATCTGAAATAATTCTTTAAAATAGATTCCTGTCAATTATTAGATAAGTCAAGTCACATATACTGGCTGATTTTGCTGGCTTGTTCAAGAAGACAGAATATATTTTAAGTTAGAATGATCTTGTCTAATAATACTCAGGAATTCCCTTAATTCTTTGCCAGGGACTACATGAAAATGAGGCTCCTTAATTTCCACATTTGAATTAATTTGTATTTATTTTTGTATTTGTACTATAATGCAATGCACGTTACTGTATGCATTGCATGATAGTACTTTTCAGATTTTATTGTTTTATCGCAGTAAAGTGCTATGGGATTTTTTAAAGAAATGAATATCTTTTAATAAGGGAATATAAATAATGCAATACAATTTTTTTCCCATTTGCTAAACACTTTCTGGTCATTTTCGTTCCATTTGGGACCAGATGAGTTGTGCACATTATTGAAGATAGGTTTTAGGCAAATCAAAGCATGATTTTATTATACTACTATTTGTCTACTCTAAAATAAAGCAATTTATGATGTTAAAAAAATGGGCGAGGGTGTTCTAATGCACTGGTTTTTTTAATGAATGTATGCGCCCCTTGGACTGCAAGGCGTTCAAACCGGTCAGTCCTAGAGGAGATCAACCCTGACTGCTCTTTAGAAGGCCAGATCCTGAAGTGGAAACTCAAATACTTTGGCCACCTAATGAGAAGGAAGGACTCCCTGGAGAAGAGCCTAATGCTGGGAAAGATGGAGGGCAACAGAAGAAGAGAATGAGGTGGCTGGATGGAGTCACCGAAGCAGTAGGCGTGAGCTTAAATGGACTCCAGAAGATGGTAGAGGACAGGAAGGCCTGGAGGAACGTTGTCCGTGGGGTCGTGATGTGTTGGACACGACTTCGCAACTAACAACAACAACAACAATACACACTATATTGCCAATGACAATCACTAGGAGACCGCAAGTTCTAGTCCCACCTTAGAGGGACTCACAAGAGAGGCTCTTGCTGTAGATCAAATATAGAGCAATAACACAATATTTCTAGATCGTATGTTTGTACTTCCCCTTTACAAGGAAGACGAAAGGCCAGGGAACACTCATGGCTCCTGTGTCTTGGCACCGTAGAGACACAAGAGGGAGCTAGTAGTAAACTTGGGAGAATCCCAATTTATGTAGAAATAAAAAATATACTTAGAGAGAAAGGTTAATAGAGTGTGTTTCTCCCAAACAGACCAATTAGAATGCAGAACACTCATGGGTGTGGAATGCTAGCTGCTGGAGAAGGGGGGGGGGGGTTATGAAGAAGAGGAAGGGAGGAGTGGAAATGGAAGGTTTTGGGTTTTTTTGAAAGAGGTTGTGATTGTCTACTAAGCTCAGTGATCAGAAGCACCACCCTCTACAGCATTCTGTTGCAGTTTTCACCGATGAATGTTATCCAGCACTAAGTCTGAGTATTACAAAGCGATCTGGGAAAGCTTTGAATCTCAAAGAGAGAGATGATCACTATTACGAAGGTGCTTTCAAAGGTATACAGATGGACACTTGATTTCAAATCTATGAAGATTCATTTGGTCAGTGACCTCAAATGACAGGCGGGCGACTGTTATGCAGTGAGTGCTACTTTAAATCTCAGAGGGGTAAAGGACCATGCTGGGATGTGGCATTCCAAAGGGTTATAGAGACAACTGGATCCTTTTGTCTAATCCATTATGGTTTAACACATCTCTCCCTCTGAAATTGTTGGTTACAACTCCTAAAGAATCCACATGGAGTGTGCCAGGTAGAGTGACGTTGGCTTAGCAGTTGATTCCCTCTGCCATTTGATAACTCAAGATTTAATCAGATGAAGGATGATGATCACTTCTCCATCATGCCAACTGTGTAACAAGGGAGACTTTACCATAGCCCTTTTTCTACCTTCTTGGAAACAGGAAATAACTCCATCCCCTCTCACCTGTAAATAATGCCCTCTCGGTGCAAATGTTCAAGACCACAGCAAATCTCTGCAGCGTAGAAGGTGACACGCTCATTGTCAAAACCCGGGTTGCCCATGTTGTAGATGTGAAACTTCAGGTCACCTCCATTCATGATTGTGAGGACCAGGCACAGAGCATCCTTTGTTTCATAGGCATAAGCCAAACTGACCTGTTGACACAGATGAAAAGAAGGAGCAGTTGACTCCAGATATACTCCAGAATTCTGCTTCTACAGTGTCCAGCTATCCAGAAACACATAAATAGCAATCATCTTCCGCCTGTTTACCCCCTTCCACAAACATATGACATTCAATAGTTTAGGAATACAGTGAACTGCATTATTTTCTTATTTAATAGAGCTGTGCATGCTTTGAGAATGAATCTGTTGATGTCTTCCAGAATGCAAGTTCAAGCTAGTCTGTTACTCATTAAAGCAGCCACAATTTTTTTTTCTTTCAGATGAGTGAAGTCTGAAAAAATGATAGGGCTACTTTAAAAGTCACACGGGTCAAGTAATTTCTAGGAACTGGAAGTGTTATTTGGGTACAACATGATTTGCCCAATTAGATCTGGAGAAGATACATGTTAAAACTGGTCTGAGCTGCCCTAAAACATACTTGCTATTATTGCTTTTGAATTGAAGAAGCTTCATTTAATTATCAAGGTCAAAAACTGCAGCTAACCAACCAGGTCGAATCTGATACTGTGAAATTCCCCTCAGAATGCAGAGCCAAATAGCATTAGCAAACAGAAGTCTTTTGATATTTCAGTCTTCTAAAGGCCAAATCCCAAATGGAGTTGTCAACAGCACAGCCAGGACTTTTGCTCACCACAAATCGGCTGTTGACCTTCTCCAAGATCTGCTTCTCATTCAGAGCCATCGCCTCCCCTTTCCGCTTTTTGATGCGCTTCTTCTCCAGCTTTTTGCAAGCGTACATCTTCCCTGTAGCACGCACTTGGCATGCACAAACCTAAAGGCAAGAAAAGGTGGGATTGTCAGGGGCACATTTACTGGTTGCTAGTGACACTACAGTAGTGTTACTGATGGAAGCCCTACTCTTTTAAAGGTACCAACAAATTCGGAGTGCTTGGGTATGGTTAGGAGGGCACTGATTTTTCTAGCCTGCCCTATCTATGTTTCCTGGTAAAATACATGGGAAAATCCCATTGGAGGAAAATTCCCCTTAGGGTTAGGTCACCACGAACTCCTAGAGCAAAATGGACGTCACCAACAAATTTGGAGTGCTTGGGTATGGTTAGGAGGGCACTGACTTTTCTAGCCTGCCCTATCTATGTTTCCTGGTAAAATACATGGGAAAATCCCTTGGAGGAAAATTCCACTTAGGGTTAGGGTTAGGTCACCATGAACTCCTAGAGCAAAATGGATGTCACCAACAAATTCGGAGTGCTTGGGTATGGTTAGGAGGGCACTGACCTTTCTAACCTGCCCTATCTATGTTTCCTGGTAAAATACATGGGAAAATCCCATTGGAGAAAAATTCCACTTAGGGTTAGGGTTAGGTCACCATGAACTCCTAGAGCAAAATGGATGTCACCAACAAATTCGGAGTGCTTGGGTATGGTTAGGAGGGCACTGACTTTTCTAGCCTGCCCTATCTATGTTTCCTGGTAAAATACATGGGAAAATCCCATTGGAGGAAAATTCCACTTAGGGTTAGGGTTAGGTCACCATGAACTCCTAGAGCAAAATGGACATCACCAACAAATTCGGAGTGCTTGGGTATGGTTAGGAGGGCACTGACGTTTCTAGCCTGCCCTATCTATGTTTCCTGGTAAAATACATGGGAAAATCCCTTGGAGGAAAATTCCACTTAGGGTTAGGGTTAGGTCACCATGAACTCCTAGAGCAAAATGGATGTCACCAACAAATTCGGAGTGCTTGGGTATGGTTAGGAGGGCACTGACTTTTCTAGCCTGCCCTATCTATGTTTCCTGGTAAAATACATGGGAAAATCCCATTGGAGAAAAATTCCACTTAGGGTTAGGGTTAGGTCACCATGAACTCCTAGAGCAAAATGGATGTCACCAACAAATTCGGAGTGCTTGGTATGGTTAGGAGGGCACTGACTTTTCTAGCCTGCCCTATCTATGTTTCCTGGTAAAATACATGGGAAAATCCCATTGGAGGAAAATTCCACTTAGGGTTAGGGTTAGGTCATCATGAACTTCTAGAGCAAAATGGACACTGCCAACAAATTCGGAGTGCTTTGGTATGGTTAGGAGGGCACTGACTTTTCTAGCCTGCCCTATCTATGTTTCCTGGTAAAATACATGGGAAAATCCCATTGGAGGAATATTCTACTTAGGGTTAGGGTTAGTCACCATGAACTCCTAGAGCAAAATGGTGTCACCAACAAATTCGGGTGCTTGGGTATGGTTAGGAGGGCACTGACTTTTCTAGCCTCCCTATCATATGTTTCTGGTAAAATACATGGAAAATCCCATTGGAGGAAAATTCCACTTAGGTTAGGGTTAGGTCACATGAACTCCTAGAGCAAAATGGAACACTGCCAAAAATTCAGAGTGCTTGGGTATGGTTAGGAGGGCACTGACTTTTCTAGCCTGCCCTATCTATGTTTCCTGGTAAATACATGGGAAAATCCCATTGGAGGAAAATTCCACTTAGGGTTAGGGTTAGGTCACCATGAACTCCTAAGCAAAATGGAGTCACCAACAAATTCGAGTGCTTGGGTATGGTTAGGAGGGCACTGACTTTTCTAGCCTGCCCTATCTATGTTTCCTGGTAAAATACATGGGAAAATCCCATTGGAGGAAAATTCCACTTAGGGTTAGGGTTAGGTCACCATGAACTCCTAGAGCAAAATGGACATCACCAACAAATTCGGAGTGCTTGGGTATGGTTAGGAGGGCACTGACTTTTCTAGCCTGCCCTATCTATGTTTCCTGGTAAAATACATGGGAAAATCCCATTGGAGGAAAATTCCACTTAGGGTTAGGGTTAGATCACCATGAACTCCTAGAGCAAAATGGATGTCACCAACAAATTCGGAGTGCTTGGGTATGGATAGGAGGGCACATTTTATTCTTGCATTTTGACATTTCCTCTTTACTCAAAGTTATAGAGTATACAATAATACTGATAATAATAATAATAGCAACAACAACAACAACTGGAGCACCACTTGAACATCATTGGCATTGACAAATTCGCCATTAGTCAATTGCAAAAGGCGGCCTTACTAGGAACTGCTTCCATCCTGCGATGATATCTGTAATATCATCAAACATCCACATCTGCCTATCCCAGATCCTGGGTAAGGACTTGATAGGTAGACAAAAATGCCAAATCCAGTCTGAACATCTGGCTGACTGTGCGATGATCAATAATAATTAATAATACTTAATGTCATTGTGAGTTACACAATGACAATAAAGATATTCTATTCTATTCTATTCTATTCTATTCTATTCTATTCTATTCTATTCTATTCTATTCTATTCTATTCTATTCTAAAGCTCTTCCTCATTGCTAAGTGAAAATCCCAAGTCTTCCTTAAAGGTATAATAATGACTTCAGAATCTGGCATGTAGTCCAGAGGTTCTCTAAACATCAGATCAGAATCATCAAAGATCTCGCTTTCCCTATCAAAATTCCCCTTCAGCCAAGCTACTTATTATACATAAACACAATGGTTGCTTGCCTTGATAATTACGTAAAAAACACTTGAAGATATATATATCTTCATGAAAACAGCTTTAGATAAGCAAGAAGGCAAAGCAGGACAGGACAAAGTTATCTCTCTTTGATCTAGCATAGATAACTCCTCAAGAGATCTTGAAGGCATTTTTTTGACTAGAGGGCAACATCTGAAGGATGAAAGCTGAGATCCATTCCCACCAGCCAGTCAGAGCTGAAGGAGCTTCTCAGATGATAAGCCAAACCTCTTCAAAGAAAAGCAAGGAAGTCCAGTCAGTCGCCTTTTGAAAAGCACCTTTGGGACAATCATGATCTGGATGACTGAGAATCTCCATAGACAATTCATGCTCACGAATTGGTCACCTACATCTATCCTGGTCTGAAACAGCTTCTGCACATGCAACAGTGAGCCTGTCACGCTCACTGCTAGGAACTGCTATGACGATTCGACAGGCAATAATAGAAGGGTGATAGGTAGGCACAGCAGACACATTAGTCTGATTCGTTTTGATGAAAACCTAACCCGTACGCGTTTCAGAAACCTAGACCCAAAATGCAGCCCACTTAAATGATACAATTTCTACCTTCCAAATATGTCTTCATCTGTTCATAATTCAAACAATGCCTCCCTCCCAAAAGCAGACAGATTTGGAAAAGGGGCGTTGTCTTACCTGAACGCCTTTTCTCAGCAGGATGATGTAGAGTCCAAATGGATGGGTTCTATGACGGCCTTCCTGCCTGGCAGACTGGGTAAAAACTTCGGCCACACCCCTTCCTTTGGGCGTGACCCCAGTTTTGACTTAGGCGAGAAACTTTGTTGGAATTAACCTTGCAGCTCTTTATTATATCTTTATTATAACCCTGCCTAGACCTATCCTCTGGGTGGGCTTGGACTCTACATCATCCTGCTGAGAAAAGGCGTTCAGGTAAGACAACGCCCCTTCTCCAGCAGGATGGCTGTAGAGTCCAAATGGATGGGACATACCAAAGCCCTCATGTCCCCCTGGGAGGGAATGTCTAGGCTACCGAACTCTGAGCAGATACGACTTGTTGAAGAACTCTTCTGCCAAAAGCCGCGTCTGCTGCTGCTAGGGAGTCTAAACGGTAATGTCGAATAAAAACCGAAGGTGAGGACCAGGTTGCGGCCCTGCAAATCTCTTCCACCGGAGCTTGCGTTAGCCACGCCGCAGATGTAGCTGCGCTCCGAGTTGAGTGAGCAGTCACCTGAGTGGGTGCTGGCAAATCCTGTGAGACGTAGGCCTGCGCTATGCAGGCTCTGATCCACCTGCCTATGGTGGAAGGAGATACCTTCTTTCCCATAGTTGCTGGTTGAAAGGACACAAATAATGCTTCAGTCTTTCGGAAAGCCGAGGTGCGTTTCACGTAGAAACACAGCGCTCTCCGCACGTCCAGCTTGTGCCATCTGTGTTCTAGTCTATGTTTGGGTCTTGGACAGAAATCAGGAAGCGAAAGTTCCTGAGATCTGTGAAAGATGCTATTTACCTTCGGAATGAAGGTCGGGTCTGGTCTAAGAACGACCCTGTCTTTGAAAAAGGTACACAGATCCTTCCTTACTGACAGTGCTGCTAGTTCTGAGATTCTTCTTGCTGAAGTAATTGCCACAAGGAAAGCTACCTTCAGTGATAGGTGATGGAGTGAGCATGTTTCAAGAGGTTCGAAGGGTGCTGATGTCAAGGCTAGAAGGACCTTAGGCAGGTTCCAGGACGGGTACCTGTGTATGACTGGGGGCTTTGTGTTAGATGCCCCTTTTAAAAAGGCATTAATAGCTGGATGCTGTGCTAGGGAAGTTAAGTTGTCGCAGGAGAGTACAGTTGAGAGGGCCGATATCTGTCTGCGGATAGTATTGACTGACAGGCCCTTATTAAGACCCTCCAGTAGGTAATCTAGGATATTGGGAATAGATACTGCGGTCGGGTCTAGGTGAAGCGAAGCGCACCACCTACAAAATCCCTTCCACGTAGCGTCATAAATCCTATTAGTGGACGCTCTTCGTGATGCCTGTATGATCGATATCACCCCTGCAGAATAAGATTGTTTAGTTAAGCTTTGCCGCTCAAATGCCAAGCGGCTAGTTGTAGCCACTGGGGATCTGGGTGTACAAGCTTGCCCTGACTGAGTTTTACCTTGTCCGGGGGGATCCTCCACGGAGGTGATATCGAAAGGTCCACGAGGTCGGCAAACCACGGGCGCCGTGGCCAGTGAGGGGCAATGCAGACCATTTCTGCGCCCTCCAGGATCATCTTGCGTATGGTTGCCGGTATTAATGGCAGTGGTGGGAAGGCGTACAGGAGTTGCGCCGGCCACCGGCACCTGAGAGCATCCGTTCCCTCCGATCCCGGGGACGGGAATCTGGAGAAGAACCTGGGGAGCTGTGTGTTCTTGTGGTTGGCAAATAGATCTAGGTGCGGTTGTCCGAACCTCCGGGAGATCTCCTCGAAGAGAGCCGGGTCCAGACGCCATTCCGACTGGTCCACCTTGGCTCTGCTCAGGGAGTCTGCCTGGGTGTTTGTCTCCCCTGAGATGTGTTCCGCTCTGATGGAACTCACATTGGCTTCTGCCCACCGAGCCAGAGCCAATGCTTCCTTCATTAGTTCCACTGATTTCGTTCCTCCCTCCTTGTTTACATGCGCCTTGGCTGCTACATTGTCTGTAAGCACGAGGACGTGCCTCCTCGTTACTAGGTGTGAGAAATGACGGAGGGCCAGGTGTATGGCCCGGAGCTCTAGCCAGTTGATGCTGTGTGACAGGTCCTTCTGACCCCACTGGCCCTGTGCTATCTGGGTCCCCAGATGGGCTCCCCATCCGAACAGGCTCGCATCTGTCGTGAGCGTGACCCTGTTCGGTTCCCTGAATATGCTCCCCTTGAGTGTCATGGGGGATAGCCACCATTTTAGTGATTTCATCACCTGTGCTGGTACCGGCACTCTCCTGCTGGAGGTGCTGAGGTTCCTCCTCTGGTAGGGTAGGAGGAACCACTGCAACTCCCTCGAGTGGAGCCTTGCCCATGGGATGATGCCCATGCAAGATATCATCTTCCCCAGGAGCTTCGAGAGTTGTAGCAAGGGCACTCTCCTGATCTTTTGAATTTGGTGGATTAGCTTGGATATGCTGATCAGTCGCTCCTGGGAAAGGAATACCCTGCACTGTGACGTGTCTATCACCGCGCCCAGGTGTTGCAGTCTCCTTGAGGGAATGAGGTGGCTCTTGTTTAGATTGACCGAGAATCCGTGCCCCTGTAGGGTTCGGATCGTGGTCTTGAGATCTGCCCTTGCTTGTTCCTGAGATCTGGACTGAATCAAGATGTCGTCCAGATAAAACTGTACGCGAACCGGCATCAGCCTGAGATGGGCTGCTATTACAGCTAGGATTTTGGTAAATACCCTTGGTGCTGAAGATAGTCCGAAGGGTAAGGCCCTGTATTGGTAATGCCGGCCCGCGTAGGTAAATCTGAGGAATTTCCGGTAGCTGGGATGGATGGGAATGTGTAGGTACGCCTCTGTGAGATCTATTGAGGATAATAGATCGTCTTCCCTGACGCTGGCTAGGATGGACTTCAATGAGTGCATCTTGAACTTCCTGTACTTTATGAAATGATTCAGGCCCTTCAGGTCCAATATTGCTCTCCACCCTCCTGATGTCTTTGGAATAACGAAGAGGATGGAATAAAATCCTCTTCCCTCCTCTTCCTTTGGTACCCTCTCTATGGCTTGAATTGACAGGAGGTGAGCTATGGCCGAAGTTATCAGCCTCGTCTTGTGTACCTTTCTGGAGATGGGGCATCTGATGAACCGGCTTGGTGGGGGAGAACAAAAGTCTAAGGTCAGGCCATGCCTGATCGTTTCCAAGACCCAGGCGTCGGTGGTGGTCTGCTCCCAGACCTCGATGAAGTTTCCTAACCGACCCCCGATGGGAGTGTCCTGTTTGGCGTCACTTGGTACGCTTAAAGGATCTGCCTCCCGCTCCCCTATATGGGCGTCTGGACTGGAACTGGCCTCTGGCTCCCGGGCTTTGGCGATCCTGGGTTCGATCCTGTCTCGGATAGAAGGATCGTGAGCCTCTGGGCCAGTCCCAGGATTGCCCTGATCGAAAGGGCTGTCTCCATTCCCAGGGGCTTCCTGGGCGGGAGCCCTGTCTCCGGAAGTCCTGACTGCCTCTCCTGTCTAACTTCTTTGATGGATGCACTAGGATTTTTTTCTTGTCTCTGCCTTCGCTGACGTGTGGGTCCAGAATGGAACCAAACAGGGCTTCTCCACTGTATTTGGACGTCGAAAGACGCCATTTGGACCTCAGGTCTGTCTTCCAATTTTTGAGCCACAGTAGCCTTCGCGAGGCCACTGTGGCCGCAATGGACCTTGCCGCATACTTTGTTGCGTACAGTGAAGCGTCAGACACGAATTGAGAGGCCGCGAGGAGCTTGGCCAATGTTTGGTGTACTCTGACCTGGTCTGGAGGCACCGTGCCTTGCAGTTCCCTCAGCCACATGATACTGGCCCTCGCGAAGAATGATGATGAAGTGGCTGCTCTGGCCGCCCAGGCTGCGGCCATATGGGAACGCCGGAGGGAGTGTTCAAATTTCTTCTCCTCAGGTCTCAAGACCTCCGCCATGTCTCCTGGAATCGCGGAGGTAGAAAATAATGAGATCAAGGGGTTATCTACAGTGGGAACCTCTAACATGTTAGAGAAGGAGGGAGATAGGTTGAAAAGCTTTCTTTCCGCGCTGTTAGGTGCCGGTGGGCTCGCAAGTGAGGACCATTGTTCCTCCAGCGTGGTCATAAAGACCTCCGCACATGGGATGTACTTATCCTGTGGAACCTTTTTGGCAAATAGAGGATTGGCCTCCTTGCTTGTTGAGGGCTTCTCATCCTGTACTGATGTTAGGTTGACTGTGGAAACTGCCTTTATCAGGAGTGATTTTAGGAGCGCTGGGTTAAAGAGGCCAGAGCTTGTCGCCTGCTCAGGTGCGGTCTCCTCGTCCTCCGAGAGGGGCATGTCTGACATGTCCAGGTCTACTGAGTCACCCTCTCCCAATTGAGAGGAAGTTTCAGAGATGCTGGTAGGGGGCGGCCTAGCCCGTCCCTTACGGGGTGTGTGAAAGGCCACTTGCCCCTTAGAAGCCATGAACTGGGAGAATGCATCCTGCATGAATGCATGAAATTGTGCCGACCATATGTTCTCCTGCGCCTTGTCGTTGGGGTGAGGCGCTGGAGTGTGGTCGGGTGAAGAAGCTGGTGAGGAGGGATTGGAGGAATCTAACTGTTCAGTTTCCCCAGGAGGAGACCAAGTCTTGAGCACTTCCTCGGCAGTAGGTTCTGTGCTGGGTGCCACCCCTGGGACAGGGGAAACCAAATTTGTCCCATTGACATTGGTTCTCTGTGCTCTGCTAATTTGCCTTTCTAAAGCCAAATGTCTCCTCAAAGCCTCTCGCTCAGCCGTTTTGGACTGTCCCTTCTGAGAAAGGTGCTTTGTTTTAGCTTTCTTCTTCCCCCCCACCTCTGATTCAGAAGATCTGCGTTTTTGTTGTTGCTGTGGGGGGGACAATTGAGGGACCTGTGTGACTGAATACGAGACATTGTCTGCCATTGTGCCAGACACCCCGAGTAGGCAATGCCTGGAAAGGGGGAATGAGATACGCAGATCAGATGCAGATGCTTGGGGCTGTGCCCTCTTCTGCCTATACAAACAATGGCCGGACAGACAGGAATCTTTGGACAGAAGATCCTGCAAGGCAGTGACTAAAGGTCACTATAGGAACAGTTAGGAAAAGAAAAAATATTCCTCCTCACCTCCTCACCTAGTCCAGACAAAAGTACAGTTTATATCTCTCTCTCCCCCGGTCTGTGGCTGTGGTAGCAGACCACGCTCAGAACTGATAGAGGTTCTAATCTTTTATTCCTCTTCCTTCCTCTTGCCCAAGTGTCTTAATGTAAAGGAAAAAAGCGGCGGCTAAACTGCTTGTTTAAAATGGCGAATGGGAGGAAGCCCCGCCTCCCAATAGTAGCCGGATGAGCCACGAGGCTCCAACAATGGCGGGTCTTTAATAGCCAGCAATAGGGTAATTAACCGGCTTGAATGGCTCTTTTGTCCTTAAGGGGGCTGTGCCTCTCCGCTGGGGGAGAAAAAACGGCGCTGAGGCTCTGCCGGTCGGTTTGGGCGCGCTGCGCTTCTCGCGCCGCTCAGCTGATCAGCGCTCTGTTTTCCCGCGCCGCTCAGCTGTTTGGCGCTGAACGGCGCCTCAGCTCCTCCGCCGGACCGAGTGGCCTCCGTGCCACTCAGCTGCCCGGCGGGTGGTCCGGGAAATGTCCCCGCGCCAAACAGCTGTTTGGCGGGATCCGCGGAAGATCCACTGACCGGCCCGAGCCCCCCTGGCTAACCGCCCTGGCGATCCTCTCACCACTCCGACGATCCTGGCTGGGAGGCGTCGGTGTTCTATTCCTCTGCCCGGGATCCCTGCCTGCTGCAAAAAGGGGAGGAAAAAAAAAAAAAAACTGGAAGAGGATATTCTTTTCTTTGTGAAAACTCTTCTTTCCTAAGAGCTGCTTCTCGCACTTCTACCAGGCTTCGAGACTGAGTCAAAACTGGGGTCACGCCCAAAGGAAGGGGTGTGGCCGAAGTTTTTACCCAGTCTGCCAGGCAGGAAGGCCGTCATAGAACCCATCCATTTGGACTCTACAGCCATCCTGCTGGAGAACTGCTAATTATGTTTGAGGAAGTTTGTGGACTGATACAGAAGAAAGCTAAAATAGGCTTTAAAAAAAACCACACCTGAGCAAATCTGGCAAATTCACCCATCCCTAGTTAGAACTGAAGCCAAAGAGACAATCATAGTGAATTTGAGATTACAGGAATCCAAAGCTACTTCTGACCCCAGTTCAAGCTGTCACCTACCTCTCCGAAGCCTCCTTTGCCCAGAATCCGGTATTGCCTGAAGGTGTCTTTGGTCACGGATTGCCTAAAGATATTAAGAAGATCACATTGCATCACTGAAGACCCATTCTTATCAGCAACAGCTCAGCGAATGAGTGGGGTTTCTTGCATTCCAGCTACTCAAGGTTATTGTCTTACCTCTCGAGGTATTTCCACTGGAGGAATCTGTCAAAATACATACTGTCCTGGTAATTTGTGAAAGGGGCACCACTCAGGTATTCGTGCAGGCGCCTAGGAGATAAGAGGAATTGAAAGTGGGTGTTTTTCCCCCCTATGATTTACGAAGGAAACTTCTTTGTGGGCTCCCAAAGTGATGAATATTGGATGCTCTCCACTGCAGTGTTTCTCAGCCGTGGTGACTTTAAGATGCATGGACTTCAACTCCCAGAATTCTCCAAACAGTGTGCTACCTAAGGAATTCTAGGAGTGGAAGTCCAAACATCTTAAAGTTGTCAAAGTTGAGAAACACTGCTATATATAAGACCAATGGGTTTGGGGGTTTTTTTTGGCTTTAAAGCTACGTCTGCCCATGATGGTCCACCTTGGAATTCATTGGCGAGAAATACAGTTCAGCCTTGATTGGTGATCAAATGCAAGATGCATCACTTAGCCAGGTTCATTCATCCCTAAGCCAAAATAAGGTTTGTTTGAGATTGATAGCAGGATTATGGACAATTGTCATGGTGTGTAAACCATGATTTATTCCCTAGTGTGACATATGGATTCAATAAGCTATGATTTATGCATGGCTAAATAAACTTTTGTTTGATGCAAAATGCCATTTAGAAAATTATTGAATTAACTGGCTACAAATTGGTTAACAAACAAAAAAAATCAGCTTTCTTCTGTCCGATGCCTTCATGTAGCTGAGGAATAGGTAATTAGCAAAAACTACACTAAGTAATTTTCTTTGAGTTCATTGTAAAAGGAATGAATTCAGCCTCCCATTCAGCTCATACACACCTTTCCTTCACTGGGTACACATTTAAAAAAAAAAGAGTTTGAGAATTATTGGCTCTTTTATATGACACACTAAGCCCCAAATCATTTCAATATAGCATTTGTGCAAACTCAGCCTGTGTGGTTATGAATTATTGTAGTGTATGAACCCAGAAAACTGGACAGCGTTCAGTATGGTTAACTATGAGTAAGTGTGTCGCATGAGCGTATTAGCCACATCTAGCCACATTATTTGAACCCAACAAATTGTGGTTATTTTAATTACCATCTGACTTTAAAACAAGCCAACGTCAACCATGATTGATGCAGCTATCTTCTTTAGAGCAAATTATGGATAAGGTAACCATGTTTTATCCCAATGTTCTACGACTGGGCACCCTCCACTCATACATTTCAACTCCCATAATTCTCAGCAATGGTCACTTGGGTTGGAACTCTGCGGTTGGTCTACACATCTGGAAGGGTTCCTAGTTTGGGGAAGATTGGTTTATCATGCAACAAATGGGACTTCTATGCATCTATGCATACAAGCTTGTCCTGACCAGAAACCACCCCCTTGCCCTTCTCGCTTATAGATCTCTAGGGTGCAGTACTTACTGTACACAGCTGCCAAAGAGGTCCCTGCAAGGGCTTCTCTGCAGGTCTTCTATGCACTGGTTCACAAGAAGTTCACCAATTTCTGCCATATAGCCCAGGGACTAAACTCATACACATAAAAAGAAGGAAACCAGCCATAAACAAATGCTTAATAATTCTTAATGCCGGTGAACCCTCTGGCACATTAGATTTCAATTCAGTGGGGTCCTTGGTGGTGCTCTGATGATGTCACCTAGTTTAGTAATTTGCACTTGGTGCTTCTTGGTTTAAAGGATTAGCCGGTGACATCACATTGCCAAGGGGACGCACAGTTGGTGGCTCCTTTCATGCCCCCAGCTGGAGCAAAAGATGAGAGCTCACCCCACCCCGTGGCAGCACTTGGGTCTCAAACACAGGTTTGCTAACATCCAGCCCAGAGTCCCAACCACATGAGCCATCATGCTCCTTAGTTTAGTAATGAAATGTCTGTAAGAAGACCACCAAGCTCAGAGAACACGAAGAACTCTACAGCTGACCCCTGAGTTACAAATATTCTCTTCTGTCAGTAGATTTCAATTCTTATTCTTCTCTGCCCTTCACTCTCTACTTTGACTCCTCCTTGGGGTAAAATAAACACTTCCTAAATGCTTCTGAAGTCTCTGCTCTCGGTTCATAGAGCAGCCTTCTCCAGTTAGTCGTATTCCGTTGGCTAGAAGAAGGGCAGTTAGAATTTAGCCAACTAATTGGGGAAGTTTCTTCTGGATTACTCAGTGTTTGGACTCTTAAAATCAGGGATACTCTAAAAGCCAGGATCACATCCTTTGAAATGATCCTGGCACTTTTACCCAATCTGGCTGGAAGAAGAAAAATGGGGCAATCCCAGAGAAAGGAAACGTAGGTTCCTACAGATTCTAGCATTTGTTAGCTACACTTCTGGAATTCGAACCACCTTTTCACAAGGACCCTATCAATCTTCACCTTTCATATTCTGAAGATGATATACTGACCTCCTTGTTGAAAAACTGCCGCATGATCTCTTCTCCCATTTCCTTGCGCTTCTCATCTGGAGAAAGCTCATATTCTGCCTGGGAAACAAGAAAAGAGGGTCACCAAAACAAGAAGCTCCACCTGAAAAGGACATTATCCTGGAGGCCAAAGAGGACATCTATCCCACACATCTAGGGAAGCACTTCTTGGTTCCATCAGGTTTTTTTGTTTTGTTTTGTTTTGTTTTGTCAAGCCTGTATGTTTCTCCTCATTCTTTGCTGGCTCACAAACCACATGGCTCAAAGCTAGATCACCCACTCGGTCCTTGAGGTCTTTCAGTTTTTTCCTTTCATTTTTAAAAGGTCAAGTTGCTCTTCACAGAGAAGAACCTGGAGTGACCTCTGTCCTGATATAAAGTTGTGCGTTAACAGATGAAACATTGATGCCTTTCCTTCTTGCTGGTTTCCAGAATTGCCACATTTCCTGAGTTGTGATGTTTTCAGGTGCAGTTCTGGAGAAATGTTTTTTTTTTTCTGTTTTGCATTTAAATAACCGGCTTGTTGGCCAGCCACAGTCGTCAAGAAATTCCACACCCACAGATGTGTATTATTGCATCAGCTATGTGAATGGGCTTCTCTATTTCTTCCCCTTGCCCTCTGGTTGCAGCGCTCTTGCAGACAAAGGAAATGGACTGTTTCTTGATTAACTTGAGAAGAAGCCAGCACCTCTCCTTTTTCTCTGAGCTCAAACAGAAGTCATCAAGTACTAACTGATTAGAGAACTAGTAAAGAACAAAACATGACACGAGTTACTGTTGTGAATTTAAGGCTGCTTTATACTGACAGTGTTCACATTGTGCCCACTGAGGTACGGCTTATCCAAGGGGCTTAGAAGGTTGTGAGAATCAGCCTATTTCTCAGACTTCTGGGTGGGCCAACATCTACTCTTAGCAGCAATTGTCAGAGTCAGATGATGGACAATTGACCAATATTCTCATTTTATCAAATGCAAGTATGGATTGGTATATTTATATATGGAACAGGAGAAATTTTTTTTGGCATCTTTACAAATAGGTGTATTTTGTATGCTTCCTGGAATGGGTCAAACTGCAAGCATTTTTTTTATTTTCAATAGTGAAAAATAGTTCTAGGTTTGCTTTTCTCTAGTATCACATTGTTTCAGTGTCTTTTTCCTTAATATGTTGACCTAACTGCATATACATGGAGATGACACAATGGACTGAAAACAGCTCTCTTTTGGCACAAGTTGTCCTATATCAAGGATATAAGCAACTTTGGGGATATTGTGCACCAGATGCCAGATGAGATTTTCACAGCCCTGGTTGACTTCAGGGTATGAGCAAATAACAGATGGGAAAGCATAAATACTAGAGATTTTTCCTGGGGGAAAGGGGATGTTTATAGCTCACTAATCAACAAGATGCCTGGAACTATGGATGGAACACATTTTCGCGACTGGTTCACAATGACAACTGTGATGAAACGCATGCGGATGTTGCTAAATTGGTTTACTTGTATAAATACAAGTAAATATAAATCGGTGACTTGAATGTCACCAATTTTCCATACTTATTTGTGCTAGAGTCTCAGGGGGAGGATGCGGCTTGGTCTAAAATAAACAGAAAAGACAAAAATACAAAGTAGTTGGATCAAACTTCTACTAGGATGTTCTACTGACTACCAAGACTAGCCTATGATCTTAAGACTTCTTGATCTCTTCCATCCAAATACTAACCAGATCTCATCCTGCTTAGTTTTTCAAGCTCAGCAAAGATGGGTTAGGTCCTTAAGCATCCAAGGCATCTGAAGTTGCTAAGGAATGAACACCCTACATCCTCCAAGACCAAGCATGGCCTCAAGAATGGACCTTTACTATTTCCTCAGCCTGACTCTGAAATAGTCATATTGCAAATGTCTGGGAATTTCAAGAAACACGTCCTCATCTAGCTCAGAGCTGATCCAGGACAAGACTGAAGAGTGACCAGGAACTGTGGACATCCTAGCAGGCTCACATCCCACTCAAAACAGTAGGCAAAGTGACTATGTTCTGTTAGGCTGGATTGTGGGATTTAAACGTGGGGGAAAATAAGGAACTTGAGGTTCTCATGATAGAATGGTAAAGTATTATAATCTGTGCACCGATGCTACTGTATGAATGAAGAAATGCTTCGTACTCAACCCTACCAAGAACTAAGCGAGGATTTTTGCATCTCCCAGTGTGGACTTATAAAGGGAACTCCTGGAACTGAAACCTGAAGCCAAAAGTGTGGTCCTGCATTCAACTCTGCTTCTGGATTCAAGCTTAAAGTCCCTGTCTGTGATTCCCTTTAGCCCCTCCCCCCACATTCTTTTGGTCTCTCTCGTGTCCCCTCCCTCCCTTTCCTGGCTTATTTCCACAGGACCACAAGCTGTTTGCCTGACAGTGGAGAAGAGCACACATTGCTGCTATTAAAAAGTCTGACCCACAGATTCCCTCCCCATTGTTTTGGAACAGGGTTTGCTGCTAAGCAACCAAAGAGAAACAAGACTCCTCATCTCACCCCAATAGTGGGGGGAGGGGGGGAGAGGCAGGTAAATTGGCCAAGCATGCAGCAGACGGAACCCATTTCAGCAGACCATGGCGACAACGTCAAGTATGAAAGTGCTTTCAACCGTGGGAGAAAGGAGGTGGACCTCAAGTGGCCAATCAAAACAGGTGGATACAGGTGAATTTTTTCCCCCTCTGCCTTTAATAAATTGCCCTAACGTCCCTCCAACGTTCTTAAAAACAGGAAGATCCAAATTAGAAGGTCCATGTCACTGGGATGACTTGCAGGTCATTGCTATTCTCAAGGCTCAAGTGACATCTGTGTTTTTGTTGCTGGACAGGCTGCTGGGCCATGGTCATGAGAAACGAATGGGAAAGCATGTCCAACAATTCCCTAGAGAAGTAGCTGGATGATCACCATTTACATGGGTGCTTGAGGAATGCTCCTCCATATTGCTACTGTACAAGACTCTCAGCTGTTGGAGAAGCAGGAGAAGAAACTTGGGTCTGGGGAGGCTTTGAGGAAGGGAGAAGAATGGAAAAAGCCAAAGACTGAGTGGTTAAACACCTTGTGCTGTTGAGTCACAAATTAATCATGGGATAATGATTTGCTAGAAGACCCCCAAATCTGCCACAGATTTGCTAGAAGACCCCCAAATCTGCATACACAAGGTAACTTGATGATGGATGAAGCCTGGCCAGTGAATGAACACATACAAAAACAAAACAAAACAAAACAAAAACAGCAGGAAGTACAAGGAGATGGATCTATCAGCCCACCCATCAAATTAATTATTTTTAACCTGCTCCCCTTCCCCAGGGCACAAATTAAAAGAGCAATGACACACTTCTGACATAAAATAACATTCCGTCATCATCATTAAAGAAAGGAATTGGAAACAGCAGCAGATAAAAGCTAAAATCTGATGAAAAGCTAAAACACCCTATCATGGCATTAAATTTATTAACTAAGAACACATTGAAACTGCCTTCAGGAAGGCCATAAACGATGGAGCACCAATGATTTTTGGGCAAGCTATAAACAATGCCTCTGACATCCTATTACAGGTGTATCTGGATACAGACCGGAGCCTCCATTGATGAGGCTTCTTCTAGCAGCACCCAGCTATTCTGCCAGTTTTATTTTCTTAACTGCAATGGCTTCAAATTTATAAGTCCAGTGCATTATGGGTTAAATGCAAAAACACAATGGCAGATGTCAAAATAAAGATGGCAATCTCTGTTAACATGACAAGTCTTTGTGCTATTGGATGTTGAGATGGGAGGCATCTAAGATGGCATCCTGTTAAATCCACCACCAACTTCAGACTTAGCACTGCTCTCTATAAACATAGTGAGTTCATACAGTGTGATTTGTTTGGTTTAAGATTATCATGCTTTGTTGTTGTTAGCTGCGAAGTCGTGTCCGACCCATCGCGACCCCATGGACAACGTTCCTCCAGGCCTTCCTGTCCTCTACCATCTTCTGGAGTCCATTGAAGCTCACGCCTACTGCTTCAATGACTCCATTCAGCCACCTCCTTCTCTGTCGTCCCCTTCTTCTCTTGCTCTCCATCTTTCCCAGCATCAGGCTCTTCTCCAGTGAGTCCTTCCTTCTTATTAGGTGGCCAAAGTACTTGAGATTCAACTTCAGGATCTGGCCTTCTAAAGAGCAGTCAGAGCTGCCTAAAAATAATGTATTTAGACTATGATCCACGGATCTGCAATATATGTACATTCAGCCAGTTGCGACTTATTCAAGAAACCATGACTAAAGGACAATGGGTGAGCCCAGATAGCAATTTTCAGATGTGAGATGGACAAATGAAAAAAAAGAAGCATGTTGCAGTTGGAAGGCTTTTTTTCTGAAGCAATTCTAAACCCAGTAAAATTCTAAACCCAGTAAAACCATTTCTGCAATACTCAACTATTATATTAAATCAGTCTGAAGATATTTTGGTCTTATTCAGATTGCTCACTATTGGATAAGAATCTAACCTTGCACTTATATTGGATAAGAATCTAACCTTGCTTCTTGGATGAGAAGTGAACCAACTTCTTCCTCAAAAAACAAAAACAGTCCCGTTGCCTTTGAAAAAACACCTTTGAGACCGTTTTCCATAGACATTTTGCCTTGCACTAATACATATCAGATGATTCCCTATTGTTTGTTGAAAAAAACTCCAGCAAAGCGAATTGAATAATCCTATTCTGCACTTCTAACTACTGAAAATGCCGGTAAGAAATGGTAAAGCTGACTGCAGAGTGCTATGCTGCAAAAGTTTTCTGAGACCATAATTTTAGTCCTAGTTAGACCACTGAAAAAGTTAGCTTGGGGTAGTGGTTAAGGCACCAGGCTAGAAACCAAGAAATTGTTGCCTACTCTTGTGTTAGGCATGAAGCCAGCTGAGTGAGCTTGGGCCAGTCACTCGCTTTCCACCCAAGGAAGAAGACAATGGCAAACTACTTCTGAAATCTGGCCAAGAAAACTACAAGAGCCGAGGTGGCGCAGCAGTTAGAGTGCAGTACTGCAGGCCCCTTTAGCTGACTGTGTTCAGCAGGTCAGCGGTTCAAATCTCACCGGCTCAAGGTTGACTCAGCCTTCCATCCTTCCGGGGTAGGTAAAATGAGGACCCAGATTGTTGGGGGCAATGTAAATATATATATATATATATATATATACACATTGCTTACTGGTGTACACCGCTTAGAGAGTGCTTGCACTTAAGTGGTATATAAGTCTCATAAATAAATAAATAAATGGACGTGTCCAGGTAGTTGTCAGGAATCAACTCTGATTCAAAGGTGCTGAAAGAAACCTAAGGGGCAAAGAAAAAGCTCTACCTGCTGTAAACAATATTAAGGTTGTTCGTTTGGCATGATAAAGCAACCAGATTGTTGAGTTTGGAGATAAAGGTGTCACCTAGAATCTCTAAAAGCAGCCCAATTCCATTATAGCAACCATAGCATTTTAACATTTGGTACCTGGAAGTTCTTACTTTCCCCTGCCTTTTTTGTCTATTTCTCCAGCTCTGTATGGAGGGTTTTTTAGACCACAATTCTGAGAGCTTTCCAACTTTTGCTATTATATAAGCTATTCTGGTAGCTTTTCATGCTATAAAGGTTGATTAAACACACACACACAAACACACACAAAACCAGGGACAGATTTCTTGGGATTGTAGCTGTATCCATTTCTATTAACCTGGAAACAAGAATGGGAAAAAACAGGGTGCTGAACTCTGAAAAATGAAAAGCATAAATCCTTCCGGATCCTTCAACACGCCTCTTAAAGCATTTGATGCTCACCAGTTTTAATTTCCTTGAGAAAAGATCCCCAGGCCCGGTCAAGTTCCTGAACCGAATTTAAATAAACAATGACTTTTTATCACTCAGCCTTCTGCTGGCTGAAAGAGTCCAAAACTTACAGAGGGATTGGTTTCCAAGCATGTGTTTCCCATTTTGCAGCCAGCTGACCAGATCGGCATTCCTGTCACTCACATCCAACAAGCTTATGAAAATAAGAAAAAGGTTCAACAAGCTGCCTTCCATTCAGAGGAAAGGAGAGGGAGAGAGGAGAACAACTTGAATTGCATAAACAGTTTGGTAATGAGAAACACAGAGTCTTTTATGAGGCTGATGTTCCTTCTTCAAAAGCATCTGAAAAGGCTTCCTGGCCCAGGAGCCAAAAAGGATCAATTTCTGATTGTAAATTTGCTTTAGTTCAGGAGAGACTGGAAGAAGGAACTTGAGAGAGGAAAATGCATGGAAGAAACCCTAAGCTATGATTTGTTCTGCCTGAGGTTAAGATGCTTTCAGGCTGAGCAAAATTTTCAAAAGAAAGACAGGAGTGGGGGTGGCAGCCCACAAAAACACCAGGATAGTATTTCAGATGAAGCACTGACTTTTAAATTACACGTCATCCCAATGGCATTTTTTTGCACCGTTGACTTTAGAGTGGGTTGAAAAAAAAACACACCCGCCTTTCTGATCTTCTCCCAGAGGTCACTCGGCAAGAATTTGGGATTTTTTCCCCCCCCCCCACCGTCCCCTCTTTAAAAAAAAAAAAAGTTGTCTTCCCTCTACAAGAAAATCAAGAAGGCAGTACTGACAGGAAGAAGGTTCGTAAAAGACACAGAAAATTAAAAATGTCGGCGTCAGAATTTTGGCGAGCAGAATATCTCAAAAGAATGACTGATTTTGTCCTTCCTCTTTAAGTTCCAAAGCTTACTTTGGAACTAAAAAGTTATAAATACATATCCCTATCTAGGAAGGGATTTCCCACAGAGAAGTTATTAAAGCAGCCGTGTGAATAAAGTCATGAAAGTTATTAACTTGTTTGCTAACTAGTTGGGAGAAGATGGATGGGAAATTCCAAGCCCTCCATAAGAGACCACCTCCTCTCTATGATGGGCAGAGATGAAAGATATTTTTTTTCCCTTGAAGTTCCTCAAATATAAGACCATAGGCTTCAGATAGAAGCTTGGGGTAGTAAGTGAAAGATTTAAGAATAAACGAGGTTGTAGAATATTTTTTATAGGTACGCCAGAGTGTGCACTATGTGGTTTACCTTGATATGTGTATGTGCTTGTGATGTGGGTGTTTTCTGAGTGTCACTGCCATAGCTTCTGGGAAACAGATATTCTGAAGTCTTGTGGGAGTGCCAATACATGTTTTGGCACCTCAGTTCCATCCCAGTCTTCTTACTAAGCTTTTTTATTATTATTTCATCATTTTGCCTGGTGATAAACAGCCACACTGGCTCATGCAGGCCTGGACATGAATAGCTTCTTAGGTGACAGCCATTTTACCATGAGAAACACCCATGATGGATTCTCCAGCTTCCAGCTGGTTTCAAAGGATGAAGGATCAAGCTGAAGCAAACTCTCCAGAGTGCTTGGGAAGGACCTTTGTCCTCACACGTGCCACTAAATCCCACTTTTTTTCAGTGGAGACCCCTAAGATCAAACCCACAACCAACTGCATGTAAGGCAGGTATTTTGCAGCCAGCTAAACCATTCCTGATTGGAGGAGGAAAGCAAATGAACATTATTTATTTAATTAAACAGCAGGTCCACCTAGCTCAATGTGGCATTTGATGTCAAGGATCCTTTCCTGTCACTCTTCCAGACTCGAAGTAACCAAGGATTCCATCAACTTTGCTGCTGAGTTATGACATTTCATCATCAATCTATTGCCTTCCAAAGTTTGGAGATACTTTAAATAGGAGTTGTCAAAAGGGATCTCGTTGTCCCTTAAGGACTGACAGAGCAGAGCCAGACACACTTCAGAAACTGTGTTCGCCTTACCACAGCATCCAGGAAGTGGATACACCGTAAGAGTTCCAGCCGGGTCTCACAAAACTGTCGAAAAAGCAGTCGGCCGATGGGTTGCTTGTCACACAAGCTGCTGTAATCTCGTTCTACAAAGGAAGACATGGAGAAGGAATTACTGTCACTTGCAAGTAGACAGTTCTGGGCCATGGGCCTCTCAAGGGGTGACCTTCTTACTTCAAATGCAGCCAATTGGAATGGTATTTTTTTAAAGCCGGGGTGTCTGACTTTGGCAACTTGAAGACTCGTGGACTTCATCTGCCAGAATTTCCCAGCCAGCATGGTTGTAAATATTTGTAGCTAAAAATGCACACAATTCCCCAAAGAAGAGGGCTATTTTTAGATTTCAGATCAGATCATAGTTCATGAGATTTGGATTTGGATTTGCTTTGCTCTGAAGCCAGAATTATCTGAATGTCTCTCAAACAATGAAACCAAGTCTTGTTATGAGTTTGAAGTCCATGGTGTGTGCTAATTCAGACATGATTTTAAACCACAGTGTGCTTAACACTGGTTATTAAAATAAGCAATAACTCTAACCCATTAATTATGTTTTCAAAATGACAATGGCTGGACTCATTCTATAAGCACATAACGACAAGCCACATTATTGTTTTTAGTGTGATGTGTGAATACAGATGATGATGCTGGAGATTATCATTACACACCTGAATTCTGAGCATATGAAAGTAGAAAAGAAACTCTAAATCCTACTTTGCCTGTTCAGCTACAAAACTGTTCAGCTTTGGGATGATGCCTTAGCTCAGTGGTTCTCAACCTTTCTAATGCCGTGACCCCATAATACAGTTCCCCATGTTGTGGTAACCCCCAAGTGGGTGTGGCCACCAATAAGAGGGAGTAGGACAGCTAGGGAAAAGGGAAAAAAATGGTGGATAGAGTGGTTTGGCGACCCCCGTGAAATGGTCATTCGACCCCAAATGGGGTCCCGACCCACAGGTTGAGAACCACTGCCTTAGCTGATCCCGAAACACCAATTCTTCAAGCAATCGCATCAAACAAAGAGGACATTTTTCAGGACATTTCAAAGTCCTGAAAAATAAAACCTGGATTCTCACAACTTGCTTTTCAGGTACTGAGAAGCCAGTTCTTTTTTGCACTTAGGTGCTCATGGTGCCTTCCATATCTGGTTATCACAATCACGTCCTGCCCATCTGCCTTTGCCCAACTCCTTTGCATTCCCCATTTCACAAACTTTCCCTCAGACTCTCTTGCAAACATACTTTCAAGTAGTAGGAACATGTTCTCATTTGCATCCCAGCATGTTCTTTCTGGGAACAAACTGAAGTATGAGAAGATGGGGGCAGACACAAGAATCTCTAATAGTCTGCAAGGACCTGGGAGAACAGTAAGCTTACTTAAAGTCAGAGATCAGGCCACACAACCACCAAGGATATTAAATTACTCTTTATGTTGATTCACTTTAAAAAAAAAAAAAAAGCTCACAGACGTTGTTGGAAAGAGATGACTTGAAGATGATTCGATGCATAAAAATCACACAATAAGCATGATGGAAGTCATTTCCAACTTCCCTCTGATGATCAGTATAGTACGGCAGTTATGTGTTGCATTAGGAGTGGGAAGACCTCTCCCCCTTCAGTCATTAAGTCACAACGACCTTAGTCCAGTAGTTCTCTGTTGTTATCCCACTTTTATTTTTCAAGTTCAAAGCCTGGCACCTTTTTGCGTGGGGTCATTTACAGGTCAACCTATGTCCAGATGTTCAGCAACCCATTTGGCTTTCCATTGGGAATTGATGATATATGAAATCCTACTTTGATGAGGCAAGGGAAGCTATGCTCATTACCAAGAGCCGACTGGTTCCGTCTCATGCTGCACTTACCCAACCCTTTCCGCAGCTCATCGCATTGGCTGATGTGGGGGAACTTAAGGATCTCTCTCCATTTCTTGCTCCTTCCTTTCCGTTTTCCTCCACCTCCTGCGAATCAGAGAGAGGAGAGAGAAGGAGAGAATGATGAACGTGAATAATACAATGACTTATCATGGGTTGATTTTCTGACTCTGTTTTATCTTCCTTTTAGGACGGCCAGGATGATGTTGATTCCCTTTGATTCGTGCAGTGCAGCACAATACCAACCTTAGCAGTCAATCCCATCCATCCTAAATGAGAAGAACATCTTGGCGTGATTTTTTGCTCAGCAGAGTGCTATTATTTAACCTAGTTATAATGGATCAAAGATTATTTCTTATCATGACGCTTGGGATTGTGCAATGATCTCTTTAGAATTTGCAACCTCCCTTGTATTCCCATGGATCAATTAAACCCAAAGGAAAATGGTTGCACAAAAATAACCTAAGGGTGAAGTAAAAAACAAAACAAAACAAAAACGTCTTCCTCGATGGAAGAAAACCTTCAAAAAACCGAAACTCTATGATTAAATGCAAAGCAAAGACTGACTGCGAGTGTCAGACAGCAACCCAGAGAATTCAAAGAAGCAAGTTACATTATCTGACACATTTCAACAAATCTGTTTGTCAGGTGCAATAACCACAAGCTCCTTTAAAGTATTTTTACTGACACATACAAGGTGGCCTGGACAGACTAAACAGGACTTGGCATCTGCCAGGTTTTTTTTTTTTTTTTTAATTGGCATGAGGCTGATTCGTAGAAACACCCAGCTCTCTGCAATTTACAGCTCTTTGTAGGTCTACTTTCAAACAAGGGGTAGGCAGTCTGTATTCTCTTCCCAGATTTTATCTAGCTGAATAGGCTAATACGGTGTTTTCCACCTTGGCAGGACATTTAAGATGGGTGGACTTCAATTCCCAGAATTCCATTAGCCATGGAAATTTGCACAAACGAGATTTGGAGAGCAACAGGCATCAAGTATGTGCAACTATCTGAATTACGGATGAGGGGAAGAGTTTCTCTTCAGACCTTCCCATGAAAGGGTCCTGGAACTGGATAAATGGCAATTTCAAGCAGAGATGACGTGTTAATTCCCACTGCTTTGCAATATATTATTTCTCCTTGGTTTAAAATAATGCCCGAGTCAGGCTTATGATGTGGCATGATCTCAAAAGTGATGAACTATATAGTCGAGCTATTGTTCCACCTCCAGAGGCTGCTTCACCATGGAAACTGGAGTGCACTTATAGTTCTGAGTGCTTGAATGAGAACATAAGTGCTTTACTGGATGAGATCAAGGTCTTCATGGTCCAGCATTCTTGGTCAGAATCCCAGGGACCAGAAAATACTAGACCAGCCTTCCCCAACTGGTATCCTCCTTGTAGATGGCTCCAACATACTTAAAAGACACCAAATAGTCATTAGATCATTTGTGAGAAGAAAACCGCAGGGGTCCATCTTGAACCTATGGCTTGCTAATATAACCTACTCTTCACCTCTTGCTTGTCTCTACGCTGCTTGTCAACATTCCTCTCTACTTCCGTAACAAGTTAAAGCTTTTATATTTTTGTCCTTCTGTATCAGCAGACTTCCAGCCTATTGTGGATAGCTAGGCAGCACTCTGCACAATACAGAAATAGAAGATTGTATCTCACTGTATAGGTTGTCCTGACAGATTCTGCATGAGATGACATTTCCCATTGCACAGACACGGTTCCACTTGGAAGAGAAGTTAAAACAAGCCTGGTCTCTGAAATACTCCTTCAAGGAGTGTCTTAATCAAGTTAACCCCAACTAACGAACACAAGGAGGAAGAGTTTAGGTATCCCAAGCATTTAATACATATTATCTTGATCTACTTATAATAACTAAGACTATGTAAGGCATTTGAAAAGGGCGCTTGCTGTGAGTGTTGGCATGAGTGAAACAATCTACCCCCAAATATTCAAGTAGCCATATTTTTAGGAAGGCTCAACAAGGCTTCTCTGATTGTCCAGAAGTGCAAGTCCACGCACAGTTAACTTCTTTTTGGATTGCTGGCAAAAACAAAGCAACAATTCCTGTAAACTTTTACATAGACAACCAATAAAATCCTTTGAAATGTTTAATTGTTTGCAAAGAATGCAGCTGCTTTAACAAATTGAGGAAGGGTGCTTTTATTTTCACTAATGCAGTTAGGAAAGTACTCTCATATTTTACAAGGAAGATTCCCTCTATATCAGTGGTTCTCAACCTTTTTAATGCCGTGACCCCCAACCGGTCGTAAGCCGAGGACTACTCAACTGGTGCAGCACCGTTTGCAGAATGGGACTTTTGGCGGGCTCAGCAGGGCAGAGACAGCCTGGACAATTCCTATTGGCTTTGAAAGCCAATAGAATTAGACTCTATTCAAGAGAGTCTATTCTATTGGCTTTCAAAAGCCAATAGAATAAAAGGGAGTAGCACAGCTAAGGAAAAGGGGAAAAAAATGGCGGACTGCGTTGGTTGGCGACCCCGTGAAATGGTCGTTCGACCCCAAATGGGGTCCCGACCCACAGGTTGAGAACCACTGCTCTATATTGTCGTGGTGGCTGAGGCCATGGCTCAGGTTGCTAAACTGAGTAATTCTGATTCACAAGTAAGAGGGGAATCAAGAATCTTCATCAGCTTCCTGCCTAAGCAGGGGGTTGGATTTGAAGACCTCCAAAGTTCCTTCCAACTCTATTTTGTTATTCTGACATAAATCTAATGAAACAAATATGGATTGGAAAGCTCATTACCCAGCTCCTACTGGATTCTTTGGTGAGATCTTCTTTTTTTCTGCTTCTTATATTTCAAAGCAATTTCAGGGATCAAAATGCTCATCATCGTCTAATCATCTAATATGCTGTTAGCCTTCAATAAGATCAGATCAGATAAAAATTGGGAGAGAAATATTGGTAGACTTTCCTTGCATAAATAAATATGCCTTAGTTTGAGGCTAGAAGAGTATGGCTGGATCCTCACATATTCATAAATGATGGTCTGTTGAGTAAATCACCCTAAATGATTTACAGATCCCACTATACTATAAACCATACTTTTCAGACTACACTGGCTGGCTTTCCACAACACAATCAACACACTCAACATCTGTGTCCTTGCAGATGATGACTGCAATTCCCAGCAGCTTTAGAAGGAAGAGTTGGAGTACTTCAATGACATCTGGAGGGCCACTGGTTGCCAACTGTCTGCTAAGAGCCAAGGTGGCACAGCAGTTAGGGTGCAGTACTGCAGGCCACTTTAGCTGACTGTGTTCAGCAGGTCAGCGGTTCAAATCTCACCGGCTCAAGGTTGACTCAGCCTTCCATCCTTCCGGGGTAGGTAAAATGAGGACCCAGATTGTTGGGGGCAATGTAAATATATATATACATTGCTTACTGGTGTACACCACTTAGAGAGTGCTCGCACTTAAAGCGGTATATAAGTCTCATAAATAAAATAAAATAAAAATAAATAAACCCACGCCAAACAAATTCTATCGTGACCTAGCACAATGGGTGAGCCAACGCCAATGAGAGCCCAATGTATGGCATGGCTGAAAATGAAATAACCCTGTTCTCATGCAACTGACACGGTACACTAGGACTCATCCTTATCTCTCTCAGCCTCACAGTTGTGATGACAAAAAGGGAATAGGAAACCACGTATGCTACCATGAGACTCCTAGACAAAAGGACGGACCCAAATGAAATAAATAAGAGAGGAAGGAAACACAAACCACTTAAGTGCTTGTTCTTCTAATGACAGCTGCTTCAGGAACTACCTTCTAAACTTTTCTCAGGGTTTTCAAGGCTCCAGGAGGGGCTGCTCCATTCCTGCTCTTGTAATAAATCTTTTCCCTTTCATAAAGGATGTCCCTTCAGTAACCTTGCTGGACCAATTCCAAGAGCTGAAGAACTTCACTTTCAGAGCCGATTCTTGGAGCTGAAGACCAAAGGTGGTTCCCACTTCCGCCATGGACAATGCGTCCCTCCTCTGGTCTCACCCATTAATGGCCAACAAGCTTCCTTATCTCATCGGCTGCCGTCGGGAGACTCCCGTCTTGTCCAAGACAATGCTCTTGCATGGACAATGCAGACGCCTGAAGTTTAGGAAATTCCCCGGAACGACAGTCCACCCACAGCATGAAGCCACCACTTTCTCTTTCTTACAAAACATTCACATACATCCTACACATAGTCCTCAATGTACAGCCACAGCTGACTCCCAAATTTCTGTTGCTAAGCGAGGCAGTTGTTGTGTCTCATGTTATGACCATTTGCCACAGTTGTTAAGCAAAACCCTGCAGTCATTAAGTGAATCTGGCCTCCCCCATTGACTTTGCTTGTGTGCAAGCTGGCTGGGAAGGTTATAAATGGTGATCACATGACCCTGGGACAGGGCAACGGTCATAAATATATGCCAGCTGCCAAGTGCCCAAATTTCAAATTTCAAATTAATTAAATGCAAATAATCTGATCGTTCTTTGTGCATTTGGTAATGTTGCCTTCTGTCATGATAAACATTGCACTAAGAAAGCACATTTTGGAATAGTTTTGCATCCAACATTTTTGGCAACTGCGTGTGGAACCTTTCCTTTATGGATTAGAGTTGATTATAAATCTTATCAGTCAATGTGTGTGAAAGCTTAGCCAACAGTTTGCTATTTACTCTATTACCGTGACTTCGAATCTAATTGCTGTTGTTCCTCCATTTGCAAAATAAATTAGCTTGACTTTATGTAATTTCATCCAGTGGAATTCAAGCACCCCTAGTTAATTGCAACACTCTGTTTGCTCGGCTGCATTGCAAGAATACAATAGGAAAAAAAAATCCCAAAGTTTTTCTAGGTAGTGAAAATAATGTTATTGTTAGTCCCTTCCTTCTCTTGTGAAAATTAGAGCGTTCTTTATAAAATACATCATAGATACAAAACCACAAATCAAACTAGCAGGTGCCCCTTTAGACTGTCAAACATGGATACCAAACCTTTTGTACATCCAGTCATATTAAAACCTTGGCTCAGCCTCAACATTGGACAGCATGTTTTAGGTCCTGTAATAACCTTC